AGGGCCCAGTAGATTAGTGTTTTTTTATGTGAGAAGGTGACGAACGAGCTGGCGTTGTCGGCTGGTAGCCGGAGCCCATTTTGATGGGTTTGCAGATGCGTATACAACCTTTTTGAAAATTGAGCTCCGAAATTTGGGAAATATGCGCTTGCGACCGTAAAATTTCTAACTGGCTCTTTAATTTTTTAATATTGGTCAACAGATTGCCGAATTAGGCACGCGTTAAAGCTTCAAACGAGCTTTAAAAACTAACTTTCAGACTTTGACTCTGTTACCATTCAGTAAATACAAAGCATAGCATGATAGCAAAAATAACTGTAAATCCAAGTTTATAATGCGAATATCATTTCGATATAAATGCAGTCATCAGAACTACGTAAAGCCGGCATGCGTTCAAATTCAAACATGAACACTGGAGTGCGGCTTGCCACAAATTTATGAAAACATATTCTGGTTTAGAAAATCATAAAATATAGAGTTTGGAGGCTTAGTATCTAGGTCTGTAGAGAAATTTATTTAAAAAAAAACATAAAACACAACTGATGCGTCTTTTCTCATTGCTGGAGAATCATTGGTTCGATGATACATTTTCAAAATACATATAATAAAATAAAATTTTAATTAAGAACAGTGCGATTTAAAAGAAATAATTTTATTTTAAAAAGGCTTGTGTTTTTGGTTTGTTCATCACACTATTCTTAGTTTCAATGTATTGAAAATTATTTTCTACTTTTAGTTCGGCTAAGTATAAAGCGTTTTTTAGTTTTTATTTTACTATTAAACGTCTTTGCGTTTGTAGCCTTAAAACGATGATACTTTCGTAGGAACCAACAAAAAAAAAACTGGAAAATACGACAAATTTATTAAATTGTTGTATTGACTGCAGTCCCTGATAAGTGCTATACGCACTTATCATGGACTTTTCAATTAATTTGTCGTTTTGAAGTAGGTCAAAATCACGTTTGAAAATTTTGTTACATACAAACAAACACATCTGACAAGCTAATAAAAGCATGTTAGTGTTATAGATCAAAGATTTGAACATTTAAAAGTAGGAATATAATACAAAAAGTAACTTTAAGTTGACTCTGTTATGTTGTTGAATTCTAAGGAAATAAGTGACACTTCGTTCTTGTACAGACATAAATGTACAGGAATCCAACGAAGTGTAAGAAATATGCGACCGGTATGTTGAATGTATAAAAAAATTTCGAAGTGCGATAGACACCAACGTCGTGCCCAATAACGCTAATTGATAAGACATGATTATGATTTATAAACATCAGTCGATAGAAAAAAATCTATTAAGTATTAGAGGCACACGTGTGATACGCTTAATAATATTAGGTGCTACTTTAAATTGACATCAATTATATTAAGCTCCAAGTATTTTTATTAAAACATTGCCCTTACTTTAGGATAACAGTATCCTGTGTTGTAAGGACGTTTTACAAACACCAACACCAACCAACCCAGATGCGAAACAACTATCTGCGGGTCGCACAAGTAGTTGTCCCGTGTGGGAATCGAACCCACGACCCCCGACGCCGAAGCCCGAATACCTTGGCAACTGCGCCACGGAGTCATCAAAAGAAGTGTTAAAGAATATTATATATGTATTTGTGTAATTTGCTGTTGTAAGTTTTGTGTTGTAAGTGGGGATACCACGGACCTAAACTTTCAACGCAAATCGAAATATTTGAAAGTTTTACGTCCTAGACTTATTAAGAGGGATGGTTCTTTTCTCATGATGACATGTAATTTAGGTTTAATACCTTAAATATTTTTTGAAGAATTAGAATTATTCAAGTCTTTATGAATATAATTTAAAAGCATAAATGACACCATACAAAGTTACTATCGATATGACCGATAAATACATTGCACATTGTTTAACAAAAAAAAGGTAAAAAAAAAATTAAAATACATTATTTAAAAAAGCATTTTGCAACAAAAAAGTATAGCTGTATCGCTGTAAAGTGGTCCGGCTGCTGCGTAAAAACGCCGAGATTCTGCCGTCTGCCAAGTTACCGGCTCCTTAATAGTGACGCGTAGCAGGAAGAAAAGCCCTGAACGCACAGCACGCGATTACTAAATTACGGGGCAGCCGGTTAAGTGTTGCTTGGAAATTCGCTTAATTACAACTTCGCAACACATTAACGGCGAGAGTGCTTATTAAAGTAACCAGTCGCGAAATACGAAGCAGCGACGTCAAAACGGGGCGAATCGAAAGCGAGCTCGGGCGCACTTTTGGCAGTACTCGTTACGGGTTTTTGCACTGCTCGCAAAACTTTGATTTCAGATAAGACAAGATAATCATTTATTGCCTTAACTGTGTACGTGTGTTGCTTGTTACATAATTTTTTGTGTCAACAGTTTGTCCATTTCAGGCGTACGTAAGAGAAATGTAACTAAGTAATATTATTAAAGTATTATTCGGTTCTACAATAATATTCATTTAAATTATAAAAACAATTACATATCAGCCATTCTTTTAGTTTAAGTTTTAAACTGTACACCATGAAGTGATTTTATTGATTGAGATTTTCGCTTCGAATAGCTTCAACTGTGTTAGGGCCATGCAACATCTTCTGCTTTTGAACGAAAAGTCAGACTCCGGGGGTGTACCACGACCTCAAAGACCGACGTGAAGTAAAAGTACTATACTGTTGCTGCCTATCTTAAAGGTTGACTACGCGTCTGCTACATCTGGCGTTGTGTATCTCCATGGGCGGCGCGATACAACTTTATACTATCAGATTTACTGGCTCGACGCCCACTTGCTATGTTTGCACATAAAAAAATATAAATGGTAACGTTTGTGGCCTAATATGGCGAATGCAAGCCCCCCGTACTTAATATATTGCCTATATGTAAGCAGGGTAAGTCCAGACCGTGGCAGGAACGTATAAGAATCCGAGACGCAGTAGCAGCAATTTAATCGGGTCACAAAAACAACTTAATCAACGAAGGTGACAGTGTAATCTACGTTACGATTAAGTCGATTAACCCGAAAGAGGAACAACTTTATGGCTAACGTAACCGGTTACGGTTTTCGGTGTTTTATCCTTGTTGATAATGAGTTGTTTCTTTTTTTTTTATGCGAAAGTTGTCAAACGAGCAGACGGTTCACCTTATGTTAAGTGAATACCGCCGCCCATGGACATCTGCCACACTCGAGGGTTACAGATGCGTTGACAACCTTTTGAAAATTGGGCTCCGGCTACCTCACTCACCAGACGAAACGCGAAAGTATTTGTGATACTTCTACACTTTACGCTGGTCTTCTGTGAGGTCGTGGTACTTACCCGGACGGGCGTGCCCATTCGTGCAACAGCCGAGGCTGCTGCGCGGCCCTACCACCGTTTTCTTGCAATGAAATATTCTGATATACTAGGGACTTGCCAAAACTGACGATGGATTTAAGCTGTTTACATTGAAATGGTAGTATGTCAGTGATTCCTATTTAACGACAACAAAAAAACTAAACGAATACCTCACTAAGAGCAGTACTATAATATTGGCTACACCGACATAACAAATGGTAGACAGCATCTTTCTATTTATTATAAACTGGCTAACGCTCGAGTACCTTTGCGCTGGCTGGTGGGCGGTGAGTTCGTAGGTGGTAGAGACATTACATCATTAAATGCTTATTCTCTTGAACCTTGTCGGCACTGTTTAGTTTTTAAAGGAGGTGGCTGAGAAGCGGTAAAGTGAATGGTAAATGATGATAACCGCAGAGACAAGCAACTACATATTATGTGTTTAACCGACAATTTCCGAGCTTTATAATTGACCTCAATAACTGCCGAACATCTATTCCTAGCAAACTTTCTTTATTTTTCTATAAACGTATATTAAAAATATACATACACGCAGACGATATAAAAATACAATGTTCAAACTTCCTAAAACAACTTTTTCTAGTAGTGGGATCGAGTCCACACCCACTGTCGCAAGAGACATGTTCACTATCCGCTGCGCCTATGGGGACTGTTTATAGCACCAGAGTATTGCTTAAAACGTATTTCATATTATGCATCTATTTATTATAATATTATACATTTATATTTCTCTTTCATAGAAAAGGAATTCCACTTTTAAAATTTTCTTAAACATTCCGACACCGCCCCGCGAACTTTTACATGGCAACTGTGCCACATAAAATAAGATGAGACATAAAAGTCGTAATTAACGAGCGAAAACGTAAGGCCGTAAAGCGATCATAAAATTGTATCACGTTCAAAAAATTATATTAACTTTATCGTCGTAAATAACGCTTCGTGCCCCGTTCCGGCGGTGTGGAGGGAATTTACGCGTGAAAATAAAACTATAAATAAGTTGGCCCGAATTAATAGGGTACTTAAGGCACACATTTTAGCCGATCCAAGCGCATTCCTCGCGGGAAGAAAGTATCAGAAGAACCGATGAGAATCGTGTGGCAATTACTATGTCAATATGAACGCGAACGCGTTGCACTTTACCAATCATATATTTATGTTATTGCCTTAAAATAAACTATCATTAGTCACCTAACATAACAGAAAAGCGGAGTAAACTTAAAAAAAAAGTTCATTAATTCTTACGCCAAAATAAACAACGTCAACTTTATGAATACACTGAGCTAAATTGGAAGAGACTGTAACTAAAATCAAACTAATAGAAGAAAATACTTGCGACAAGAGACGACAATAGGCGGGCTTAATTCAAATATGGAATAGGAAAGAATCTCGGCCGCAGCGAGTGGCTGGCAATAAACAACCAACGGGGCCGATCATAATCGATTGTCAACGCGGCGGCACTGAGGGATTAAACGACACCCGCGGACAAAACACCGCTCGGCCGTAAATCGAGAGCCGCGAGAGGAGGGAAATCAAAATAAAAAAAAAGAAAATAAAAAAAAAAAAAAACAAGAAACGCGCCCAAAAAGAGTTAAGCGTTCGGGAGATCGTCGGACACAGATTACGGGGCGCAGGTGTTAAAGGAAAATAATAAAAATGGACGACGACCGCGGCGCGGCAAAAAGAGGAGCGGAGGCGGCCGCGCGGCGCCGGGCGCGCCACGATTTCGTCCGCGATGCGCTGAGGACACAAAAAACGACTTGTTCGTTGAACACCCCCCCCCCCCCCCTCTCCTGGTACATAACGCGACACAAGTATCCGACGGCCAAAGGCTCGCGTAGAAGTAAAGTAACAGCCTACGTATGTATGTCCCCCTGTTGGACAAAGGAAGAGTGTTAAAGCATCGTCCATCACCGAGCAAGGACAAAGCGGATTGGCGGACTTCATGTTTCTTCGAATTTTTGCTTGATCATTTCGAAAATACGCAGATTCCGTCACGTTTTCTTCTTTCACCGCTGAGCACTTGATAAACCAGCCCTAAAAATGCACTAGATTTTGAACTGGGATTGCTCCAGTATTTTGAAATAAATGCTAACGGCCGGAGACTGGGCTAACAACGCTTGGCATTGTTTCGCAAAAGTCTTAGGCCTTTAATACAGTACTAGCGACCCACCCCGGCTTCGCACGGGTGCAATGTATTATACACATATAAAGCTTACTCTAAACGAGCATGCGGTCGTAACAGTGAGTTAATGTAGGAACAATATATATATATATATATATATATATATATATATATATATATATATATATATATATATATATATATAGTCCTTTTCCATAACTTGTTTGATGCAAAATTAAAAGAGTACTTTGTTGATCCACCTTTCTGTCCAAATTTACTTGCTCTTAAACTTTATTTTAAAAGCCTTGGAAAGCATATATTTGAACAGCGCATTGTGTCGCTTAGACATATTTCTAAATTCAGCATATACTCTAACCGTTGTTTTATACTTTTCCAAAGTATTTGTGGCTCCGCGTAACGGTTTTTTCTCAGGCACTTTTTAAACATTTCTTGATCCCTGTGAGCGCGCATACGCAGCTCGACGTCAGTGTTCGTAAAATTAATTCCACAGTGTTTGTAATAAGAACTGAATTTCCATGTACATTTTCTATTGAGTAAACTGTTACTATATGTCGAATATAATAACCTAGATAAATATAATTGACAAAGAGATGGTTATACCCTATTTCTTATTAATTAATTTACCATAGTATGTTAGTGAATAAATAATTTAATATTGTAAATATTATCGCTTGATACTAATGAATCCTTGGGACAATATCAAAATACCTACTTACTATAAAGTGTATAGTTTCGTTGTTATGCTTGTTAGCACATGCAACCTGTATTAATTCGATTGAGGTGAAACCCAAAATGCTGTACTCCTAAGTACTAAGGCATCCAAATATTATCCCGAGTTGATTTAAACAACTGGCGCGGCGGCGAACTATGAGCTCAAAGAATATCATACATATAATAAAAATTTAACTGATTGTTGTTTGTACATGGAAGATATTTGAGAAAAACTATTATTAGGGGCCTTTATCAACGCAGTAGAACCCAAAACAATGATAGTTAAAATTATTGTATGTTTATCTGTTTGTCTGTGTGCGCTAACTTGGCTAAAAAGGCCTTTCCGATTACAGTGCAACTTTTACAAATGCATTGTAGTAAGCTTTTCTTAACATTTTACATAACGTCAGTTTTATTTAAGTCGGATGATAAATAAAATAGTTATATCAACTTAAAGAACCACATTGTAGATTTGTGCGATGAAACTATAGTTAACTATGGTCTGTAAAATGATGGTTTATATAAAGTAAAAAAAATCGCCCAAGTTGAGCCAAGCTGTCGCCAGAGTTGCGCACGAAAGGTTCCGTAGGTATTTTTAAGCACGATATAATGTGCGGGTGAAGCCGCGGGCGCAAGCTAGTTGTACAATATATTGCTACTATTGCACTAGGAAACGGATCAACAACGGTCGCAATGTAATGCGACAAATGTAGTGTGAAAATTTCTTTAAAGAGACGAGGATGACAATATTTTAGTTTTATTTTAACTGTTAAATTTGTTTAAAAGTGATTGCTCAACTCATTATCAAATATGAATTTGGTTACAAGAGAATAAATTATTATTATTTATTATGTAATCAATAGTGTTATTTAAGCTAGTGCTATTCAGTGGGTTAAAGTTAGATTAGTAAAGAGATAATATGCGATTTATCGAATGCGAAATTACGAAAAATGAAAAATTATGCGAAAACTCAAAAAATTCAGCGAAATGTAAGTGATTTTTATTAAATTTTATCTTGCTTATAGTGTAGTCAACAAGTGCTTTTTTAACGAAAACCTGTTTAACTTCACGAAAATTATGGTTTTATATGGCACAAGAGAAATACATAATCTGTGAAAATTTCAACTATCTAACTATCGCCATTACGACATGAGATACAACGTGGAGCCTGGTGACAGAATGACAGACAGACAGCGGAGTCTTGGTAATAAGGGTTCCGTTTTACCCTTTGGGTACGGAACTAGGGATGGTCGATATTAGAAAAACATCGATGTTGACATCGAAGTCATAATCGGAAGCCCAACATCGATATTCGATATTTATCGAAAACCGAACATCGATGTTAGATAAAATCGATGATTTTTGCATTAATAGTAATGGACAAAGAAATAAAATAATTGAAATGATTCGAATTCCCAAAAGCTACTTTTGGCAGCATTTTTAATTCTGTTCCTGTATCTCTGAAAACAGACAATTAAGTGTAAACAAAATTTAGTTATGAACTCACGATAACCGGACCATACAAAAAAAAATTGGAAAGTACACTAAATTAAATATTATATCACCTTAATATACAATTTTCAATACAACTAAAATCCCAAGCATCCACATCCACAATCCACAGCTGTACAAAAAAGTGAGATAAATTGTTTACGTAAATTGTCTCATATATAGTATTTATAACTTTAAAAAAGAACGATATCGTTTAGCATGCACAGAAAGAAAACAGCTAAATTCAATATTTAGAATAACAATAAACTTATATATTATTGATGTATTCCATATAATTTTATATGCACAACAGTACAATTTTATCAAATGAGTAAATTAAAACAGGCGACGCACGCGCACAACATAAAATTTTATCAACAAACGAATGGAAGTGTGAGAGAGAAAGAGCGAGCGAGACTACGAAGAACGAACGAAGTGATCGACCGGTGCGCAGCGAATTAATACACGTTCAGAACTTTAATCAACCTTTTGTGGATGCGTTCACAGAAAACATAATTTGTTTCGTAAGTTGCATTAGTCGTGCGTGAGGCCTAGCTCACGGCCCCATCGATGGTCGACTCCGTTAACATCGATGTTACGATATTTTTCGTATAACAACATCGATGTAAAAACATCGATGTTTTTGCATTCAACATCGATGATCATCGAACATCGATGATCATCGAGCATCTCTATACGGAACTCTAAAAGATTTTTTTAACCAAATAAAATAGAATATTAAGGAATAAAAAATATAGTTCTTTCTAGACACATGAATAAATAATAAAAAGACAAAAAAAAATTAAGATTATTTCTATGCAATACCCAGAATATTTTTGTCACTACTTGAAAGAGTTTAGAAAAGATTGCCAAAAAAAATTCTAATTTTTCATTGTTTTATTACCAATCTAAGGCATTAAAATATGAAAAACGTTAATAAATCAATCAAGATTTTTTTTAATTTTTTGATTATTCTGTTCCTGTAAAAAAAGTTACTTGAATTGTTTGAATTATAAATAAATACATTGTTTATAAGATTTTAAATTTTTTTTCTTTTAAGAATATGATGCTTAATGAAAATATGACATTTAAGAAAAAATTTTTCACTGCTAAAACGGTTTTTCTAAAGTACAATTTTTTGTTGCTTAGTGTTATCATTATGAAACCATTTTATTAAAATCATAATTTATCACGTTGTTACATCATACAAAAAAATATAATTTAATTCATTTTTTATTTGGTTTTGTGAACAGACGCTTGTTTATAAACAAACGAATTACGAAAATTTTTGTTTATTATTTTTCTGTTTTTTATATAATTTTTAAAATTATTGTACACTTGGACTTGTTGTTACATATCAGGTATTCTCCATTGCTATTAAAATTACTTATAAACTATTGAAGATACGACTAGAATACTCCAAGTCTTATTTATTCTTCAACATTATTTTTCAAATATTGAATTAGAAGTACATTCATTTTATACATGAATTAAATAATTAACTGTTGAGTATTGATACCCATATTTTTTAAATTAATTATTATATGTAAATTCTTAAATAATGTTTCACGCGCGCAACGAATTTACATTAAAATATAATGGTTGTGTTGCACGTGAATCTGAAAAGCGCGCGAGCGATAGATTGCTGGCCCTTTAAATCATGTATTTCAACAAATATCACATTCACGAGATACAGTAATTCTTCTTAATAAGTAGGTACTGACGTAAAGTGATGATTGCAACCAATGAATGCTGCAGTGATCTGTGATTCGTCCGTTTGAATTGGATCAAATAAGTACGGAGTGGATTTGTATAAATTGAAGCTACTTTCAAAAATATATTGACGAGAAGTTGTTGATCCGAATGGAGCCACTAAATCACATACATATGGTATTGGATCAACAAATCGGGTATGGATCAACAAATTTGAGCGGATCAACAAAAAACTGATCATACGTAACGCTGGATCAAACAACTCCTAGAACGGATAACTATATATATATATATATATATATATATATATATATATATATATATATATATGTATATATATAGATATAGATATATATATATATATATATGTCCGTAGCAATTTGCAACTGCAACATCACGAAACAATTCAGACCATCAGCAACAAAGCTCGCACCCTCGAAACCAACCAAGTTGGAGAAGGAACGTGGTCGTTAAGTGCGCTTGCTTCGCCTCGACCGCCGGAATTCCCGAGACGTGAATAAATATCACCGAATACGTCGGCATTACGGTCCGTACCGCGCGGTCCCCGTCCTAATTAAGTGCCGGGGTTGAGTAAACACGAGGATTATCGCAGCATCTCGCGTGACCCACGGTTCCGATTTAGAATACGGCACGGAGACCTTAGGGCCATATCAGTAGAGGTGGGTATGACGCGACAGATGCGTGAGCATTCGAGATCTCACATTTGAATAAACTTCGTCAGCGTCCGTTACCAAATGTTCCATCTGTATAAACTAATGATAGAAGATTCTTTATTAGTTTAAGATAGTAGTTTTGTGGTTCTGCGTTTAAATGCATCCAATTTAAATGTTAACCGTTATATAGTTAATAATACAAATATCGGCGTCGAAAGTTTTCGTCTACTTATCATCAAAAAATCACGTCTTAAAATGAAGCTCATCCCATTTCAAAAAGGAATAAAGTTAAAGTTGAATAACGTGTTACGAATTGAAAGTACACCAATTCCAATGAGAGCAAAAGAATTCACGAAGGACGTCTAAGAGATTGAACTAGATTATGTCTTCAATAACACTTCCTTAGCGAACAACCTTAACATTCTACTGCAAACAGAAGGATCGAGAACACTTACCGAATTCCAGAGCTAGTCTACACGTCAGATCTGAGGTCACGAAGAGACAAAGCGTACGGTTGATGTCAAGAGATCCGTTCCCGCGTGACACGCCGCCGGATCTAACTCACGTTCACAACTAGGGGGGTACCGTGCACGTTTTCCACCTTTGAACTTAATGAGCCGGGTACGTAACGATCATTATAAACATTACCTAGTATCATACTGCGCAGCAGACCCTGTGGATTTAGAACTGCCATGTTGTATTTATTCTTAATATTGTTTCGCGTCCCTTTATTAACTTTGTTAGGGCCGCCAGGGTAACTACCACGACCTCACACAAGACCGGCGTGAACTTGAAGTGTTATACTTCTGAGTTTCGTCTGGTGAGTGAGGTATAGCCGGGGCCCACTTTAATAAAAGGTAGGCAACGTATCTGCAACCCTACGAGTGTTTCAAACGGCCATGGGCGGCGGTTGTCGCTTAACATCAAGTTAACCGCCATCTCACGTGCCACCTTCTCACAAAAAAGTTCTCACGTGGACTTAAAATATTCGCATTGCGGCTGCGAAAACTTTCTCACTGTTCGACCAAGATTATAATACCATAACAGTTCTTTATATTAATCGTAATAACCAAGTACGAAATTGCGTCCGTATACGTGTAAATGGAGGCAATTGGGCCCGTGGAGGATCCGCGCTCGTGAGCCGACCGTACGATTATTTTCGAGATAAGGCACTGAAAACGGGTTGGCGTGCGGCCGTTCCGGTTTGTGTACGTCGAGATTTAGCGATACGGTGTGATCTATCCCGCTAAGGACGCTCGCAACGCGTCCGATTCCATCTGAGGCGTCGTCATGCGTAAAATACAGGAAAAATTAACTCAAGTATTTTAAACTTGAATGGGTACATAGAAATTAGTATTATTAAAATATTCACTCAGCTTTGACAGTGACATTGTCGACTAATAGCAGGCACAGATTTTGAAGCATTGGTTTTTGCACGTAACCTGGAAAAGCGACTAAGCTAGAAACTTCTTTAAGATTTATTCATCAAGGCCTTAACTATCATTCGAACTGCCTCAACTGCCATCACGCAATTGAGAGACCATCTTCTAACTCCAAGATGTCTGAAAACAGCTCTAGCCTACAGATGGGCAGCATTCAGCCGAGGCTGCTGCGTGGCCCTACCACAGTAAACTCGTATAGCCATTGCAAATCTTAAAAGAGCTTATATAAACATGAAACTTAGTCTTTATAAAATTAGCGAAAACGTAACAAAACAAAATATAAAACGCAACAAGTAATCAAACATCTACTTTACTTAAATGGCGACTGGAATTTAAAATGTTAAAATCCTAAAGATCGTGCATCACTCGCAACTGATACGCCGCAGCAGCCCACAGCTGGAAACAAACATGATGTCACGAACAGGAACGATCAGAATTCTGGCCCGTTCTCAAACAACGCAAACTGGAGTCTCTCAAGTTTCCCGAGTTCATATCCGCAATCGAGTGCCGAGAATGTTCCAAATGTTCTAATAAACTTAAATAATTCGTATTTCTTCATTTTATTTTTATTAACTTCCGAAGGATGGCTACCGAGATTGCGGTTCACACATGGTGTGTTAGGACCGCCGCCCATGGCTCTGGCGATCCTTGAAATGTCACCAAGTACGAATAGTGTACAGCTCCGGTTACCTCACAGCGGAAGAAACTCAAACGCTTGGGGCCGTGCTGGACCTTCCGTAGTCTAGCCAGCCCACTCATGCAGCACTAGGTGTCAAATATTAGTCATTATTACTCTACCACAGTTATCGTGTCTGTAATTTTACTAGCTAGATTGCGGTTCACAATGTCCGTATGGCGGTGGTAGGTAGAACAAACTAGTTATTCTTATCGTGACTCGGTGGCACAGTTGCTAAGCTATTGTCTTCAGCGGCGGGGGTCGTGGGTTCGATTTCCACTCGGCACTAGTATTTGTGTGACCCATAGAAAAATTTTCCGCATCTGGGCCATCATTCCCAATGAGGATTGACACCAGTCAGACGGCTGGTCGTAAAACACCTAGCCAAAAAACACAACAGAATTCACATTTTGTGCCGACCCCAGCTATCTTATCACAGCACCATCCGCAATGGTTAATGTTGTTCAGAAACATTAACCATTGCGATAGACACCTGATTCTTAGCGAAGACGTACCGCATGAACGTGACCGAAAAAACCGATAAGAATGCTTCCGACTAGTAAGTTCTTAATGGTCAGGCGAAACTCAGACACAGTGGTTTGCGCGCTCAACTGTACATAATTCGGTCAGAATTACGCATACGACTATACCGCGGAGCACCCGAAATATCGACTGCATAACGCAGCGCGTAATAGACGGCACACCGCGCCGACGCATAAGCAAAACACCACCCGCCGACAATGTTGCCGCCGGTGTTATCCGTAAGGAGATCCCGCGGAACGCGATACGCTGTTTACAATCTAAACCTGCGCGCTGTTGTTAAACAAACGGGCCCGTTTTAGAGGGCTAACGGCCCACATTCGTGAGCTCGCATTCGGAAACAACAATACGTTCTCGGTATTTTCACATCGGGTCGATGACTCCAAAATGGACGCCGGTCGCGTTCCCGCCAAAATATAGGCACGGCCGCGCAAGAGCGAGTGACGTAACAATGCGTGCATAGTCGGATTATTTCAATTCGCGCGGGAAATCTGGCGCCTGTACAGCAGATGACATTGACCAAAAATTTACTCTCTTCATTGTGCCATTTCAACGTAAATAAGCGAGTTTAGTGTCGAGGCATATTTGGTACATAAAAATTATATTGGCACCTTTCACATCGAAACAAGGTTGCATGCTTTTTAAGCACAAATAACTATGAAGTTCCAATTCGAAAAGGATTCAAGCAAATATACTAAATATAAGAACTTCATCTCAAGCTCATGTAAACATTATAGATTATTAGAATCAGTTTCAAGATATGCGATTTACTACTATCAATCTCAAATTTGAAAATATTGCGAAAATTGCAACTGTCAAACATCAAAAAAGGACAATACTGCACTGACAATATTTGCAACAAGTTTAAAACTTTAAAAACAATAACTAAAGCCATCATTCCGATATTACTCGGGTGCTTCCACTTCGAAATAACATTAATAACACACCTTCAAATAAAAAAAAAAGTAACAAAGCGATTCAATCTAAAGAATTCATATGGAGCGAAGTGAAAGATTTAAGAGATTTCACTACAAAAGATTCACTTAGTCCCTCTTAAGGGCAATACACCGATATATCAGTATTAAAACCCTGGCGTCGGAGATCGTATCGGGGACCTTTGGGCATTCGTGCCACGAACCAAGATGATGGATATAATAAACTCAGTATGGCGATCTTAACACACGACCAGCTCTTATGTCGATTAGTCACAAGAGGAGATAATTGTGAATAGAGCCGACGGCGGAGTGGGCGTACAGTCCGCCTTCCAATTAAGAGAGCACGGTTCGATCGACGACGTGCTTTGTCCCCACGAGGCGCTTTTGAAATGCATACGAGACTAGTTTTGTGGAACGGATCGTAGCGCGAAATAATATGCATCCTCTATATATCTATAATAAGGCACCATCTGTAACAAAAGCAATTGTACCGAGCAAATAAATTCATTTCGTTTGCATTTTAAACTACACCTCCAGATTAATATTATTATTACAGATTGTTAACAGGTACATTGTGACACAACGAAACTTAAACGGTACATATTAACAAACGAAAACTACAGATAAGTACTATACAGAAAAAAGAAGAAAGAAGGAAATATTTATTCGGCGCATTACATTAAAATGAGATATATATCATTCTTCTCCTAAAATGTAATGCAATCCCAAAAACCCCAATCGTATACGACCATATTACGACCAGAAGCTTGGTCAGTAAAAAGTCACTATTGCCCGGAAGACATTAAAATCATACTGAATGAGAGACGCGGACAAATCGTGCCACTCCCTTTTAATAGCAACAATTTCCCCTGTGAGGCTCTCCAGTTGTGTAGATCATTTCAAGACCATTATAGTGGGTTCGAATTCGTCACGGGAACGTTCGTACGACATTAAGGGGCAATCGTCGCCCGAGCTCTGACGACGCAACGACGACTGGCGACGATGTGTATGATATCGCGAGGCCTGCACTTGGCTCAATATTTAGAGCTGCTGTTTACGTCTAGAGATCCGTGTAAGGTTTGAAACAAAGAAGCAATAGTTTTGTGTTTACTCGATAATCACCCGTCAGCCTTATCCGACGAGGGAACTAGGTCGTTTGTTATACCGCGCGCACTTTGGACACGAATTTGTAGAGTAAGTAAACGATAGCTCAGCGAGTCGTGATAGGAAACCTCATGCAGTGGTTAGGGCGATTTAAGGTGCGCTCACAGTGCTTAAAGCATAACAGATCAAAAGAGTGTGCAGTCTGTGAAACGAACCACTACTGCAATACAAGATAGAATTAGCACCTTCTACGTAGATCGGACACAAAGTTAATAATTTTAAAAACTGACGGAAGCCGGTAGTAACTATGACATTCAGACGTTCAACGCCGAGATCATGACGAAACGTCGAGAACTATAATTAATAAACGCGATAAATCCGTAAAAATACTTTGATTAATTAGTGTATTATCGCGTAAGTACAAGATATTATTAGTCATTCGTTTTTTAATTGAAACGCATGACAAACACTTCTTCAGTTCCATTTTTTCATTTAGGGCGCACGAAAGTGTTTTAAAACCCCAACAAGTTGGGACTGTTCTCGGAAGTCGGAGCCAAAAGTACGTGTACGTATAAGTAAAAAAAATGTACGTATATGTACGACTTAGTCGCTTGGTTTTGCTCTCCCATAGCATTAGGAGGAACTGAATCGTTCTCGCGTATTTGTACGTGATCGCATGCGTATAAATACGTACGAAACAACAAACGCACGTTCGGAAGCGCGTACAAACTGCGCGCGGCCTTATGAATGTACTTGTATGACATACACTCGTGCAAGTTTTTCTTTTTGCCGTACTAATTTAGTGAACTCGACTTTTTTTTCATCATACAAGACGAAGCATAATGATAATAGTAACCCTTTAATATATAAAAGTAAAAAGTAAAGTAAAAGCCTATACATGTCCCACTGCTGGGCAAAGGCCTCCTCTATACAGAGGGTATCAGGGCATAGTCCACCACGCGGTCCCACTGCGGATTGGCGGACTTCACATATCTTCGAAATATATATATTTTTTTGTTATTATTTCGAAAATATGCAGGTTTCCTCACGATGTTTTCCTTCACCGCGGAGCACGTGATAAGTCAGCACTTAAAGTTAAAAACTTCATTGGTGCCGGCACCGGGGATCGAACTCAGGTTGCTCGAGTATATTGAATTAAAGGCGAGCGCCCGGACACTGGGCTATCACGGCTCCTCTTATATATATCCTCCTAACAAAGTATATGCAGGTATGTGTCGAGTGGTAACTTTTCATCGTAATTAATAAAGAACGAAGCAAATATTAATACTGTCGGAATTCGAATCTGCAACATAAGTTCGCTAGTTGACGTAACAGTCAGTGCACGGCGTTTTTTATACTGCTCACTACCATAACTTAAATATAAAACATACCAAACCCGTTCAATAATATACCATTCTCCCGTGACCCCTACTAGCTGTTCGTAAGATGTCGGCTCATGATCATTATTGCGGGCATTATTTAACGATGTGGATTTAAATACTCGAAACGATCTCGATTCACCACCCACACTGATACGAGGGGGCTAAATAAAATTCATGCACGTCACGCTGGGACGGGTGGGTGACAATGTACACTTTTTATGGGCGCGTGGCAAGTCATTGTCGAACAATTGTTACAAGTCTGACATCAACTCAAAATGCACTTGCACTTGTTACGACTACTTATATATACCAACGCCCGCTTTGTGAAACACTGATCATCGTAGAATATTAACTAATCAGCTGTCAAATGGCTTGTGAGATGGCATTTGAGTTGCCAAAAGTATGATGAAATACTTTGATTTCGAGCCAATTTGAAGAAAAAAACAATTTGATACAAAACAAAATGTTTAACCATCGTTTTGGCAACTCAAATGATATTTCACAAGAAATTAACTAATCAGTTGTTAACTGTTTAGTTAATTTCTACGTTGATCAGTCTTTCAGAAACCGGGCTTGTTGTTATCGTAGTATAGTACGCCACGCTTCTTTTGCATATTGACCAGCTAGTTTATAAAACAGAAATAACTCTATTTATGACTTTCATCTCGTGGGTGAAATAATATAGTGTCCTTAAAAAGTGCTTTGAAAATATAGCGAATGCAGTACTCTCGCTTTTGACTAAGTAAAGACTTTTTGTCCAATATGACAATGCCTTTAATAGTGTATAAATAATATATGACTTGTGTTGCCGCATACCATAAACAACAATAGGATTCTTCTCGTAGTTTTTCCCGAACAAAAGTGACATTTGTTCGAGGTCTGGGGGGAGGGGGAGGGCGTCCGCCAGCTATTGTCGCGAGGTGTTGGTCCGCGGCCGACACCAAAAAACGAGGAGAATTAACAACGTCAGGGTTGGCGATGCCATGCATTTTTTAGCTTAAAAAAATTTATGCTTTTGATTTCACAAGTTTATTTCTCTCGTCTTTAAGATACATTAAAGACGAGAGAAAGAAACTTGTGTATGTTTCACCGTAGTCTATAATGTATGTTTCACCTTTTCGCTGGGCTCTGAATCTTAAATTATATTTTTTAAATTAGAGATCGCAAAAATACTAAGTCTCCACGCAATAGATATAGTTTAAGTATGTTATAAGTATAATTCATGTAAACATGGCCGTGATGTGGGCAACAATTATAATACCCCTGCACGATAATATTAATATCTTTACTCGTTGTAACATTTCCACACCTTCTAGGGCTACGTTTTAATGTAACTTCACAAGAAATCGGTCGCAGATTTCTACATGGTAGATAATTAAAAACTTACACCGAATCTACCACACTGAAATTGTAAACTTCTCAGTAATGAAACATCCAAACCAACGTCTACACGTTTATGTGACGAGTTTAAATAGACCGGACGGCATACAGACTTCCGCGAGCCTTATTCGGCACCAGCCAGCGAGCTGAGCCAAAGCGTAGTCCGTGTGATCGCTCAGCTTTTTCTCGCAACACGGGGCGGCTCCCACGGGCGATTTGCGACGACGCTAAGGCCGGTAGGCCCGACAAATATGGAGCCGGTAACTTCATCGCGATTCCGCAAGCGTGGCTTTTATATGGAGAGTTCGGTGCGCTGACCGCTGGTTACATGCCTTTTTTTTTTTTTGGTATCGGGGGGAAATCTTCAAAAGATACCCTGTCACTTTACATGACAGGGTTATGTGGGGTTCTTACCCACTAAAACCCCCTCGGTGGCCACCTTCTGTACATTTGGAGGGACTCCGGGATCTCCCATGGAACGCACCGGTGTCCCTCGGTACTACGCCTGAGCACGCCTCGGAGAAGGATAAACCTTCTCCAACCCCCTCACCCTCTTACAGCAACACGAGACCACTTCGTGTGCTGCCCATCCGTGTCCCCTTTTAGTCGCCTTTTACGACAGGCAGGGGATACCTTAGCCCTATTCTATAAGCCCGGGACTACAGGGCTGACGGAGCGGCTCGTCCGTTTGCTGGTTACATGCCTAACGCGAAGATGTATATGTGACAGGTGAGATGAAGCAAAAAGATTTTTCATTCGACACCAAATCTGGACATAAGAACACTGAGAAGCGTACGGGATAAATCCTACACCTGTAGTTTCGATGCAAAATCGCAACAACGCGACCTTTAGGTAACACTCATTCAGGTAATGTTACACACGATATGCAATAATAAACTACGTATTAAAAAGTTTTTGTTGTGGTAGGGCCACGCAACACGTCGAAGAACGTTTAATGCACGAATGGGCAAGTCCGTCCGGGTAAGTACCACCACCTCACAGAAGACCGGCGTGAAGTGGACTTGTTAGTGCATTTCATCTGGTGAGTGAGGTAGCTGGGGCACACTCTATTAAAAGGTTGCAACGCATCTGGAACCCTACGGGTGTTGCAAATGTCAATGGGCGGCGGTTATCACTTAACGTCAGGTGAAACGTCAGCTCGTTTGCCAGCTTACATAAAAAAAATCACCAAAATAATACTAAGGTGACAGCCCTGGAACACGAGCGCGATATTGTTATTACAAAACGACCCGTCTCAATGTCGAACGGTCAGTTCGGAGAAGCGGGCCCTCGGCCGCCTTAGGTCGGCTTAGGGCCAGCGCGAGGCGCCCCTGAGCATTTTCTCGGAGCTTATTTCTGACACCTCGGATGAGGCATGGCGATCGGCGGGCCCCCCGCGCCGCGAAGCCGTAAAACGGCCGGAACACCGCGATCGGCCAACGTTTATATCTCGCCGATACGGTGCCCGCGACGGATTAAGGTTTCACGACCCCGGCTCACGAAGTAGCCGTGGACTGGGTAATGCGCTAAGCAAATCACTGCGATTCTTTGCCGTATTTAAAAAAGAATAGTTATTCGAAGAAAAATAAAACAACAGGACCAAGGTACAGCTCCCGTATCAGGAGTCTGTCGCACGAATGGATGCCACAAGTGCACCCAAACTCGCGAAAATTTGTAAATAATCCTAGGGGCATACAAATTTTGTTCCATACAGCGACCACACAGCGCGCAATGGCATTTTGTTCTCTCCGTGCAGTCGGGCTCATTATTTATGATTGCCTGATAGCTCCGATTTTGTTGCATGTTGATTTCAGTGGTACACTTTATTGCCTTAGTTACAAGTGTGAGTCCAGTAATAAAAATTCCGTGATAGATTAAAATCTGTAAGTCGTATAAACAGAAGTCTTCAAATGTTAACTTTAACTAGGTACAATATAAACGCTACAATAATTACTCCGTCATTTAGTTGTCGAGATCGAAAAAAACGTTATTTATGACAGCCTGGCAACGCCGGCTAAGTCGCATTTTGTTTTGATTTTAAACGCTTCTGAAAGTTCTTTATTCTAGGTCAAACAATAATATATTCGACGAGGTTATGCTTTCCAAAACCTAAAATCTAATCGATTCAATGATAAAAAATAATAACTCGACATATCGAAAATTATGTTCCTTGACTGATCTATCATTAAAATAAAAAAAAACTCATTTAAGGCAAACTTATAAGGCAATCAAATGCTTTAACATATCTGTGACATCTATCGGCAGGGAACAGAAAGTTTGAATATAAAATATCTAAGTGATTTAGCTCTCTATAGCGAAATATATTTTAGATATTTTCAGTGAACAAGAACAATACCACATAGTAAAATAACATAAGAAAATATTACCATCGTATACAGTTTATAGACACGATTAAATATAATATTGCAAATATATCAATAGCCATAAGTAAGGAGCATTGACAAAAAAGCTCATTTTATTGTCATCACATGTATAGTTAGAATAATGAAGACTCTTTATTATTTACGAGGAAAGGAGGAAGATACAATGGAGATATTAAGAAGATAAAAAATCATCGAAATCTAAACACATATCCCCATGCCCTCTATTGCATAGCGAGTGTACTATATAAACATTAAAATATTATCAGAGAAACATTATTCAATTGTTTTAGGAGAATACATAATACCATATAAGTATATAAGTATTTATTAGCAATATTTGGTATAGTATATTTTTTATTTCAAAACAAAAACGACATTTAGGGTTTACATGTTCCTTTTCATTTCAAAACATTCCAGGTATATATAAACATGGCAAATGTAAATACATTTAGTCCTTGACAATTTTAATTACATTTTAATTGAATTTTGTCAAAATAAAAACTTAGTATGTTATCATTTGGACCGAAATATCTGTAAAATAGATTACATTATGCCTAGTGTCAATGCCTTGTAAACATATGAATTGTGCAACGTGGATAGATATTGAAATGGTAGAAAATTTTTCATAATTTTACTTTAGCAAAACTTACCCATCTCATGAAGAAGATTCTAAAAACACGATAATGCAAATTTACACACAAACACTATAAACATTACACAGAGGCAGCCATATTACTAGATTAGTATTGCCATTTCATTTCCCAAATCCTTTTTGAAAAATAATATTTATATTTAATAATGTACTAATCTATTTTTTTAAACAAATTTGGCAAAATAAATCTCATAAAAATTATCAGTGAACATATTTTATGAAAATTACTTTTCCAAATCACTAAAATAAGATAAAGAACCTAAAGGCCCTTATAGGAATTGTAAAGAAATAGTGTAGACTTTGATATAAGAATATCCAGTCAGTGATTTTTAATGGTGCTATCGCTTTTAGTTATTGTTTATATACATTTAAACTGCTTATACATATACGAAATAACTATATATTATTAACGTCATTATTATCATCATTATCATTTCGGCCTGTTTAAGTCCTCAGCTGAACATAGGCCTCACTCATGTCTGTGCAATGAAATACAATCCTGAGTTTCCTGAGCCACCTGCCTCCATCGACCTCCCGCACACTTACCCAGGGCGACACTCCATCATGAGGGTGATGTGATTGTCATACACTACGATCTTACACTACTTCAAAATCGATTATCGGTTTTTCAAGCTACATGGCCGACCCATTGGCTCGTCAAATTATTATCCGTGCTTATAGCCCACCTAATTAAGGTATTTCTCATTATTACGACAAATAAAGCCATTTCCTTCGTTTAATTGATGTAAGATTTATTATTGCTTTTTGCCACCCCCACCAATTAAAATTTCATTATAATATTTAACTGTTTTAATGACTGTTATTACATTTTGATTATTTTAAAACAATAATTCGTGGTGATTATAAAATAAAAATGTGTATTTTTATTCTATACTTTGAAATGTTACCATGTTCAATAGTGTTTTTACGATAAGTTCTTTCTGTATCAACAGCTGTCAAAACGGTAGGGTTTCTTATTCATGTTATAGTAAATCTAAATAAATCTCAATGGAAATATAAATTTTACTCATTATGTGCTGGGCAAGTTAAGTAAAATATTCCCTTAATTCATATACTATTTATATTTCAGCTACAAAATGGTACAGCGACTTACGTTTAGGCGACGATTGTCGTACAATACCAAGTCAAACCAGAGGAGGATGTGAGTTTTTATTAATTTTAGATTAATTTAATTTATTGCGCTATATTCTTTTTAACACAGAGCTATACTTTAGTTTAATGTAGCTGCTAAAAGTTGCAGTAAATGAAATGTTTTCTAAACATAACCTCTATATTGTATCGGCATTGTATAATTTATTTTTGTACAACATAATTATGAATTTTAATAAACTAAATTGTTATTAGTAATTCCGCTAACGTTACACCAATATATAATAAATGTTATGTGTAAATAGCTTTTGTTGTGGACTCATATTAAAAAAGCAAGATTGTAAACCATTGTGAAGTATGTACACTAGAATATAATATGTTAAAGTTTAAATACTTAAATTAAGAAATTAAATGTAACATTTCAGAGTTCGAACCCCCGGTGGTCGTCTTGTCTATCAGTATGTCAAAAAGCCCAAGAAGATCCCAAGATGTGGGCAGTGCAAAAGCAAGCTCCGAGGTATTCAACCTGCAAGACCTGCTGAGCGCTCCCGCCTCTGCTATCGTAAGAAGACAGTGAAGCGTGTCTATGGTGGTGTTTTGTGCCACAAATGTGTAAAACAACGCATTGTGAGAGCTTTCCTTATTGAAGAACAAAAGATTGTAAAGGTTCTCAAGGCTCAACAGGCGAGTGCGAAAGCAAGTAAGAAAGCCGCAAAGTAAACATTAGGCTATAAATAAATTTCAACAAAAGTTGCAGTGTTTTTTTGGACATTCCTTCTTGAAGATTAATTAACAACATAGTATTTAATGTATTATGGCAAAACAAGCCACTGTCTTACTAACATATACAGCGTGTCTTTACAATCGCGACAATAAATGAACACACATAGAGGATAACTTTTTAAAATTGTATTAAACATTTACATTCTTTAAACATCAATATTTACAGAGTTATAAAATTTTCCAAAACAAAGAATTTTAGAACATCCTTACGTATAAAACTGTAACGTAATGTTCATTGGTAAAGGTCAAAAAGCATATGAATGGGTTGAATGAATTTAAAAGAGACCAAACATACTGTTAGAAGAAGAGGCTTGTAAAGCGACCCTGTGGCAACAAATGAAAAGGTCTCTGAATGTATGAATCAGTCAGTTGTAGTTGTATAGGTGTTACAAATTTTGTTTGATAAATATTTTTTTTTAACTATGGATTTTTTTTATGTTAACATTTTTTTATGATTATTGGCAAGTAGCATTAGATGTATTCATTTATTGTCGCGGAACAATACACTGTATATAAAATGAGTGAATAGAAGAATTAAATTTTCTTTTGTAGTATATAGCAATTAAACTTTTAAAACAAACTATTGACATACTTATTATAAGTAATTCTAAAAGTTTTATATAATTAAATTAATTAAGTTTTTAATACATGTTCTAAACTGATTAATTTCATTTAACTTAAACTTTACTTTCTTTTTGTTAGGGCAATTAAATAAAAGCTTGTTTTTAAAAAGTTCATTTTTTACCATTAATTACTTTTACCTACAGTACTTTCTACAAACATGATTACATTAAATATTAACATAAATCAATAGACAATAATTTCGGGCCAAGGGGCCTCCATTCCTTTGTTGCCCCGAGGACTCCAGACCTGTAAATCTGGCCCTGAACATATATGATGAACTGTGCCTTTAATGCAAACACGACTGCGAGAGCAAATGAATTTGAGCTCGTAACAACAGCTATATGTTATTACCTCATACGACACCCACGATCCCTAGATTCTGGCGGTGCAGGCAGCAGTAATATTTCGTTGAATCGTCCTTGGGAGATGTGGTTTTTCGTCGCCACGGTAGAAATTGCAACTAGCAAGACTGACAACAAAGAGTCAGATTCTGAAAAACCCTTGCAATGACGTGATTCCTGACGAAGCATCCACATTTGGCGAATTATGGAGGCTACTTGCGAGGATTAGGCTTAGCTCTCGGTTGATGGTACACCTGATCGACGTTTAAAACAATCCGCTACTTACCCAACCATTCGGGCAATAAGTCCAGCAGTCTGCATTCTGCGAATTGCTATTTCGAGTCGACAAAACGAGTCGTTGGCGTACAGTGCTAAGTAAAGCCCTCTCTTCCGCTCCTCGATGCGACATTGGAAGGTGGCGAGGTCATTGGTATACATTTGTATTCCGGTACTAATGCTACGTGCTACCCAATTCGATTTTTTCCGTTAACGTAAATAAAATAATAATTGAACACGTCATCTCTGAGTAAAATTATGGCCCTGGTGCCGCCACATTTGGTCCATGGCTTTCTCGATGACTAGATTGTCCAGCGCAGGTTGTTCGGATAATCCGATCGATCTGCACTTGACAATTTTGTTGAACGCAAGTTTGTGTAGCACCTGAAATAGCTGAGTGGCCGCTTCTGTTCTGCTGTTCTGGGTTGCCGAATGAGAGTTAAAATTAGCCTTTTGAAGAGCTTCCCAATTTGTAGAATCAGAGTGATTGGACAATAATGTGAGTGCAAAAATGCACAATCGACTAACAGGTGGATCACGACACTATCCAAGGGCCCTTGAGATGGAGTTTCGAACCTCGGATTGGACTTACCGAAAGGAAGTCATGAGGTTGAATTTGCGACTCAATCCCGAGACAAATATATAAACAATCATTCATGCGAACAATTTGTTTACGAGATTTGTTAGGAGAGTAAAGTTAAAACAGGTCTTCGAGATGTTCAGACAGAATGTCGAATTTTGACGTAGAAAACAATAGACCGCAATATGTTCTAGCAGTGCTGCCAATTTAATATGTTTTCATAAAATAAGCGAAGCTAATAGGTAATTGACACCAGAGTGGTGATGAAAAATTATTGAGGTACAAATTTTCCGTGGTTTTCTTAGTGATGTGCCGGATCATTAAAATTGTAGATCGCGGATACGGATCATTGGCATCAAAAATAACGGATACGGATCTTAACTTATATCTAGGAAAATATCAATATTAGTGTAGGTATTCGACGGTGTGATCGAAGGATAAATTAGATTTTAGTTGCAAAAATTGATAAGAAAATTTCAAGTAACATCATTTTTAGACCCATGGGACAAAGGAATAAAAAAAATTGCTCATAACTTTGGTAAATGAATTAGGTAAATTTCACAGCAACTACAAAAGATACTAAAGACAAACCAATGATTTTTGCCAGAGTTTAGAAGAGTCTATGGCTAACTAATGTTAGACAGTGATGATGAATATTAGATACGAAAACTCATTTGCTTATACAGTATATGCCAGAAAAAAGATTATTAAGAGAGCCACGATCCACTAAAGTATTGGCATATTAACAGTAAAAAGTATGGAGGTCTCACGCCCGTTTTCTGAAATCATTTGACACCTGGTTAGTTGACTTTTACGATGATCAGTGTTTCAGAAACTGGGCGTCAGTCATACGACTTGACGACCCGATTGGCGTGGGGAGTACTGACCTGCCTTTTGCACCAGAGGGTGTGAGTTCGATCCCCACTACTGGAAAGATATTGTGTGATGAACATAATGTTTTTCTAGTGTCTGGGTGTTTATAAATGTATAACATGTATTTATTTACAAAAGAAAAGTATTGTTATCAGTTTTCTAGTACCTAGTACAAGCAGTACTTAGTTTGAGACTAGAGAATGTGTAAAAAAGGGTCCGAAAATATTTATATTGCACACACATATTTTTCTTTTATCATGACTTTTGGGAGATAAAGCTGCCAAGTTACTCTTTTTGAAGTATTATTTACCGTTCCTTTAATTATCACTGTATTTTTAATCAACAGTGAGTGTCACAGTCTATTAATTTACTTAATTAAAATTATCATTTGATTACCATTATAAGGGTAAACATCCGTTAAAATCTAGCGGATACGAATACGGATCTTTTTTCTGGCGGATATCCGCGGATACGGATATCCGGATTATCACTAGGTTTTCTCCGTCTCCGTCACGTCTCGTACAGAGAGATTGTAATCACTACGTTTTTTTGGTCTCGTGCCCGGTCTCAAATCTTTAGTAATAGTCAACAGAGTAAAAGACATTTCCTTGGCATTGCTTTACTCTATAGTGGGGACGTCGAAAGAAGAATATGTCGATATTTTAAAAATATTAATATCTGCCTCGATATAATTAAGAGAAAATATCAATATAAGGTCCTATACACCCTTCATAGAAAAAAAATAAGATCAACACTGTACCGGACTAGAATTTGAAACAATATCGATTTTGATACAATTTTCTATATTTTGTATCGATATACGGCTGAAGATATCGATTTATCGTTATTTTTTGACATCCCTACTCTTAATCTATGGTCATGGTCATTGGCATTGGTCAATCAAAGGCAAATACACAAAAGAGAGAAGAGAATAATATTGTGAAATAATTTTCTCATTACCTAATTATTAAGTTTTTTATATTTTGAAAATTTTATTTATTTCCTTACGTACTGTGATATAGTGTATAAATTTTCAAAATGTCCAATCCATGGAAGAAAGTTCAAGCACCAGTAGACGTACAAAAACTTTCGGATATAATGTCTGAAGAATACGCACGAGGTCTTCAAGTCCAAGAAGAAATCAAATTCGCAGAGCATATGTCAGATCAACATGTAGTGTCGGAGTCAAACGAAGTGCCTCTTGAAATTTTGCAACAGATCGCCGACTGCAACGTGACGGAGTATTGCGATTCTGATGCTATTATTGCGAAAGTTTTGCAATGCCAGTTTGACAAAGAGTATGACGACGAGGTGAAGATGGTCGAGAAGAAAAGGAACGGTGATGCAAAGGTATCGATATCTTACGATAATTATCGAAATGTACCCGAGCACCTTGTATATGATTCAGATTCGGAAGATGATGTGGAGCGAAATGATGCGAAAGATTGGGATCGATTTGAAACAAACGAGAAAGAGTATGCTAGGCTGCCTAAAAGAGGTTTCATCATGAAAGACGGCGAAATGGTCACGAAACATGACAGTTTGATTAATGGACGAAGAAACGCCTGTCGCATCATGGCCTTTCCACCAGAGGTGTGTACTGGCGATGGCGCTGGATTTGACATGAAATTACCGAACTCTGTCTTCAACCAACTCAAAGAACATACAAAATGCAATCAGAAGAAGCACAAGCTATTAGATAGGAAGGAGAGCCAAGCTACAGCTGAAATGGGATTGGATGAACAAACCAGACTTATTCTTTTTAAGATGATCAACAATGGAATGTTAGAGGACATAAATGGTATCATTTCCACTGGAAAGGAGTCTGTGGTGCTCCATGCGAATGGTGACCAGTCCTTCCCAGATTTAGTTGTTCCTAAGGAATGTGCAATAAAAGTATTTAAAACAACTTTAAATGAGTTCAAAACCCGAGATAAATATATAGAAGCTGATTATAGATTTAAAGATCGCTTCTCCAAGCAAAATCCTCGCAAGATTGTCCACATGTGGGCAGAAAAAGAAATGCACAATATGATGAGAATTCAGAAAATTGGATTAAACTGCCCTGATATGGTGTGTCTGAAGAAACATATATTAGTGATGTCTTTCATAGGCAGAGACAACAAGCCTGCTCCTAAACTACGAGATGTAATACTAAAGCCAGAGAAATGGGAGAGTGTTTACAATGAAATTGTAGAGGCAATGCATAAGCTCTACAATGTAGGGCACTTGGTGCATGCCGATTTATCTGAGTATAATATTCTCTGGTGGGAGAACAAATGCTGGTTCATTGATGTATCCCAATCGGTGCAGCCTGATCATCCTAGTGGGCTGAAGTTCCTGCTGAGGGACTGCCGAAATATTATCAATGTAAGCAATCATCCCTTTTTGTGATTAGTTTATTTAATTTGTCTTGATATAAAAGAAGAGATAGTTACAACTAGCATCATTTATCTTATATTTTGTATCATAACAAAATTTGTTTTGTTTACCAATAACTACCAATTTCTTTTAATTTAATTGTACTAAAATAATTTAAGCCAACACAGTTAACAATAATTATTAACTCTAAAAGCCTACCACTATAAAAGTAATTAAATATACAGCATGTTGTTGGACAAGGACAAAATTATTTATTCTATTTGAAAATTTGGTCAGCAAGCAGTTGTAGACACCCATGGTCATCTACAAAACCTGAGGGATTACAAATTCACTGCCAAACTTTAAAATATATTGCCCCAGTTACCTCATTTACCAGACAAAATTCAAAATTAATCCACATCATGCCTATCTTCTGTAAGGACTAGGTATTTTGCCGAATCTGTTACATGGCCCTAACACAGTGCAGAACATAAATATAATAAAATTAAATAAAAATTACAGAACACTCATGTTTTGTAGAAAACATTAATCATAAAATTAATTTGATCATTAATTTATCTTAATGATTAACCTTTGGTCTGTCGGAACGTAGATCTGCGCGCCGAATTGTGCTTCCGTTGACTGTCGGAACGTAGATCTACACCAGATCGTTTGTGATTAATAGTGAGCTATTTGCTGACTAAATAGAGTTAATTTTCCCGTGAAACTCGATTGAGAAATTAGCGAAGGAATGAATGAACCGTACTTTGATAGCTAAAAGAATTATTACTGGTAAAAATCTATTTATTATTTCACATTTATTTCGATTATCTCCATGTTTTCATTTAAATATTTGAATTACTGTTTTTTGTTAAACTAGTATCGAAAACCGTAAGTATTTTTTCTTTTCTTATTATTTAGTATAATTATATAACAATGATAACGTATCGAAAACTGCAATATTACTAAGAATTTAACGAGATACGAAGAACATAAAATGTATGTATCCGTTCGTCATCTCTGTTTCATTTTCGACTACTGATATTTCGTAGTTTGAATTACACATTCTAATTACCTTACACATCATTTTGATTCTATATAGATATTATAAATAAAATGTAAATTTGGAAAAACCTTTCCATCTATCAGAAATTTCGTTTTCAAATTGTAACTATAAAAACTTGGAAATATAGGATGTTCATAAAAGTCATTTTTTTGTTCTCGGGTTGAACATTAAATTTTTTTTTAATTGATTTGAAATTACTCCATCGCTATAAAATTTAAAGATAAGGTAGAGAACATTTTATCCACTTAGTGTTAATTTAACTATTTTAATGAAAACGAACAAAAATATATTATTGGAAGATGAAGGCTAGTAGCACACTGCAACAGTCTATAAAAGGAACAGCGATAGCCATTTTCGGGGCCAATCCGTAAGTCGTAGGTGCCGTTACCTACAGACCCTTACTGCTAGGTACGTTCCGTCGCAAATTGCGCAGACCACGGCACATCCTCGATTTTCCTGATGATGAGACGACTATTGCCATCGACAGGATAAAACAATGTGATAGCATGAGCCGAGGCTCCCTCGGAAGCCCTCGAGCTTAGTCACCAAAACGCATAAGCGAGGTTCAGGCTAGGCGCCCCGAGCGTGCAATTCAGGTTCTCTCGGGACATGGGTGTTTCGGGAGGTATCTGTTTCGCGTGGCAAGGAGGGAGCCCACCGCGGAATGCAACCATTGTGACATATGTGCCTAGGAGACAGCCCAAAACACGCTGAAAGAGTGCCCAGCCTGGATGGAGCAGCGCCGAGAGCTGTGCGCTATCGTGGGGCACGACCTCTCGCTGCCATCCGTGTTTCGCGCTATGGTTGATAGCGAGAGTAATGGGGTGCTTTCCTCGCATACTGCGAGTATATTATCACCCGAAAGGAGGCCGCGGAGAGAGAAAGGGAAGCAACAACCACCCTGGATATCCGCCGCCGTTGACTAGGGCGCAAGAAGCTGGCCTACGCGCGCAACCTTCACCCCTGATAGTGAGACCCTGAGCGGCAGGCTGGGGTGTCTGTCGCTCAATATGGGGCTCGTGACGTGTGCGTCACGAGCCAATTGCACCGGCACAGCACTATGTAGTAAAGAGGAGGCCTAAAAAGGCCATAGTCGCGTCGGGGTCGCGGAAGATTGCGTCCACGTGTTCCCGTGTCCCCGGTCGATGCGACAGACACAGGTGCAACGCGGGTTTTTTAGTGGTTACCCGTTCTTATTGGGACTCTTACATACCCCTCCCACTCCCCCAATCAAGTGGCAGGGGATCCATAAAAAAAGGCACCCCGAGCGCCCTGCCACCTCAAGTCCGGCGGATCTGTAAAGGCCCCTACAGCGTGCGGAAGCTCTACACGAATTACTAACGATCGTGTCGGTTACTTAGAACTGTAATTAAACTCTACGTAGTTTGGCTTACGGGCCACTTGGTTTTTTTCAACCGACTTCAAAAAATACGGAGGTTCTCAATTCGACTGTATTTTTTTATGTTTGTTACCTCAGTACTCTGGGAAGTAGGAGAGAAAAACATGAATATACCAAGTGGCCATAACGCCCGTAGAATCCAATAGATCCTGCTGATTTGCAATATATCATTGATTTGCAGAAGAAACAAAGTGGGAGACAGTACGCAGCCTTGTGGAACACCAGCATTGACAAATTTAGGATCAGAGCATGCACCGTCGACGACGACCTTGATGCTCCGATATGCCAAAAAGCTGGTGATCCATTTGCGTAACTTCCCGGGAAGCCCATAGGAAGGCAGCTTCGAAAGAAGTGCTTGTGCCACACCCGATCAAAGGCTTTTTCCTTGCTCTCAACTGCTTCTGCCCATCTGTGTGTCAGGTAAACTAGAAGATCACCGGCTGACCGACCTCGACGAAAGCCGTACTGGCGGTCGCTAATCAGCTGGTGCTCCTCTAGGTACCGCAGGAGCTGGCAGTTAATGATGGTCTCCATTATTATAGGCCTGTAGTTGGATGGATCCGAGCTGTTGCCTTTCTTAGGGATCGGGTGCACTAAAGCGGCCTTCAAGGATTTCAGGAATACGCCTAGAGTATAGGAGAGCCGGAAAAGACGCGTCAAAACCGGTGTAAACTCCGGAGCATATGTCTTCAACACGATCCGAGGGATTCCATCAGGCCCACTCGACTTATGAATGTCCAAGGATAAGAGTGCTCTGCGAACTGCACTTTGCCGAAATTGAACCTCCGGCATCGTAGCATCGCAACGCGGGATTGTTGATGGTAATTTTCCTCGGTCATCCAAAGTCGAGGTGGACGCGAAGAGAGAGCCCAGAAGATCGACTTTCTCCTTCGCGGCATGGGCCAGCGAGTCATCCTCCGTGTGCAGGGATGGAAAAGAAGGCTTACAAAAATTTCCCAAGACAGCTTTGGCGAGAGACCAAAACGCACGTGTTCCCGTTGGAAGACGCGCCAATCTCTCGCCAATTCTGCGAATGTGTTCCGATTTCGCCTTAGCAATAACTCTTTTGAAGGACCTAGAGGCAGAGTTATACTTCTTTTTTAAAGCGCTGGTTTTTACATCACTTGACGTCGAAACGTCAGCCCAAGCCTGGTAGCAATCCCGCTTTCGGCGTAATGCCAACTTACAGGAGCGACCAAACCAAGGCTGCGACTTGCCACCAATGGGCACTGCAGAGAACGGAATAAAGAGTTCCATACTTTGAAGCACCACATCAGTCACTGAGTCAGCAAGGACGTCTGGGTCATCCGGCGAGAAGCAAATCCGCCCCCATGGGTAGGACGCAAAGAATGACCCAATCTGCTGACCTATAATGCCATACGCGGCGGCAGCCCGCAAAGTGAGGCCGTGTTAAGCGCGTTATTGGCACTGTGCTCCGGACAAGACAGTGGTCCGGCGAGAGGAGGATCGACGGAAACCAAGTATCCGTTCGGATGAGAGGTCAACAGAAGGTCCAACAGGGAAGGTGTATGATCCTCCACATCTAGGATTCGTGTTGGCGAGGTAACCAGTTGTGTCAGATCATATGTCAATGCGAAATCGTGAGCAGATCTCCTCGCGTGGTCGGTGGTACGAGATCTAAGCCACTCAGCGTGATGAGATCTGCTGCAGCACGGAGTATGTAGCCATTTGTATGTGCCCAAAGAGTCGGTCAGTTTCAGCATTACCGCTATGGGAACTGTACAGACACGCGTAGATTCGCGGATGGTCATCGCAGTCTACGCGTAGCCAGAGTATGGATAGGTCCCGCCCTTCAAGAGTGTCGAGGAGACGAGAGCATATAACCTCTCTGACGTACACGCACACCCCAGCCCACGGCACAAAGGAATGTTCCAGTTTATAAATTTTTTACCCTCCTGGGGTAGAAAATTTAAATTTCGCGCAGACATTATGGGGGAGGAATGGGAGAGGCCGTCAGGGACTCTCACAGACCAAACGAAACGCGACAGCAAACCTGCCACTTGACGTCGGTTTCTAGTGAGAGAGTTGTTCTTCCCCGAGCGTGCCGGCCCAATTCGGCTGCTACCCGAAGGTGCGCAGCATGGCACTACCACTAGTTGGGTTGACTGACTGCACTGGTGGAATAATCTCTGTCACAAGATCCATCCAGCGGACGATGGGGTCCCAACGCCAGAAATTGTTTATATGCTGTAAAGGATGGAAGAATAAATACACCACCAAGCTATGCTTGGAATGCGAAAAAACATTGAAAATTTTTTTTAGTTGATCCTTTGTTGTAAGGACGTTTTACAAACATAAATTTCACGCGGACAAACACCCAGATGCGAAACATTTATCTGTGGGTAACGCAAATCGTTGTCCCGTGTGGGAATCGAACCCACGACCCCCGACGCCGAAGCCAATGCCTTGGCAAGGAGTCATTAATAAAATCTTTTTTACTGCAAATTTTAATGTTTTGTCTTAAGTGCCGAGAATAGCACAATAAAAAATTTACTTTGAATTTTTTTTATTGGAAGTAGGAAAGAAACTTACTTGAAAATTGAAACATCCGGTATAGTCAGTGTCGGAACGTAGATCTGTGTTCAGACTGTTGTGTCGGAACGTAGATCTGCGCTACTAACGCACCAATAAATTATGATATTTGTACTCAAATTTCTTAAGTTTTATCAAAGAAATACACATTTTATTTATATTTATTCAAAACAACATGTATTCTGTTTTCATAACATGGAAATAAAAAAACTAAAACGTTTATCATGAATTACTTATTGATATTTTTCTTTAGGATGTCGTATTTATTGATAGCTATAGTAAGAATTGCTTCTAGTAAACGATACAAACATTCTACAAAGGCAAAAATGTAATTATTGTAAAGTTAAGCCATCCATATAGCTTTAAAATAAACCTGAATCATATAGATTATGGTTTTCACTACAAATATTGTTCCGAAGAAAGACGCAGTTGCAAAATTGTGCGACTGTTTTTCACCGACAGACAGCGCATTTTTCATAGTGCGCTACCCGACTGATCAACGTTTAACACACTCAAAAAAAAACATTTATAGTTTATTTTATATTCAAGTTTTTTTTCTTGTTCTAGTTCTTTGAGAAAAAATGTGTACCGAACATTAAAACGGCAGAAGAGCTTTTTAAAAGCATAACTGGCTTCGAGGAAGTAGATGTTAATTTACTTGAAGGGGTTCATACCACATATAATGCATTGTCATCGCGCTTTGAGATTGCACCTGATGACAATAGAATTGTAAGTTATCCATTTGAGTACTGCTGGCAAAAAACTAGCGAGAACAAACACCCTCAAAGGGAAGATGTTGTTGACAGTGATGATGACGAATTTGAAGACATGTGGACCCACTCCATTCAAACTAAACCCATTGACGGAGCAGCAAACTTTGGTGATGAACTAAAGCTTCAAGAGGACACTGTGAAAACTACAACAGAAGAGGTGGTTGACAACATAACTAATTTTGCAAATACCATAAATCTTGCTATGCCTAAAAGTGTTGCAGATATAAGTAGTGGATTAATTGATAAAAAGTCTTAATGCTTATAATGTGAAAGATTTCATACATGATTTCATCTTAAATGTATATCAAGAGATAGCTGGTTACATTTTAATCTTTATTGTAGGTTGCATTTTTAAAAGTAAAAAAAAAGTTGACAGTTCTTTAAATAAAGTGTTATGGCAATCAAATATTATTTATTTCCCCATAATGCAATGTTAGGTTCGGCGCCCTCAGTGTCATCAGTGTCATGCCACCTCAAGCCCGGTGAATATGTAAATTCCTTTTAAAGGACAACAGTGACAGACCAACCATAAAATTACTAACTGTCACAAAAGCTATTTATGGTTTGTTAAAGTTCTTTTCATTTGTTTATGTTTTAATTATGTATTTGTGTTCTTTCGCTTTACTGAAATATTTATAAGTATTTTTTTATTTCTTTTATTTTTTGTTAATTTTAGTTTTTCTTTCTCTTTTATTGTGTGCATCCTTTTTTTAGTAAATAAATTTATTTTCTTTCTTTCTTTCTTTCAAAAGAGATGTTAGATTTTTGAAATGAAAGTTTTAAACTTAGAGCACATCTAAATACTGTTAGTCAGACCAATATTTTTCTGGCTTTATTATCAAAATGTAAGTAAGCAAATATTAATATAATGGGCTGGCCATGTCTCCACACGTACTGATGGTCGGTGGAGCCGACACGTGTTAGAGTGGACATCACTATGGGAAGGTGCAGACCTTGTGCACGATGGACTGACGTCTAAAGAAAGGTGGCAGACAGCAGGTGGATGCTGATTGCCCAGGACGCCGTTAAGTTCAGCAGTTGACGGCGTTAAGCTGAGATTCTTGTCGAATAAACAAATATGAATCTAGATGTTTAATTTTTATGTCAAACAAAAAATCATGTTTCGGAATCGGCAAAAATGCTAACATCGCCTGTTCTTGGTGTTGTTATATTTTTATTGTTGTTCATGATAAATTGGTAATATATGTTATATTAGCATAAAAGATATATTTTGTATTGGGCTGCCAATGTACCACACCACATAAAAAAGGAAGTAATAGAAAAATATGATTACTTTGAAGGATAAAACTACCTACTTTGAATAATTTTAAACAGTCATAATATTATCCCGGCAAGTAACTTGTTAAGCTTTGATTACTTGTTCAAGTATACAGTATGGTATTACAACCGCGACCTTAAACAAACACACTTTTAAATTGCTAATAATCATAAAAAATACAGGGAGATTTTTTGAGAAGTGCCCAAATTTACACAGGAGGTTCAGACTCGGTAGTATAATCGTTTATTGAAACAAAGTATTTTTTCCAGAAAAAAAATGACATTCTATTCCCTAAAATACAGAACGTGTTGACAATGCGGTAGTCATTCATAAATACCTAAATTTTACTGTGCACGAACTTGTGTGCGTGCTAGTTATGAATGATCGCGCGTAAAATAAATCATTTGCGTATAAAGCAAGCACTTTTTGAGATAAGTTCAAATTAATGTAATTAATTACTTAAGAGTGATTTTAAATATTTTAAATTTTTTATATAACATTATTTATGCCTAAACTTAAATAAAAAAAATGGATACACTTAGAAAAGCCACCGTGTATAACTGTTAAAGAAAATCCCTAAATAAAAAAAATCAAGTAAAAGTTATTAAATTAAAAAGAAAACATAATATGTTTTCTTTTTATTATGTTATATGAATAGGATTCACAAGTATTATTTGTAACATCCTATACAACTACAACTAACTGATTCACACATTCAGAGACTTTTCATTCGTCGCCACAACGTCGAATTACAAGTCTCTCCTAACCAATTCATGCTTTTTACGTTACAGTTTTGTATGTGGGGGTGTTCTAAAATTTGTTCTTGAATATTAAATAACTCGCTCAAATTACAAACATTAAAAACAAACAAATCACTTTCTTGCAATAGTTTGGGCTGTACTTTTAGTCTTCTTTGATACTTTTCCATCTTTACTTTTCTTAATATTACTTTTTTCTTTAGCCAGTGTTAACTGATTTTCAAGATACTTACCGGTTTATGTCAATCATATTAAAGAATTTAATTGTCACAGAAATATGTAACATAAATAAATTATTAAAATAATAGTATTGAATAGACAATGATTTTACACTATAATTTTTGATTAAATTGCTTTGAATGATAATTCATAATCTTTTCATAACAAATTTTATGAAATTACATAGTGGTGTCAACAAAAACAAACATTATTTTCAAGATTCAACAAATAAATACCATCAATTTGATGGTGCTATGTGAAAAGATCCTGGTATATTAATAATAATAAGCTAATTTGAACATGCATGGCAAACTTGCATATTATGATTACATAAGTTACATAGAACTTATTAACAGCTATTGATGTTACTCTATTTATATGTATGTAAAATGCCATGTGGACTAGATAATAACATTTAAAATATATATCTAGCTGTTGAAGTGTTCATTCCTCTCTTCACTGATTAATGCCTGCAACATTTCTGCCTGTTGGGTTGTCAAAAATTGCTTGGTGTCCACAGCCACACTAATCAGAGATTGCAAATCTGAGTTTGCATTGCAGATAATAATAGACTGGAGTTTCAATCTCAGGTCCGTATTGAAGGGTATTGCTGCATCAAAAAAAAATTATAGTAACTTTTATAACAACAAGTTGTTAAAGATACAATCCAAGGAATTTTGAATTTATAAATGTAAAGAATTTCCCTCCATCATTCACACATACTGAAAATTGGTATGGAATATATTTTGTTTCTACCTATTAATTCTTGTAAGATTTTTTTCACAAAAACGATTTTTTTATTTGTAATCCATAGGAGGAATTATTTATTGCACAGGTACTCACCATCACACTCTACGTCATTCATCAAATTAGTAAACAATTGCTTCAGGGATTCAGGTTTGCTCCCCTCATCTGGTTCAACAAGCAATGCCAACAATACTCTGCTCAATTGAATCCTGTTTTTAAAGAAATTTCTTTAGTTCCAAATGCATTCTTGATTGGAAATAACTACATTTTCATAATTAGTTAATAATTAAACAATCTTAAAGCAATTAACCTTTAAATACTTACTCTGACAACACCTCCTCAGGTATGCTAGTGTTTGAATCATAGATAGTATTGGCCAAGTGGAATGCTGTATCAAATTTACCTGAAATATAAATCTTTATTAAAAAATGTTATCAACAATATACATTTCAGTTTAGTTGAATCTTCATAATCATAAGAATGGTTTTGTTGTGTGTAGGCCACAGGCTTTCAAAGATTGATGACATTTTAAGATATCCTAATATAAGACCTTATTCTTAGATCAACACTGTTTGTGATGCTTGTGAAATTTTGATGCATGAGTAAAAGTCACACGTATCAATGACAATTATCATGTTGGTTGGTATTTTAAAAAAGTATTACAATTAATTACAAATTATAATCAATGACTTTAGATAAATGGTATAAATCCATAATGAACATTGAAAACAAATAATTTCACTCACCACAGTCAATCAAAAGATTAAGAAGGTTTCTGGAATACATTAATTTCATAGCACTATCTCTAACAGTGTCCAAGGCCTGCTCACAATAAGCAACTGCCTCTAACTTGTGGTTTAAGGACAATAAGTTATTAGCAAGTTCCATAAGTATTGATGTGCGAATTAATGACTTCTCGGGGTATTTGCTTAGTGCTTGCATGTAGCAACCAATAGCAGCCTGCAAATTACCATACTTTTACACTTTCCCTTCATTGTTTTAATAAAACCCAAAGCATATTTATAATATAGCAACCATCAATTTAATCCATGAAATCACATTCAAGTCAAATATTTTAATCGTTAAAACAAGAAATAAACATTTGATCTATCAATAGTCATTTTCTAAATGTACCACTGTTTCATAATGAGTTATACAATTATTACCTCCAAATTCTCTCGATCCGGGCTGTAGAATCGCAAGGCTAATAACTTCTGCTCAGCTTTTATAAATTGCCGCGCGGCAGCTAAGTATTGGTCCGCTTCTCCTAAGTAGTTACCAGCTAATGCTTCACATTTTGCTGCACCTACGTAGGTCTGGCCTGCGAAAGCAGGTTGCTCCGAGTGTTCACATTGTATAGCTAAGCCAACGAATTCGTTAGTCGCCTCCGAAACATTTGGTTTTCGCATAAAACGCCTGAAAACATATTTTTAAATCATATTCAATAAACAACAAATCATACTTAATAAATGTACATACTTTTTTAATTTGGTATTTATATTAATGTATTGTTCATCAAAACTAGCGCTGAGATCAGTCGACATTGTATTTATTAATAAAATGAAAACTTCCGATGCAATTTCTTCTTCTTCTTTTCTTTTTTGGCGGTTTTCAATGAATACGCCATCCGATGCAATTTACATATTAATGTTTGTTTTCATACGTCAAACATATGTCATTGTCACAGAGTACTTTGGTATATAGGGAAATATTGGGGTATATTGAGGGTATATTTGGTCATTGTCAAATCAAAACATGTATGCATGTGTAAAAATTTGTAAAATAAATGACGATAGGCATGTGCGAAAAATTTTGCCACACAACTATCGATATGTATTTTATATATTTTTAATAATATCGATATTTATTTTAAATTATCGAATTCCTTTCATTTTCGGTATATTTTAAACAAAACTCTGATTTCGTGTTTAATATTTCTAGATATTTCTCTTTTGTTGCGCGCGCATCGTTAATTTAATAAAAAAATATCATTTAAAAAATCCCGCTACAATCTTAATGAAATGCAAAATAACAGTAAAACCATTAGCTGCGTGTGCGAAAATACTTCTACTATTAGACCATCAGCCAAAAGAGTTAAAATTACCAACCGTGAGGAAATGCTTACTGTTGTTGAGGACTTCTTTAAGAATCTCTATGAAGTACTTTACAGAAAATTGAAATTTTTTTTCAAGAAATCAACTTTTTGTCATGTCAATCAACAAATCATGTCTATGCTTTTTTACGAATTTTGGATGGTTTGGAAATATACAGCGTGTCGTTACCATCGCGACAATAAATGAACACACGTCTAACGCTACTTGCCAATAATCATAAAAAAATATTGACGTTAAACAAAATCCATCCATAAAAAAGAAACATAATTTGTAACACCTATACAACTCGCGCCACAGCGTCGTATTACAAGCCTCTCCTTCTAATAGTATGTTTTGTCTCTTTAAAATTCATTCAACCCATTCATATGCTTTGTGACCTTTACAAATGAACGTTACAGTTTTATACATGTTGTAAATTTCTAAAATTTTTCGTTTTGGAAAATTTAATAACTCTGTAAATATTGATTTAAAGAATGTAAATGTTTAATACAATTTTAAAAAGTTATCCTCTATATGTGTGTTCATTTATTTTCGCGATTGTAACGACACGCTGTATATGAATGCGAAAAAATCATGCGAAAATTGATGATATATCGATGTATATTTTTGATGATATGAATTTTTTCTCTCGATGAATGTCGATTCTGTTTATAATATCGATAGATTTTTTTAAATCAAAGAATGACGCGTCGGGGAAGTGCTGCTATTTATTTATTTTTTTGGATTATATGCACCGGTATCAAGTCCAAAGTGCTGTTATCTTCAAAAGCTCAAAATTCATTAACAAAAGTCGCTAGTATATCGTGACAAACTGTACCTGATTTTACCATGGGTAGTTCCAAATTTTATAGGGAGCTTTGAGTATAAGGTGTATCCTTCTGGATTCCCTTAAGACACTTGTACACTGTAGGTATTACTGCTACTGTACCTTGTCTATAAAGAGTGTGTCGTGGATAGCGATATGGAAATGAAAATTACAGACAATTTTTATTTTTTGTGATTTTCATATCCCTATTTCTATATATATTTCATTTCCCTATTATATTATTTATTAAAAACATGAAAAACACATAGAACAAGTGTTTAAAACTTTTAAAAAACCTTCTTAATCAATTTCAAAAACCATTAAACTCAAACGATAATTTTCTGAAAGTGAATTAATTTAATTTTTTTTTCAATTTCTTTGTCGTGCGACCGATGCCCCGAGGTATCAATCGCGATCAATTCGCGCGCGTCGAATTGGTTTGCGGACCTGCGGGTTGTCTGCTTGCAACGTGGCCTGTTGCGGACTTCTTCCTCTTCTGTTCATCTGTTGAATGAAGCTGTCTTAGCTCTCAAAAGCAAATTCGCCGTGCTAAAAACAAATAAAAAACAATTACACTTATAATGAAATAAACTCCATAGTAGCAACCCTGCATAATTCTGTCAAAATCAAATTAACAGAAGATGCTTTGACGTGTCTTATTTTTAAGAATTAAAATAATTTACTTGTTTTACTGATAAAGATATGTTATTTTGTTGACTATATAGCACATACTCATTAAATTGACCCTGTAGAGGTTTTAAATACTATGGATTTTTTTAAAAGCGGCCTAAAGACCGTTCTTGGTGCGCCGGAACCTGGTCACCAGCCTTCAGGAGCTGAAACGGTAACGTTCTGTCATTTTCACGCCAGGAATTTCATTACGAACTATTTATAATTCACACCAGTAGTCTGACCGCCGACACTTTCATGTTTAGTGTAGGCGTGGCAAAGTTTTCGCATATTCTATAGATTTAATCCGATAGTCGTGTTTTAATTTACATAACGATATTTACTTAAATTATTTTCTATGAAACATATACGTTAGCTTACTGTCCTTATACTCTATTTCCTTAAATGACATATAACTTTTTTTTATAAATAATCAAGTCAGTATTGAGATGATGGTTGATAGAGGATGGAAAGTACATGTTGTGTCGACCCTTATCCCACACTATATGTATTGTGTGATAAGGGCAGAAGAAGAAGAAATCTAATAATAGTCTTGTAAATTATAAATCATCATTTTAGTCTGTTTGTCTCCTGCTAAACATAGGCACCATAATTTAACCTTCTAGCTAGTTTTAATTTTAAAAACAATTACCATTGATGATTTTTTGTTCATTTGTTTTTAAATGAACTTAATAAGAAATTGAAGGTAATGGTACACATCAACAACTGCCAAAAGCTAGAATTGATCACAACAAAGTGCAAATATTGCTTAATATTCCTTCTAGGTGGAAAGACTTGTAGACCGTGTTAACAATTCTACATTATTAGAAGATCGAAGGGATGCTTGCAGAGCTTTGAAAGCAATGTCAAGAAAGTACAGAGTGGAGGTGGGGGCACAAGGAATGGATACATTGAAGCAGGTACATCATACCAAATTCTATCTATGGAACAATTAAATATCATTAGTAATTTTTTGTTCCAAACACTAAGGTCAACTGCTGTGGTCTAACTGTCATTGTTTTTTTTTTATGGGAGATGGTGGTAAGTGACCTGGCAGTTTAACTGATGTTACATGTTAACCGTCATTAACATTTCCATCACCTGCAGCTTGGCAGATGTATAGCCACCTTTTGATAAAGTGGGCCCCGGCTACCACAATCACCAGACAAAATGCAGAAGTATAGCACTTGACTGCACGCAGGTGCAGCTAAACATGCCCATTCATGCAACAGTGAAGAATATTGTGTGGCTCTACCACATTTAAGTGGCTAATTACTGCATCGGTATAATGGGATTTGGAGTTTTCTTTATATTGCCTGTATTTTTTCCGATTTCTTCACCATCAAACAGCAGACAACATGTCAACATGCACTTTTTATTTGAGAAATAGTGTTCGCTAGTCACTCAGCTTGGTTTTTACACAAACGGGCAAGGTTCATCTGAGGAAACACAGCTACACACAGAACAAGCATGAAACAGAAAATTTGCAAGACATCTACCACCCCTTCAGTTGTTTATATCAATGGGCAGAGAATCACTTGACATCAGATGCCTTCTCCCTTGCCAAAATTTCATGTTAAAATATATTAATCATCTGCAAAGAAAAAAAAAATTAAAAGTAATATTGCATTAAATTTTAATTGTTCATATTATTGTAAGAATGAAGTAAATGCTTCTAACTAGATAATGCAGGCAAATTAGTATTTTATCAATTATTGTAATAATTACATATCAATTACATATATTTTGTAGGTTTTAGAACTAGACAGAGCAGACAGTGAGACCATAAACTATGCCCTAGACACTCTCAACAACATAATGTCCCCTTCCCAATTTGAGGAAGAGGAGAACAACCCACAGGTGCCAATGAACATTGGGGAACAATTCACGGAGATGTTTATTAAAGACCATAACAACATCCAGCTTATCTTGGACCTTTTGGATGAGTATGACTTCCGAGTCAGACTTTCGGCCGTACAATTGTTAACCTCGCTACTAACCAACCGACCTAAGGACATACAAGAAATAATCCTTGTCAAACCCATGGGAGTTTCCAAAATGATGGACCTCTTGAGTGATACTAGGGAAGTCATACGAAATGAAACACTTCTTTTGTTAATAAAATTAACGAAGGGCAATGCAAACATCCAGAAAATAGTGGCATTTGAAAATGCTTTCGACAAATTATTTGAAATAGTTTCCAGTGAGGGTTTTTCTGACGGAGGCATAATTGTTGAAGACTGTCTGTTGTTAATGTTGAATCTGCTCAAAAATAACAGTAGTAATATCAACTTCTTTAAAGAAGGCAGTTACATTCAGAGGATGCTACCAATGTTCAACACTCCGGAGGAAACTGAGGATATTGGATGGTCGCCGCAGAAAGTTTCGAATGTTCACTGTATGCTTCAGATTGTACGGACTCTAGTATCACCATGTAACTCTGTCCAAATGGTGTCAGATTGCCAAAGAATCATGAAGAATGTGGGTTTATTGGACTCTCTGTGCAATATTTTGATGGCAAGTGGGGTGCCTGCTGATATACTGACCGAGACTATCAATACTGTTGGAGAAGTGATTAGAGGGAATGTTATCAACCAGGAGTTTGTCGGAAACGTAATGGCGCCGTCAAATCCACCACGGCCCGCGATAGTGGTCCTACTAATGTCCATGGTTAATGAAAAACAACCATTTTCCTTAAGGTAAGGTATCTAAAATTTCATTACAATTGCCGTAAACAGCATATGACAATAAATTATTTCATTCATGAAACCCTCATAAATATCATAACAAAAACATAATCATGAACCTCAATGGTAAAAAAAAAACTTTGTATAACTCAGTAACTTTGTGCCTGTCATAAATTAGTATGATCATTTGTTTGATATTAATAATTCACATATTTTACTGTAGCATCATTATATTTTCAGATGTGCCGTCCTATATTGCTTTCAATGCTATCTATATCACAACGAAATGAGCCAAGCAAGCCTAGTGCAAACACTTCTGCCATCGTCTAGCGATGTGTCAAGTTTAACAAGCGGTCAGCTTCTCTGCGGAGGCCTGTTTTCATCAGATGCACTGTCCAACTGGTTCTCAGCAGTGGCGATAATGCATGCCTTAATTGACAATCCGATTCAGAAGGAGCAGTTGTTGAGGGTGCTCTTAGCTACCAACATTGGAAGTTCCCCTGTGTCCTTACTTCATCAGTGCACTTTGTTATTGCAACAGACAACTAAGTTGCAGTCAAAGGTATGATCTATAATAATTTATGGTAATTGTATGAAACTTATGTGAATAGCTTTTCTTAATTATGTTGTTCATCAATAGTACACCAAATGAAGTATATTGCATGCAGCTAATTTCTGCACCGACGAAAATTTCAACGACTTTTAACTACCTTGTTTTTTTTCTCCCCGCATTTCAAACAATGCTTGGCGCATTTATTGTTATCTAAGGACGAAAATCTTTTCGTCTTTTTTTTTCTATGAATTACAATGTTTCATGTTCAGTCAATTTCGACGACTCGATTGTTCCTAGTGGGTTCGATACCCACTTCTAGAAAAATATTGTGTGATGAACATATTGTTTTTTCAGTGTCTGGATGTTTATACATTTACAATATTTATAAAAGTGTGTGTGTTTAAATGTGTCCTGAAATATTTATAAGTGCAGAGGTTATCTTGTAACTATAATAATTGAAACTTGGCGATATCTTCAGGTGGCCCTACTGATGCTGCTGTCCGTGTGGACGAGCCAGTGCCCGGGCGCGGTGGGCGCGTTCCTGCGCGTCCCCGGCGGCGTGGGCTACCTGGTCAACCAGACCTGCTCCAACGAACACGACGACAACGAATACCTGCTCCAGGGTGCGGGCCCCTTTTGACGAAACATTTTTATACCGACAAACTAACTAACCAGTAACAGGTCCCAAAACAAATCACACACTGAGAAGTAATTTGGACCCGTAATACACAAATCCTTTATGTAACCCACTTAAAACTCATCACAATATTGACCCCACTTTTTTGAAGAGTTATCCACTCGTCTGCAAGCCCATTAACAGTTGTCCATAGGCGGCGGTATTCACTGTTTTCAACCGACTTCAAAAGAGAAAGACGTTCTCAATTCAACATTTTTTAAAATTTTGAAACCTCATGACTTTCGACGGAGTGAACCGATTATGATGATTCTTTTCTTATTTGAAAGCTGGTGCTTCCCATGAGGTTCCATATTAATTTCATTGCTATTGGATCTTGGGCTCCGGAGATACTTAGGAAAACTCCTGAAAATCAATTGTTAAACGAATACGGAGCGAGATATTTGAAGTCGGTTTTGTTTTTCCGCAATAAAAACGGACTTGTTTAATCAAAATAATCGTTTATTGCCAAGAAAGAAAAGGTACAATATATCGAAGTGTTGAACTTCAGTCGCTACACATCAGGTGAGCCGGCCGCTCCCTTGGCAAGTTGCCACATAAAAAAACTCGAGAGCTCGATTAGTGACGTCATAACCGACCTTCCGCAGGCCTGTCCGCATTCCTGCTCGCGATCTGCATCCACTTCAACGACGACTCGGTGAGCAGCTACAGCAGGGAGTCGCTGCGGCAGCTGCTCGTGAGGCGCGTCGGCCTGGACACGTTCGCGGCGAAGCTCAGCGAGGTGGCCAAGCACGAGCTGTACGGCAAGGGGGCGAAGCACCCGCAGCTGCGCGCCAGGGCGCCCCACGAGGTGCTCGTCGACTACGAGTTCTGCAAGCTCTTCAAGGTCCTCGAAGGTCGACGCTCTTTCCGTCTCCATGTCTGCTCTCTGGTTTTACTTTTAGGACTGTACTGTGGGAGGGCCACGCAACGTCAGCTGGTGCACGAATGGGCAGGTCCGCGGGAGGCCGGCGTAAAGTAGAAGTGTTGCATAACCGGGGCCAACATTATTAAAAGGTGGCAACGTGTCTGCAACGGGTGTTGCAAATGTCCATGGGCGGTGGTTATCACTTAACATCGAGTGAACCGGCAGCTCGTTTTCGGCTTTCTCACATTAAAAAAAAAGGTCTGATCGTCATTGTTTCAGTCTGTTTGTGGGCTCGATCCCCACTACTGGTAAAATATTGTGTGCTGAATATAGTGTTTTTTCCAGTGTCTCAATGTTTATATGTATAATGTCGCATTGGTTATATCAACTGTCCTGCTCCTGAAGAATGCTCATTACAGCTTTTATATGTATAATAATTATTTATTTACAAAAGGCAAAATATGTTTATCAGTTATCTAGTACCCATAATACAAGCGTCGCTTCCTTTGGGACTAGAGAATGCTGTGTATAAATGTGCCAAAACAATGTTAATTGCACAATAATTTTCCAATGGTGGAGATCGAACCCAGACCCTATTGCGCATGAGGCCGTTCACTTCTCTCTACGCCAATTGGGTCAGTGCACATGCATTTAACATAACCTCCACAATTTCAGGTGTCCTCGTACAGAGCTTCACGGTGAAAGAGAAGAGCACAGAGGAAGCGAACGAGCGGTCGCCAGCCAGCGGGGCTGCTCTTGAGCAGTACAAGGCGCTGATCCGGCAACAGGACGCTCGTCTCCAGGAGCTGGTGGCGCAACTCGACGGTCTGCTGCAACAGAACCAGGCCCTGCAGGTACCCACTGTGGCAGTTTTCATTGAATCCGTTTATGTGGCAAAGCAGTCCGCAGCTTAGTTAGTTCGTTTCGGACTTTTCTAATCTAGCTGCCTTTTTTCACGTCATTCGTAAAAACAGTTTTAAGATTTTTACAAACAGAAGTGAAAAATAAAATAATTTCGCTCATATTGGTCTGTATTCATGCAAAGTCGTAACTCAAAATTTCAAATATACAGGGAGGCTTTTTTAAGTGTATCCATTTTTTAAATTAAATTCTAGACATAAATAATGTTATATAAAAAAATTATAAATATTTAAAATCTCAATTACTAAAAATCAATTACATTAATTTGAATTTATCTCAAAAAGTGCGTGATTTATACGCAACTGATTTGTTTTACGCGCGATCATTCATAACTAACACGCACACAAGTTCTTGCACAGTAAAATTTAGGTATTTATGAATGACTACCGCATTGTCAACAAGTTCTTTTTTTTTAGGGAATAGAATGGAATGTTTTTTAAATAAATTTTTATTTTATTTCAATAAACGATTTTTTTTTTTTTTTATGCGAAAAGTTGTCAAACGAGCAGACGGTTCACCTGATGATAAGTGAATACCGCTACCCATGGACATTTTTTTTTGAAACCTTTTGAAAATTTCCGGCTTCACCAGACGAAACGCGAAAGTATTTGTCATACTTCCACTTTACGCTGGTCTTCTGTGAGGTCGTGGTACTTACCCGGACGGGCCTGCCCATTCGTGCAACAGCCGAGGCTGCTGCGTGGCCCTACCACCGTATACTACCGAGTCTGGACCTCCTGTGTGAATTTGGGCACCTTTAAAAAAGCCTGTATAAGCCTGTATAAAAGCTCCCTGTATAATTAAAGAAAAAGTGTTTCCATGCTCTGACTCAAGACACTCATACAAAATATAGACATATCAATAATCATCAAATTCAATTATTAACATCATAAAAGTATAGTATACAATTTGCGCTGTTATCCATTTCAGAGCGCCTTGAACGACTCCCTGGCTTCAAACTCGCTGCTCAAGGATGAGAATACTCTGCTGAAAGCGCAAGTGTCTGCGGCCACGTGTTTGCCCAGCCCCGAGCAGCTGCCAGCGATGGCTCCACAGGAGAGTTCAGAGAAGAGCGCTGAGCATGAGGCAAGGATGCAGCAACTGAGCGACGAGGTAGCCAGGCTGAACGACCAGTTGAAAGCTGCAGAACAGGAGAAGAGGAACGCCGCCGAGGAGTTGGAGAAGTTAAAGAACGATCAGGATGATTTGCTGGTGCTTCTCTCCGATTTGGTGGGTGCTTTTTTTTGTTGTTTACACTTAGCAACGTATATAATTCCAAAAGAAGAAAAAGAAAGATAAGGCTGCACTATCTTGCTTCTTCGGTTCTTCTCTGGACAGGTCTAGTTAATTGAACAGGTGGTAGTTTCTTTGAAGTTCAATATGGGCTTAAAATACGCCTATATTGAATAAAGAAATTTTTACTTTAGCTAGGTTTCTGTTAATCTTTTATGTATTTATGCATTGGGGAAGATAGAGAGGTCTCAGGAAAGACGCAACAACCTATCAACCTCTCAAATGATCCATGAGTATAAAACATCCATTAAGTGTATGTCTAAGAAGAAGAATCGTTTGATATAACAATATAGATATAAAAAATTTATCTTCTTCGATAATTGGTTTTATTACTTTTACAAATAAAACAGTTTATTATTGACAAATACAAATTGATGTTAAAATTAAAGTGTATCATCTTGACATATTCACATAATTAAACTCAATTACGTTTTCTATAAATTGAGAGATTCTTATTTGAATTAAACTCTTGATTTTATTGTTGCAGGACATGAGAGTGAACGTGTACAAAATGCGTTTGCTGTCTTTGGGAGAGAAGATCGAAGATGACAATACTGCGGCACCCAAGCCGAACCTTACATAGTATTACCGTTAATTGTAACATTGTTATTGTGATAATTTTATGTTTTCTCGTTTGTAATTAAAATGACATGCGAAAATATTGTTTACATTTTATGTAACTAAGGATAATTGAGACTTTTGTGTTTTTAACAGAGCTACTAAATAAAATATTTTAAGGAATAATACCCATGAAAGGTAATGGACAGAATATACTGTTATTTGTCTCTATACATGGCATTAATGCAATTCCTTAGCCTGTCGGCAATCGCAACAGCATTGATTATTTTGTATTTTCTTTAATTATTCTTTTGTTCCAACATTGATATACAGCGTGTCGTTACCATCGCGACAATAAATGAACACACGTCTATCGCTACTTGCCAATAATCATAAAAAAATATTAACTTTTAACAAAATCTATAATTTAAAAAAAATATTTTTCAAACAAACTAATTAAGTAAAAAGAAACAAAATTTGTAACATCCTATACAACTCGCGCCACAGCGTCGCATTACAAGCCCCTCCTTCTAACAGTATGTTTTGTCTCTTTTAAATTCATTCAACCCATTCATATGCTTCGTGACCTTTACAAATGAACTTTACGTTACAGTTTTTTTTAGGTAAGGGTGTTCTAAAATTGTTTGTTTTGGAAATTTTAATAACTCGGTAAATATTGATGTTTAAAGAATGTAAATGTTTAATACAATTTTAAAAAGTTATCATCTATATGTGTGTTCATTTATTGTCGCGGTGGTAACGACACGCTGTATACATTATTATTTATATTTACATAATAATGCGAACACATTTGTAGGTGGTGTACTTTTAAATGCTTGAAGAATTATTAAAAATTCAGTGAACGCAAATAAAACATGATAGTCGCACGTTCATACAGTGATTCTCAGTTAATAGCACCAGAAATCGCACTAACGGTAATCACGCACGTATATACAAATAATACACTGAATTATCTTCAAACAAAAATGTACTTATTTGTTAGTTCAACTAAGACTATACTAATTTGTACAATACGCTAGTTTCGGCGCTGACATTGAGCGCTGTAGTTGACAAGCCTTTGCAGTAATTTAATGAGATATTTTATGCATAGTTGTTAATTAAACAATTATTAATTATTTAATGCGCCGTTTCAACTCCTTAATAATTAGGTTTACATACCTTTCAAAAAATCAATATCTTGTCTCCCTTTAAAACGTCTTTCACAAGACATTTTTGCTCTTTCTCATCATGCCCTGTCTATATCAAAGCTGTGAAATTTTATGTCAGAAAAAACTAACTGACCCTCTTTTACGATGATCTTATTGTAAGTACGCTCTGCGTTACATAATTATTTTCCTATAAATATTTATCTTATCTATACAGGCAGGGAGGCTTTTTTAAGTGTATCCATTTTTTTTTATTAAATTCTAGACATAAATAATTTTATATAAAAATGATAAATATTTAAAATCACTCGGTAAGTAATTAATTACATTCATTATAACGTATCTCAAAAAAGGCGTGATTTATACGCAATTCTTTTACTTTACGCGCGATCATTCATAACTAACACGCACACAAGTTCGTTTCAAAAGTTTACGACCCATTTATGAATGACTACCGCATTGTCAACATGTTCTGTTTTTTAGGGATTGAAATGGCAATTTTTTTGAAAAAATAAAAGTTTGTGTTTATTTCAATAAACGATTATACTACCGAGTCTGAACCCCCCGTGAAAATTTGGACACTTAAGAAAAGCCACCCTGTATAATATTTCTCCACATCACACTTTTATTTATCTAATTCATGGTGACCATGTAAATACTAATACAGGCGTCTCCTAGTGCACCGCGATTAATGAATGGTTTTCGTAATGTCTCAACAGCAATCTTATATTTCTTTTATTAGAAGCTTTTGAGCATACAGCGTGTCGTTACCATCGCGACAATAAATGAACACACGTCTAACGCTACTTGCCAATAATCATAAAAAAATATTAATGTTAAAAAAATCCATTATTAAAAAAAAATATTTTTCAAACAAACTAATTAAGTAAAAAAGAAACAAAATTTGTAACATCTCTCCTACTAACAATATGTTTTGTCTCTTTTAAATTCATCCAACCGATTCATATGCTTTGTGACCTTTACAATGAATTTTACCTTACAGTTTTATACGTAAGGGTGTTCTAAAATTGTTTGTTTTGGAAAATTTAATAACTCTGTAAATATTGATGTTTAAAGAATGTAAATGTTAAATACAATTTTAAAAAGTTATCCTCTATATGTGTGTTCATTTATTGTCGCGGTGGTATTCATATACAGCATATGAAGTCTCGGTAGGCATCCGATCACAGATCATAAGCCCCGCCCATTAAGGCACAGTTTTTGTTATGCCATTTTGGAGCAACAATAATGATTCCACGTTTTATTTGCATTCACTGTTCAAATCAAATCTAATATATAAAATTCTCGTGTCACGGTGTTTGTGGTTGAACTACTCCGAAACGGCTCGACCGATTTTCGTGTAATTTTGTGTGCATATGGCCCAGGGTGGAGAATCGGACATCATCTATTTTTCATCCCCCTAAATGTTAAGCGTGGTCCACCCCAAACATTTTTTTTTCTACCCTACAAATAATTTATATGGCAAAACAACGTTTGCCGGGTCAGCTAGTTTTGTATAAAATTAGCTTAGGCAATAAGAATTGAGATATTTCACACAGACCAAGGACACAGACTTATTTTTACAATGTCCATCCCTATTTTGATTTTTATAAATGGCCTTTATTAATTAGAAATCTCTTTGGACTAATCTAGAATTAGTTAAAATTCCGATTAAGCGCTAGTTGACGTCTTCAGATGCCGTCACTGATTTTCCTAATTTCAGACTAAATTCTTAGGAACTGAAGTATCAACGCGAAACAACGATCGCAAAGCAACAATTAGTGTGAACATATTATATACGCCAATACTTCACATTTTATAAAATATTTTTTTATATTTAATTTTATTGCGTTTAATATTAATTCAGAATAATTTGCTTCGTTCATGGTCACGAGATAGACCGAAATTAAAAGTAATGAACACGTTATAACTTATTAATTAGGACGGAGACCAACAATTTAGGTAATAACATTATTAATGAATATTATACAAAAAGATAGTAATGATAATATACTTTATATATTTACTGTATTATATGAGTGTTATAGTCTATTTTCTACTCAGTATTGTGTGTATTGAATAATTTGAAAATGTTTTCTCTAGGTTTTTCATGTTAAATCGTCACTATAAATACCATAATTATGATTTATACGAGTTGGACATTGGAAACAAGTTTCGTTATGTTATACAATACTATTTTAAACTGTTTTTTCAATTATCTAATACGTGATTGAATAAGTGAATAAATTTGAACAGAAACTGCTTGTAGCTATTTGAACTATTGTTAATAAGATACACTTCTATAAAGCGACCGCTAACGCTTGAATTGTTTCATGCAATTGTGTATTAAAGTATTTTGTTTTCACACTTGAATATTTTTATATAACGAATAATCTGCGAATTGTATTAATCGGTTCTTGAGACATAGCCTGGACGGACAGACAGACAGCGGAGTTTTAGTAATAGGGTCCCCTTTGGGTACGGAACCCTAAAAATCAGAACGAAGAATTGAAAATCAAAAGCGGCATGAGTTTTGTTTGTAGATGATTGCGTTTTCAGTCCGTAGATTATATTATAAGGTGCGTGATGCGTCTTACTATATTTAAAGTCCGTAGACTGTTTATATTTTACCGTTTACAGAGGAAGTACATGTCGACGTCGAACCTAGCCCGCAAATATTTAAACTTATACGAAGGGATCAAGGTCGAAAAGAGATATTCGCCTTAAATTTCTATTCCAGTTAGTTCGAAGAATTATTGGTGGGTAAACACCCTGGGATCCGGGTGACTCCATGTAAAGTATATTATTATTTTTTATTATCGTGGTTATGTGTGGTTCGTAATCACTGATACCCTGTTCCAATGTTCAATCTACTCTGTGAATTACAGATAGATTTGGTTACTGGAGATAAAATTTTGACGTAAGTATTATGGAGCTAATGTCAAATACCTATCGCTAGTAACCAAATCTATCTATAGATAGAATATTGAAATTGGCTGTGAAACCACGCCTCGGAGAAGGATAAACTCTTACGATTTCCTCGCCATTTTGCAACAGCCCGAAACCACTTCGCACTGCTGCTAGCCTGTGAACACAACGTCCATTTTAAGTAATCTTTTACGACAGACACGGGGCTACAAGGTTGGTGTAAATTATATTCTTTATTTATGAAAAATAGATTAAATATATTTGTATTTTGGGTGGAAGGGGTTTTGTAGTAAAGTCCCAACGAGCAATGAGACCTATAAGACTAGAATAGGTCATCTCTTCGAAAACAAATCCTACAGTAAGGGAGTAACCCTTACTGTAGAATAACATTATCCTGTGTTGTAAGGACGTTACTCCTCTTAGAGATTCCTTAGTCGGACCTCTTTCAATGTCAGACAATGGTCTTTTTGCCGTTTTCTCTCTTCAGATAGAAGGTTGAAGCGTCGGTCGCCAGACGTTCGACCGTCTTTTGGGATCAAGCGATGTTTTAAATAATTTTTTCAACCGACTTAAAAAAAGGAGGTTCTCAATTCGACTGTATTTTTTTATGTTTTTTTGTGTTTTTTTACCTCAGAACTTTCGACCGATTGCACCGATTTTGATGATTCTTTATTTATTTGAAAGCTGGTGCTTCCCATGAGGTCCCATATTAATTTCATTGCTATTGGATCTTGGGCTCCGGAGATACTTAGGAAAACTCCTGAAAATCAATTGTTAAACGAATACGGAGCGAGATATTTGAAGTAGGTTTTGTTTTCGTGATAAAAAAAATGGACTTGTACAGGGTAGATACAGTAAGAGGTATTTTAAAACTGGAGAAATAGAGCAGGTTAGGGGAATAATTTAATATTGTTAACATTGTATTTGTCCAAAGCTTCTTGATTAGTCAATAATCTATGATTTTACTAGGTATCTAAACAGTCTCAACATCAATGGTTATATGAAATATTCATGCGTGTGATTCAGTAGTCTAAAGTGACGTTTACGCAAAAATAGCAAAGACAGTTCTTCAAATGGACCAGAAGCTATATATAAATAAGATATAGGTATTTAAGGCATTTATTTTAAATAACGTTTGTTTCTTCACTTTAAATTAACCCTGCTTCAAAACCTTCAAAAATATAAATAACATAATTTATTTGCAACAGATTACTAATGTAGAAAATAATGAATTGTAATATTAAATTTTCTACCTATAAAATTGCACTTTATTTATATTTATTTTTGGAGAATGAAAATAATGAATGATAGATAGTACTTTTTGTTTGACTTTGTTTCAAAAAGTTTTATTCTTATAGATAGACAAAAAGTAAATGTACATATATAACAATATAAGTTCATTTAAAGAGTGGTCCAGGAGTACAAATTCTACAGAAGATGTCTTATAATAAGAAATATACCAATACAATTTCTAGGAACATATTATGTACCTAGAAATCTCATTTCATAATTTATAAACTTACTTTATGTAGGTATACTATATTATTGAGTAATGTCATAATTCACATTTATTAACATTAATATGATTCAATTTATAACTTATAAAAAAAATAAAGTGACCGTGAAGCGAGTATAATGTCTATGAAAGTGAACGACTATGCATATGGTAATATCTGAATTTGCTTTTACACTTTAGTGTTGCCTAAAATACTACATGTATATAACAAAGATCAAAATCCAGAGGTCATGATTTTGATTGAATCAAAAGTATTCCAAATTGAAATATGTATTCAGTTCACAAATATATTAAGCTGTTTAAAACTAACACCAAACTAACATGCTTGACGTAATTCAACACACCAGTATTTTTTCAAATACATAACAAAATGGGCAAATGTTAATTGCTTGGAAAATGTTCTTATTAACACATGATTTAATATGCATCTAATCCAATTCAATAATAGAAAAATGATGCTAGTTATTAAAACTATAATTACTTCTGTCTGAATCACTGTTAAGTTAAATAAAAGCTTATTTATTAACAGCTATTGATAATTTCATAGGCATTTTAAGTCTAAATAAGTTCTGTTTGAGACTTTATTTGTTTTAGAAATAATATGACCTAATGCTTATTGGTAACAAACATTTATAGAATTGGTTAAGAAAACTTTCTCATATTTATTTATATTAATGAAATGATAAACATGCAATTGATACTTCTATATTAATTACAATAGACTGGTTCATTCTATCAGAAAAATGAATATATAGAAGTTATTTACTCCTTAATAAGTTATCTTCGAAACATTTTCCCTATATCAATAATACATTACAAGGCACACCCCAAACTAGAGGTGAGGCATATACAATACTTAAATATGTTTTGACGATAGGTTTCATTAGAGACATCTCATGACCATGTATAATAATAAAGTACAAATGCGTTCCGAGTTTTTAGAAGTATTGTAAAGTCAGAATCGTAACTCGTAAACGCAAAGTAATTCATCACTGGAACGCAACACATTTAATACTCGGTGCCTCTTGCCCTACAAGACGAGTTTGCTTGACGAATGTGTGAGTGAGATGAATATCAATGTGGAATAACAATCAACCTTAGACCTATGGGCAATTAAGATCGTTTAATTAATTATTTTTACTCTTAATACTCGTAGCTTAAAAATTAGAGGGCGAATTTGGTATGATTTGAAGTTTGTATTGAAACAAGACTAGTCAACAAGTGTGCCATGTGAAAGATTTTCAACGGCATCTAACATTATGAGAGCCTTGCATTGGCACCCGAAAGATACAACAGTTTTGATTTTGACAACAACATTTTTTAAAGTAATATGTATAAATACAGACAGAACTTTGAGAATAGCGGTGATGTAGGAAGTCACTATTTGGTGACACGACGCATACTTCTAAATACTCGTGGTGCTAGATATTTCAAACGCGTATTTACTACATCCTCGTATACATAGGACTGAATATGTGTTTACGATGTACGACTCACCTCTACCCCAGAAACTGCTGAATCAATAAATTTCACTGAGTCTTAACATATTTGCAACAGCAATGTGAAGCATTTAGATAAGCCCGCACACAAGTTATTTCTCATACAAAATAACGGAATGCTTCAAAGCACAGATAAACTTCTGTAACGGTCATCGCAAATATTTAATAAAACTGTAGCCTCCGCACATCACACACAACTTTATAACACAAAGCGCAGCAGGCGAAGAGCGACTCACAGCACACTTAGAACTTGCGGTAGCTATTGATCGCTTTGCACTTGTGGAACATTGCTTTCAGGAGCTGCTTCACAATGAACACTCGGGGGCCCAGGAAGAGGGCCTTCTTGCACACAATGTACAGGTAGTACACCCACTGGAAGGACCGCTCGGGGTCCAGGAGTGTTGCCAGCTAGGTGACCGACAGGTACAGTCCCGCACACAGCAGCACCCCGAGCACCAGGAACACCATGACCAGCACGAAGCGGTCCTGGAGGGCGCGCATGACCATCGTGTTCATCAGGCGCGAGGAGCGGTTCAGCTGTTCGTCCGTCTCGCGGAGCTGAAACGTATCGAACGAAACATGCGATTTAATTACTCAGTAGGTAGTTGCATAGCTAATTATAGCAGTATTAGCAGTTATATATACGCGCCTTTGGCGAAATATTAAAAATACAGTTAGTATTAAAATTTTTAGAAAAAAATCATCTAGATTTCCTCTAAAGTGCAGAAATTATATTTACGCGTTTAATACTGAGTTAATCATTTTACAAGCGAAACTATGTATATGCAGGGAAAGTCTAGAAATATTGTGTTAATTGCTTCTTTTATTTGCAAATTTTTATTTACAATTTCAGTAATGTTAATGTCCATTCCCAACCAGCTGGGATAAAAGGTGACTTAACTATTATGAAGTGCATTAGTAAAATGTGAGACAAACAGTGTTTATAATTAGGGAAACATTGGTTATTATCATCATATTTATATAAGTAATCCTTACTATTTATTATACGCGCGATCATTCATAACTAACACGCGCACAAGTTCGTGCACAGTAAAATTTAGTTATTCATGAATGACTACCGCACTGTCAACACGTTCTGTTTTTTCGGGAATAGAATGGCACTTTTTTTGAAAAAAAAACTGTTTTTTTTTAATTCAATAAACGATTATACTGCCGAGTCTGAACCTCCTGTGTAAATTTGGGCACTTCTCAAAAAATCTCGCTGTATATCTATATGTTTATTTTTATTTAAAAACCCAACCAGACGAGAAAACAAATAAATATCCCCAAAATAATAATAATAATATTATAAAGGCGAAAGTTCGTATGTATGGATGGATTTTTGTTGTTTTTGATGTTCTTTCACACAAATACTACTGAACGGATTTTAATGAAACTGTACAATAATATAGCTTATACATCAGAATAAAACAAAGGCTATAATTTATATACATATTTTTATATATATGTCTGTTACGGCGCCTGTAGCGCCCCCGTGGTAGGATCAAAGAAACCATCTGCCGTTACTATCTATCATCTGTGTATCACGTCATATCCAACCAAACATCGGCACCGCGTATGACGTGATACCGGACCAATCACATTAAAGTACTTCATTTTGTAACGTTTTCTTTAGAATTTGCAAAAATTAATTGTACCATTCTTACCAGGGCCTGTCAACTTTGTTCTACGAACAGAATGTATGAGGGCCAGAAAACAAGAGAGAGACAACGATATCAAAGTAAAAGAGATGAATTTAGACATTTATATGATGTTGCCACCAAAAATACAACTTCGTATTCTCCATAATAATGAGTTAAAAATTGATTTTTAATGTAAAATACCCTTGAAGACATCTTTTGCTATTGTTCGGGTTTCGAAACAAATATACTTTATTAATAAATATAGCAAATTTAACTGATAATTACATAATAAAAAAAATATTTGGGGATATTGATTGGCATTGGCTGGCAACAATATATATTATTATGACGTCATGACGTCACAAGGTAGGAAAGGAAAATGTCCGCCGCGAGCGCACCATTTTAACTTATTTGTACCAATGTTTATTTGCAATAAATGACTAGTTCCATTTGATTTTACATACATTATTAGTAGCGTTGAGTTGAGCCTCCTCCTCCGCGGCTGTGTTTTGGTGAAATTAAGTGTATTTGTGAGACATAGTCTCGGTGTATGGTTAATTACGCGATGATTATTGACTTCGCAGAAAGAGAACTCTAAAATATGTTGCATGTGTGCATCTTCGCCATCTAAAGATCCCAGCATCAATTTATTTCGGTTCCCAAAGCCTGGCACAAACAATGCTCTGCGGTATGTACCTACTTCTGTACTTACAGTGCTATTAGTTTTAAGCGACTTGGACTTAAGAATAACACACCACAACTATTGTCAATGTATTTGATTTGATAGCCTTTGCTTAAGTATTAAGCTTTGCAAAATGGTGTTCTGTTGCGCCTAATTTCAAAGCCGTATAAAAAAAAACTACTCATTTTCTAAGGGTGAAGGGTGTGTCGTTTGAAGAGGACGAACAATCCCTATAAAAAAAACAACCCTTATGAACCCCTGATATGGGATGCGAATTTAAAATGCCCCCCGGAATATGATTATTATGGTATGTCATTTTCATATTTTTTAATTTTCAGGTATAGGCAAAGTTTTGCTTCCCAAATGAAGCCACACAGGTCTTCACCAAAGTTCCAGGATGGACTGCATTCTAAACATAAGGTGCTTTGCAGCAAACATTCTAATAGCACATGCTTTAATGAGAAGAAGTTGTTCAGATCAGCTGTACCTGATGTTCAATCCATAAGGTTGGTGCAATAGACAATTAAAAAGTTTATTTAAAATACCTTTATTACAGAGAAATACTGACATTATATTGTAAATAAGGGGCACTATACAATTATTTTAAATTTATACCCTTTGTTACTTTTTCCAATGTATGAGATCCCATAAATCCACATCTATTTAGGCATTTGAAAGTTATGATGGAATAAATAAACTCATATACATACATGGACCCTGAAAACATAACACTAATCCATTTTTTGGGCTGTCGTGTGAAAAAAACTCACTTTGGAATGTAAAATATTAGTAAGAAAAACTAAAACTTTTAATAACAATTAATTCTTTTTGATGCCAAAACTGTACTGTGAGTACTAGTTGACTTTTTATATTAACAATGGTGTGCTTAAGTTTTTCTTATTTTCTTTTAGAATACAACACTAATCTGCCTGAACAATCTGCAGCGTTTGAACCAGTTGCCTGTTCATCCAGAATTTACCCCTTAAGAGAACATATGCCAATATCATCACTCCAACAAGTTCATAAATGTTTGTGCGTGACTCCTCAAATCAAGAAGGTGGCTTTTGTGAAAGCAAAGTATTGATAAAGAAACTGAAAAGGAGTATGAACAAGGTATATTGATCACAAAAAACTGTAAATCTTTTAAAAAATGAAGTGTATTAAAATTTTACTTGTAACAGTAAAACAGTGAGTTTGTGAGCAAGAGTGCCATAATTACAAATTTTAAAACATTTCTGACGCCAGCCACAGACTTGAATGTAATAATGCATGTAAGAGATTTTTATATAAGAGATTTTTTTACAGGTCTATAAAAAAATCTCTTGCATCACCTCAAAGAATTTATTAGATTGTGTAGAAAAAAGTGCAAATATCTAAAATAAATAAAGTATAAATATATTTTTAGAGAAAGATGTTAAAGAGCTCCATAAATTATGACTTCCTTGAACATAGCATTTTGCACAAAGACTTAAACATAATAAGTTACATAATAAACAGTGTCTTCCATATTAGCATTAAGATATACAGTGTATTAAAAAACAGAATGTATTCTGAAGACCCTTGTAAATCTGCACTACAAAGAAAAATGAATTATGCATAAATAAATGCCATCAAAAGCAAGAAATATATATATATATATATATATATAATATAATATATATAATAAAAAACTCTACAACAAATAGTTGTGAGATCTGTAATGACTAGGCGCTCAATTTAGAACTTGTATTAATTAAAATACCTTATTGTCAAAATTGTATTCAATAGTAGATTATTCTTATATATATATATTGCCGTGCGAGCGCCGAGTGATTATACAGGACAAGCTTTTTGACTACAAGCTTACACTATGAAAGGTAAACTGTATGCTTTTATTTTGAGTGAAGATGTCTGAAATACTTAAACTGAATAACTTTCTGTACTTTAAAATTTTCTGCATAATGTCATTTATATTCTTTATTGATCTAATATTTACAAGACTAAATCTATCTAAAATTACATATTATCTAATTAACCTAATCCACGCGGCATTTATATTGTATTTTAAAAATGTTACTTTTATTTGTGTTTAAAATTTGCTGACGTTTGAGATTCATTATCATTACACAAACTTACTTGTGATTTTTGTACCAAATTTCTGGAAATGAATACAACTCATGTATGAATTCATGTAAATGTATGTCTGTTATAAAATATGTTACATAAATGAATATCTCATATATTGTATTTATTATCATGCTAAATAAAAAAAGTGAAGTACCAATTCATTCGTTTTTTTTTTGTTTAATTAGACTGCTCTCTAAAGATGAATAAATATAGCAATTTATGCACAAGTATACTGTGTGTTACAAACGCATTGTACTTGTGCATAAAATGCAACGCCAAGTACCTTTAAAATTACTAGTTTGAAATTCCCGCCCTAGCATTTGCTCACTAGTTCTTTTGGGCAGAACACAGATGGCGCCGGTCGGTAAAAAAAATTTCCTCCTAAAATTTGTATGGAGCCGTCATTCTTCTCTTTGAGTAAAAGTGTTCTGTGTTTCTTACGCTAATTATACACCAGTGAAAACCTACGAGTTGTTGAGAATTTTAATACCCGAATCTTTAACAATGTCTTTCTGTCTGAATGTTACGCCTTCTATTCTACGCAGTCATAGTCGCGGGCAGCAGCTAGTAAGGTCACATTACCAAATCAGCAGACTCCTAATTTATAAATTCTATCCTTTTAGTTCTTGTTGTCGTTTTACGTAACAGGAAACAACAGCAAGTCAACTATTAGTCATAGTTGACTTGCTATTGTTTCCTATTAGGAACTATTGTTTTATGTAATCAAAACCACTTGAATAAATAGATTTGTGAGTAGTTTGGAACTGAAATTTGTTTCATACTTATTAGATTAAGCAACTATAACATAGTAAAAGATTAGGGTAACAATCATAAAAATTATTGAACGCAAATTCATGTTTACATCAAATTTGACATTAATACTTTAATAGTTAATAGATAATGCAAATAAATTAGACTTACGTACGAACTTGTGTGTGTTTTATGAAAAATTCGACATTTCATAAGAACGCGCAAGCGTCTGTTTGAAAAGAGATAATTTGAATTTGAGAGACAAATATATAAACTTACCCTTCCCCTAGATCTCTGTATTGTTTCCCTCTGCACACTCAAGTCCTGGAGCACAGCAGCACCAATCTCCTCAGTCTCCAAGATAACCCTGTAGCCTTCGGTGAGGTTCTTCCCCGATCTCTCTAATCGCTCTGAATTATCTAACAGCTTTTGGCGATGTTCGTTAGTGTTCCAATCGTCATATGTTTCTTCTGTTTCTATGTTATCTGAAATCACCAATGAGAGAAAACATGACTACATTGACTTGCATTGATATGAAACATAGATATGTTTTTTTTAAATAGAATAGTCAATTCTTCGAGAGTTTTCGTATTATTTATTTCGTCACAATTTTAAATCAATAGTTTAGTTTGTTGATGTACCATGACATCAGAAGACTTTATTCCGAACAAATTTCTGATCATTAACTCAAATTGAATATCTACTAAGTTTATTCAAATAGAAAAAATATTGTGGAATTTAAGAATTTATAGTTGTAAGATATCGTTATATACAAAAATTTAGCTTTAGTATGTTTGTCGACTCAATAACTAGCCAATGGATTGGCTTGATATTTTTTAGTAAAACAATAAGAACGTAACATACATGTGGCAGAGTTGCTAAGAACGGAGCGATATTCGTCCTTGACGCGTTGGAGCTCGGCGCGGTAAGCGGCCACGCGCGACCCGGCCCCAGACCCACGGTATTCAAGCTCCAATTGTTCCAGCTTAAATCATATACATATTGCGAAAAAATTAGGACACATTTTTGGACGACATTCTACAGTCCCACACTAAGCAATGCTTGTACTAGGGGTACTAGATAATGATGAACATAGTTAAACATACTTTTCTTCTGTAAATGAACACATATTATACATATTTAAAAAAGCAGCCACTGGAAAAGCACATGTTCATGACACAATATTTATCCAGTAGTGGGGATCGAACCCACACCCTCTGGCACGGCACAAAAGGCAAGTTCATTACACCCCATGCCAATCGGGTCCTCTTGATTGCTTTTTATATGATTATGTTAAAAAAATATAATGGGATGAAATGATTAAACATAACTAACTTTTAGACCAAATTAATATTTAAACTGTGAGGGCCCTGGCGTAATGGATTCCCTCGGTTAAAGTGTAAGGACTTGAAAATAAATAGCGAAATTAAATATAGCGTATAATTTACAATTTAAAGGTAGGTGTTACAGTGGTGGTAGCTAACAGAGAATTGCCGAATGCGAAGATGGCGTATAAAACATAGTCGAGGTGGTGTGATGGACTTTGGGTTGTGACGTATTTTTCAACATCTCAACTACCGGAGATAACAAAACTGTTATCAATATGAATTATCTATACATACTTTGTATAGATAATTCTCTCTGTCGTGTCGGGTCTCCAAAACAGGACATTAGAGAGGAAAAGTTGAGTATCAGAGGGACTTAGTTGTATCCTAAACATTGTAGAACTTTGATCTTCCTAACTGCAAGGAAAGGGAAATAATTTCTCCTGGTAACAATAAATATATAAAAAGGCACAATATTGTCATTATCATTTCATCTTGTTTGGGTCAAAACATAGACCACATAGATCTCCACCATAGACTATAGATGTATGATGTATGGATACAGGTATAATTACAATAAATACAATAATTCAATATGGTCAAATATATTTAAAATATTATTTAAAGTACAATGCAATTATTGTATACTTATAAGTTCAATATAATTTTGGCTAGTTTCATCCTCATATGTTATCAATAATAAAATAAGCATAAATAAAGTTCAAAATATTACCAAATCATTAGCCTCTTCAAAATTAGCTTGTATCTCCCTCGACAACTGCTCCCGGTTTTCTATAATCATTAAGAAATGCCATGGTGTGTATATAAAAATAATAAAATGTTGGGTAAAATTTCAGCAGCCCACTACTTTTATATAGCAAATAAAAGAAAAATTTAAACCAGTGATTCTCAACCACTGTACCGCGGCACTTTTGTGTGCCGCCAAATTTTGCAAATACATAATAATGTTAATATTATTAAATTATATATTTTAAAAAGAAACAATATTTTTTGGCATTAGCCAACATTAAAACTAAAAAAAGATCAAGTTTGTTAAATGTAGAAGACGATATGAGAGTAGCATTGTCATTTTTACGACCAAATATAAATGAAATTATCAAAAAACATCAAGCTCAAATTTCGCACTAAAAATATTTTTATTATGTAATTGTAATTAATCCCTTAATAAACGTTTAGTTATTATTGTAGTATATATTAGTTTATTTCGTATATTTAAAATTTTTGTCATAAACTATTTATGTGTTGTAGTAAGTAAATAATTTTTATCTTTTTCTTTGTGTGCCGCCAAATTTTGAAATCGTTTAATATGTGCCGCAACAAAAAAAAGGTTGAGAATCACTGATTTAAACGATAGAGAACTATAGAGACATATCACTTACGAATTAATCAACAAGTAGAATTCGATAGTCACCTCTAGTTTTCGAGAAAAAAAATAATTAAATCTTGTTGTTTCTACTAAGGCAATCCACCATTTTACTATTGTCAACATTTTCACATTTAAAAACCTTCCGTAAAACACTGTCTTGTTCACACTTAAAACATTCAAATTTTTTTATAAGAATTCATGATAACACAAAAAATTTAAAAGTACTGAACGATTTCATTCCAATTGAAATAAATTTTTATTAAAAAATGAGACTAATACAATAATATAGGTATATACATATTTGTTTAACATAAATGAGTGGGAAATTCTTTTGGTTTTAAATTTGACATACAATTAGGCATCAAAAATAATGATACAGCCAATATGTCAATATCGATTTCGAAACTCGATTACAAATTTTATTAAAAGCCCTTAACGTCACCATGGTGAAATATAAACTGATACAAATTGAATTTGACTTTACTTAACTCAAGCTGATAGGTTTTATCCGTGATTTTTATGTAAATTAAGTTAGACTCCATGTGGTCTTGTGGTCCCTACCCCTAGAGTGAACATAAAAAGACGGAGCCGGAACCAGATCCGTAGCGGAGCGAAGAAAGAGTGGGTGAAGCGACACTCAGGGGCGACATAGCGAGTGTTCTGGCGAAGCACGTGGGAGAGTCAAACTTAATAATGAAGTCATATTTTTTATATTTCTTATATTTTGATTTTTATTTATTAAAATTACATGCTTTTAAAATCTTCATCTGTAATTTTTTTTGTGGATCTGGTTCCGGCTCCGCCTTTTTATGTTCACTCTAGGGGTAGAGACCACAAGACCATATGGAGTCGGGGTGCTCTGTGTCGGATCTGTGACTCATTTTGAATGAAACTTAGTCCATTATTATCATAGATTTTTAAATATCATATATAAAACCATCAGCTTGAGTTACGTAAAGACGATTTTAATTTAAATCAGTTTATAATACACCATGGTAACATTAAGGGCTTTTAACAAAATTATTTTATAAAATTTGTAAACAAGTTTCGAAATCGATATAAGGATATTGGCTGTATCATTATTTTTGATGCCTAATTGTATGTTAAATTTAAAACCAAAAGTATTTCCCGCTCATTTATATTTAACAAATATGTATATACCTACATTATTGTATTAGTCTTATTTTTTAATAAAAGTTTATTCAAATTGGAATCAAATTGTTCAGTACTTTTTAATTTTTTGTGTTATCATGAATTCTTGAAAAAAAATTAAATGTTTAAGTGTGGACAAGACAGTGTTTTACGGAAGGTTTTTAATGTGAAAATGTTGACAATAGTAAAATGGCGAATTTTCTTAGTGAAAATAACAAGATTTAATTACGTTTTTTTCTCGAAAAGTATAGATTACTACCAATTTTTTTTTATTGATTACTTAGTGATATGTCTCTATAGTTATGTGTCGTTTAAATTTTTCTTTTGTTTGCTATATAAAAGTAGTGGGCTGCTGAAATTTTACCCTTTTTCAGAAATTGACTGAATAGCAACGTTTTTTTTTTCATAATGTGAGCCCAAAAATGAATTAAAATTAATCAAATTTATTTTAATTAATTTCTGAACTATGGAACACCATAATGTATATCAAAACAATAAAAATTAACTGAATTTGAGTTCTTGACCGACAAATATTTGGCTTTGTTATTTTTTATGGCGTCTATGTTTTCATCTACACAGAATGATTAAAAGTAGGACAATTGCAAGTAGCAAGCAAAGTCTTACCGTGATTTCCAACTTTAAGGCGGCCTATTTTGGCAGTAATATCGGCTGTAAGTATTGAATATTGTTGCTCGTATGACTGAATTAAGGTAGCCATATCTTTAGAAACTTCTTCCAGTCCTAAAAATCCATTACACAACGCTCCTTGACTTAACACTGCTACTGTTAATAATAATATTCAACTATAAAATACTGAGAATTGAATCGACGATCAGTGATGCAATTAAAGCGCTACTAAACTAACGTTAATGAGTATGCACTTATGCAGGGTGAAAAAATATTGTATTGTTAAAACTATTGATAATAGTCAATAATGACGTTTACAGTTACACAGTAAATGTCAACTCAATTGTCATGCTCATGACGAAGTCGACCAAAGAGCATAATGCTTTTTAAAATTCATATTTTCATCAATAGAATGTACAGTGAAATTATTGTATATTTATAAGTTCACTAGCATTCTGCCTATTTTTATCCTCTTATGTTATCAATAACAAAATAACCATAAATAAACTTAAAAATATTACCAAATCATTAGCCTCTTCAAAATTATTATTTAAAAAATTTGCCTCTTTTATCTCCCTCAACAACTGCTCCTGGTTTTCTAATATTATTATCTTTTTTTTATAGATAAAAATATTAATTGATGAGATTGATATGAGCATTTTCAAAATAGTTGTGTTTTCATGCCAATTTTAAAAATTAGAATTGTTAAATTAAATAACGTTCAGCAGAACAATGTATCGACAATCGAGGTGTATTGGATTTCAACTTTCAACATCAAAGTAATAAGTATTCAACAATTTAACGATCTGATCAAGTCCTCGGATCAGGGTAGAATTTTGTTCTATAATTATAGTAGTTATTATATAATTTCATCACTTTAAATCTGATAAGCAACTTCGTACTTTAGACTATCTATATCTAAGGGTAGTACGGAAATGTACTATAAGTTTGTTAATTTATATAAATGACCAATATAAATTCCAATTCGACTTTTAAAAAGGTTTATTGGGTAGTAATAACGTTGTAATGTTTTATACAATACAAGTGGATATTACCACGTGTCTTTGTCAGTAATATAAATAATCATTATCAATGAACAATTTACGGGGACTTACCGTTATTGTTTTTCTATACTTAGCTTGTTGAAGAGTAACTTTGCATATTGCACTAGTTAGTTAGTTAGTTAATAGAGTTAATTGATTATTAGACATCAATGAATTTTATTAACGACTACGATTAATTTATTATTTCCTAAACTAAGTTAGGAAATAAACATAATCCATAGACGCCATCAGAGATGGTAAAAAAGTGGAATTTGTACTCATTTTATTCCAACTGAGGATATGTTAAAAAAATTTAATTCTAAGGATAAAACTAAAACTAATATTGAAGAATTGATAAACTTGGAAGAGGAGAGAATTTTTGAATTTTAATATTTTAGTACTTTTATATATTTCAGATATATAAAAGTACTCTTTGAAAAAGATATATCTGATCTTTTTGATCTTTTTCATCATACTTAATTTAACCCTGCCTTGGAAGCCAAGCCATTAGCCAACTTAGCTTACGAATTTGCTTCCTAAATCTAAGAAGAAAGTAATTTAAAATGGAAGTTTTAGGAGGTAAATTGAAATCAAAACTTTCTAAATTTCCTTCCATTAAGGAATTTTTGGTTTAAACTTAGTGAATTTTATTAGGTTTTTGAATTGCTTTAGGAGTTAGGAGTATTTCTTCTTTGAACAGTTGCAGTTGGTAACACATCCACTCGCTTCAACAGCCATCGACTACATTTACAAAATAATAACATTTTAACAATAACAATAATTAGCAAGAAAGCTGATGTTAGAAAGATATGTTATTGTTTACATTTGATTTTCCCCATACTCTAATTTTATATGAAAAATGTTTTGTTTGTATAGTTTCCGTTAATACATAAAATATGTTAAAACAAATGTATGAAGACGTTTTGGGTGTTACGAAGTATCTATTCCAAACCGTAAGATTTAAATTTTTGGTTATTTGCTAAGAATTAATGTAAATGTATTCATAGAGTATTTTTATATATACCTGAATGTATTATTCTCTAATAGATTGTAGTTACATCTCAAGTTTTTTTCTCGAAAACTGTGATCTATGACTAAGGACATGCATAATTGATTAGTGAATGCTTCGGCATCGGTTCTATTATTTACATACCTTGAGAACATGACCCGATGATATAGAATGTAATGTTCTGTTATAATAATTTAAAATATTATATCTTTAAGCAATATTCTATGTAGTAAATTATATTTGGAACACTTTCAGTGTCCAAAAAATACAACCAAATATGGAAACAGTTTCGGGTTATACTTTGATCATGGTTGTGATGTCGATTCCAGCAACTAGTATTTTCTATTTGTATGTTGTTGATGTCCACCCCATTATATATGTGCTAAAATTATTAATAATTAATTATTATTTATGTGATTAAAATGTAGAATAAAATTTATTGACTCAATCAGGAATGTAACAAATTATATTTCTTTTTTAAATTTCAATCCTGATTATTTACAGTGAAATGTCTCGAAATTATGAAGAGGATTCTGGACGTAGTTCCTGCTCAGCAGCCTCTATAAACTTCAGCCCTGTAATGAACTACCATCACTTTAAATCTGAGGAGCAACTGGAGCCAATAAACATAGCTGAATTAATAAATCAAGATTCAAATTCAAACCCTACTTTAAAAGTAAGCACCCGTCCACGAAGCTATGTGGGTCTAATGAGTTCACCTGATGAGAGAGATCCATTTCCAAGTTATAGAGTGTCAAAAACTCAGCGAAATGCTGTTTTCAACTTGTTTAATACACCAAGGCTGGGAGGGCTTACCAATGCCCATTCTACATATGATATTGCAACCAGCACACAAATAGAGCAATCTAATATTCAAAATAATGCTGTATCAATGACTGCAGTTAATACTGATGAAGCAAAGTTTAAAAGAGAGAGGCATACAACTCAGAATTCAAATTTTAAAAGGGGAAAACCTGTTCAAAGGGCTGCATCGAGGCTTTATAAGGCTGATACAGGTTTAAAGGGTAAAGATGGCTGTATAGGGCCAGAATTTATTGTTAGGGCTTCACAACCCATCAAAAATATTGATTTGGCACTTAAAGTTGTTTGTGATAAGAGAATTTTAACCATTGTTTTGCTTAATGGGCAAAGAATTGAGGTACTGTGTGACCCTATTTCTATAACAGCTGGTCAATTGTTCGAAGCAGTAGTTCTTAGTGAGAAATATGAACACAGCTTTATGCTTGGCATAGCAGCCTTAATTGGAGGAGATTTTGTATTTTTGCCAGATGATTATAAAATTAAGAAGATAGCTCCAGAAAATTGGCATAAAATAAATAAAAAAAATAAAAGTGTTGAGGATGATACCCCACTTACATTGTTCTTAAGGATAAAGTTTTTCCTTCCAAAAAGTATTGCTAGCAGCATTCAAGGAGGTGAGTGGAGGTACAGAGTCTACCTTCAACTCAGAAGGGCAACAGTTGAAGGTCAAATGACTTCAACAGTTCAGAATCTCATATTATTAGCCGGATATGCTTTGCATATTGAATTTGGGGAGTTCTCTTACCGAGAGCATGGTACCGCTGACTATTTCCTGCTAGAACATTATTTACCTGAGACTTTAATAAGTGATAATATGGCAGAAGTCAAGTTAAAAATGAAAAGGGCTCACGAGTCAAGAAGAGGTCTAGATAGAAATATGGCAATTATTAACTATATAACATTGGCACAAACATTTAGAGATTATGGTGCTCATTTTTATTCAGCAATTTGGGCTACTCGAGATGGATTCTGTAGGGATGTTTGGCTCTCTATAGGCCCTAGAGGTATAACCCTATATTCAAGAAATAACCAGATTGCAGATGATGCTGGTGTTGTTACCAATAGAATAGTTTTACAGAGCCTACCTTGGCACCATATACACACATTCTACTACAATAAGAAGAGTTTATATATAATGCCAAATTCCTATTCTGGGCTATCAAAGATTGGAATTAAATATAAATTGAAAATGGCTGATAATAAAAGTTATTTTACATTTTGGTTGGCCTCTTTGCATCACAGGTTATATCTAAAATTGTATGCTAAAGAGGATTTTATTTCTTACTTATCATCTGAAATTGGGTCACCTGTGGGTAACAGCCCTTCAAAAACAGACTGCAGTAATTATCAAGATAGTTACAATTTAGCGGTTAGGAACCCAGTAAGAGTAAGAAGACCTGTGAGAAGAAGATTTAGAGTAGATATTTTTGGTGATAGGACACTTCAAAATAAAGAGAATGAAAAACCAGATACAGAAGAGTTACTAAGGAGGATATTGTCACCACAACATAATGAGAGTTTGTTAAACACATCAAACATTGGCCATGCCAGCTCTTCAAATGAAGGTTTGTCATCAACTGAGAGTAGCTTACCTAGAAGACATGGAGTTAAAATGGGTACAAGAGTATTTACAGGAGTGAAAACTGTAGTAGATGGTAATCTTAGATCAGCCATTCACAAAAATTCTAGTGATTGCTTCCGATCAGGTGCAGCACATAGTGATTCAGATGAATTAAGCTTAGACCATAAACAACATTGTAATGTGAACAGCATGAAGTTATTGCCAGAAAGACAATACACCCATAATGTGTCAACAGGTCCAACTGCATATGTCTTAGAGTCACCAAAAGTTTACTCTGATGTTTTTAATTATAAAGAAACAAATGAATCTTGTCTTAATACCTCCTTATTTGAAAAATTAGATAACATGGAATATATTCAAGGAGAAAGGGTATTTGTCACTGCAGTTTTACACAGAGATGAGAGTAATGCTTTAGGTTTACAAGTTGCTGAGGGATCTGATGGGAATGTTTATATAAAATCAATCACTCAAGGGAGTCCTGCAGAGTTGTGCAAAAAGCTAATACCTGGTGACCAAATAATATCGGTAAACGGCCAAACGTTGTTAAATTTAAAATATGAAAAGGCATTATCTATGTTGCAATCAGCCCCTGAAACAGTTGAATTAATTGTCTTGCAAAATGTAAATAAATATCCCAATTTAGATTATCAATCATGTATGGAGTTGAATAAAGATAAAAATTGTAACCAAACAAATTTGAAAAATTCTGTCAGCATGTTAGATGTTGGCATTGCTGATGATGAATTATTGAATGAAGAAGCTTTAAAGACTATTTACGCTCTTATTAAAATAACAAAAGAAAAAGTGATCAGTAGAATGAAAGATAAAAACATTGAAAAAAATTCTCCAGGAAAAAGTAATCTTCAGAAGTGTTACTCGGAAAATAAAGTCTACGAGGAATCTGATTTGGGTGACTATTCGTCTCAAGAGATCACGCCACAGAAAAGGGAGAGGCAAAAATTTAACACGTGGCGCGGTCAGCTTGGTCATACGAGGCCTAAGCGGCGGCCACTCAGCCTGAGTATTCCTAATAACATGGATCTACCGGACGATTATCTTGACGACAACAATAGCGAAATTCTAATGAAGAAATCCTCGCTTAAATCTATTCAATCGTCCCTAAACAGCTTAGACAAATCTGTTAAGAGTGCGTCTGCTAAGAATGTAGCTATGCCCAGAAATTATGGACTAAGCAGGAGATGGCTGGGACCAGTGAGGTATCCGGTGACACCTTGCAAGAACAGCAATACCGAGAGTGCAATCGCAGACGAAAATGTAATTAGGAGACATTTCGTTTATGGTGCTGGTGATTCTGATGAAGATCAGATATTTCTATGAACTGTTACATATATATAGATATTATTTACTGTAAACATTAGATTTTAAGACAAAATATAACATGATTATATTAAAAAATCGTTTTTCTTCTGTGTCAAAAGAGGTTTCATTCATTCATGTTAATTCATTCATCAATCATTCTTTTGAGTTTCAAATTAGCGTAACATTACAATGATGATAGAGCCAGAAGATTTTCGGGATTGGGTCTGTCCCTTGCGACACATTTAAAGGGCTCAAAATCGGGACAGATCTATGTGTCAACGCTGATTCCTTGATACATCCATAATTCTATCCAATAGAACACAGTGGAACAGTTGAAATTCAATACGTAAGAGCCTTCCATGGACCTTTGCAATCCACCCACTTTGTTATAAGGTGGCAACGATTCTGCAACTCTACAGGTGTTGCTAATGACCAAAGGCGGTGATTATCACTTAACATCAGGTGAACCGCCAGCTCGCTTGCCACTTTCTCACATAAAAATATCTCCATCTTGCCTTGTGGGTTTTCTGCGTAAATTGGACTTTGTTCTGTCTAACTCGCCATTTATGATAATATCTTATGTCTAAAAGTTAGTTATAGTAACCAAGTAAGAATCAGAGCGTCTTTCTCATTCTAATTTTTCTTACAAAAAAAAAAAATCGGGACGCAGAGTACTCATCATTATAATAAGTCATTAAATAACCTAAGAATAAGACGACACCGATTCTACAAATTATTATCATAAGTTACGTAATAATCACTGATAAACAAGTCTTCTGTACGCATTGGCAATTAATTACTCATTGTTTGGTAACTTTTATTTAATAGGGGCTTGATATAAAGTTACATAAAATAGGACATTGGTTATTGAAGATAAAGCTTATAATAATTATAAAAGAAAATATTGATTTTTAATCTTCATTCAGCGGACGTAAAAAACATTTTTTAAAGGCCTTCGTAAACTTAAACTTTGGACTAAGTTCTAAATTCTAAGCAGTACCAGTATAAGCTTCGTATACGCCGTCCTTTCACTTTCCTTACAACGCTCAATGCGGTTCAATCGGGTTAAAACCGGTTTTGGTGCAATTTTCGCAATCTCATTGACATTATAAATAAATGTAGAAGGGAAACATATTCAATTTATCAAGACAATGAATAGTCACTATACTTTAAAGCACCAAATATTTCGTAATATATATCACATATTGCGACGAAGATATGTAAATGTAAGATTTGGTACAAACAGTTTTAAATTGCTTTGTAGATTTATAACGTAAAAAATTAAATTCTAATTCAACTCATGTTACGTAACAATGTTTCAGTTTCAGATACAATAGACAGATTGCATCATTTTAATAAGTGTAATATTTTTTTTAATGGATAAAATGTTTGGGTAATGTGAAATGTCTAAATAAAAGAGGTAGAAAATGAAAGAATAAGATGGAAACATCATTTATCATTTATTAAAAATAACATTCTTTACCAAGCGAACATTATAACTAAATTAACTAAGACAGCTGTCTTTCTACACGTCTAACACAATCAGACTTAGTAATAGTAACAAAAAAAAAATATTCATTCACTGCACATTTGTAAAAATCATTCCATTCACCGTACCATTGCAATACCCTAATATGTTGTAACTAAATAGTTCTCTTTACACTATTTAAATGCATTATTGAGTCCAATTTGGTGGACTACATCATTCCACCCATTCCCCCCATGCCACCCATACCACCCATTCCAGCCATAGGATTAGGTTCTTTTTCCTGAGGGATTTCACAAATTACAGCTTCTGCTGTGGTAAGCAGTGATGCCACACCACTGGCATCAGTAAGTGCAGTTCGGACTACTTTAGTGGGATCAATGATTCCCTTCTCAATCATGTTAACATATTCATTGTTAAGCGCATCATAACCAAATTCCGGACCCAAGTCCTCAACTTTAGCTACTACAACAGATCCGTCAATACCAGCATTTCTTGCAATAGTCATACATGGCATCCTAAGGGCCTTCTTGATGATCTCCACACCAGTTGCTTGGTCGCTGTTAGCAGTTTTCAGATCAACAAGTGTGGGAATACATCTGAGCAGGGCAGAACCTCCACCAGGAACAATTCCTTCTTCGACGGCAGCACGAGTGGCATTAAGAGCATCATTGACACGGTCCTTCTTTTCATTTACCTCAACCTCGCTTGAGCCACCTACACGTAGCACAGCAACACCGGAAGCTAACCTTGCAAGGCGCTCTTGAAGTTTTTCCTTTTCATATTCAGAGGTGGTCTCCTGAATTTGATCTCTAATCTGTTCAGCCCTTCTTTCAATGTCATCTTTTTTACCTTTACCTTTTAATAGTAATGTGTCATCTTTAGTAATGATAACTTCACCTACTTGACCTAAATCTGATGGCTGCAGGTCTTCAAGCTTAATAAGGTTTGCATCATCACCAAACACAACTCCGCCAGTAGCAATTGCCATGTCACTCAAGGTAGCCTTACGGTTGTCACCAAAGCCAGGTGCTTTCACTGCGGCAACCTGCAGACCAATCTTAAGCCTATTAACTACTAAAGTAGACAAAGCTTCACCGTCAACATCCTCGGCAACAATGACTAATGGCTTTCTCTGTTGGTTGGCAAGCTCCAAAGCTGGGATTATTGTTTGCACATTGCTAATTTTCTTCTCTGAGAATAAAACTAGGGCATCTTGGAATTCTACCTTGGCTCCCTTTGATGAGTTAATGAAATAAGGAGAAATATAACCTCTATCGAACTTCATACCTTCAATAACCTCCAATTCGTCGTTAAGCGTCTTGCCATCCTTCACGGTAATTACACCATCGCGACCAACTTTGTTCATGGCATCCGCGATGAGCTTACCAATTGCCGTGTCACCATTCGCGGAGATGGTCGCGACCTGTGCTATCTCCTCTGGCGTTGTGACTGGCTTCGACATACTCTTTAACTTATCTTTCACAGCATCCACGGCCATCATTACACCCCGCCTTATTTCAATGGGATTAGCGCCCTTGGAAATTTTTTCAAACCCTTCTTTGGCGATTGCTCGCGCGAGAACTGTGGCCGTCGTGGTACCGTCGCCCGCCTCTTCGTTCGTGTTATTCGCTACATTTTGAACTAATTTTGCTCCAATGTTCTGGAACTTGTCTTTGAGTTCAACTCCCTTTGCGACAGTCACACCGTCCTTGGTGATTTTAGGCGCACCCCATGACTGTTCTAAAATAACATTCCTACCTTTTGGGCCCATTGTGACTGCAACAGCATCGGCAAGAATATCGACGCCCTGTAGCATGAGAGCTCTTACATCAGCGCCGAACCTCACATCTTTGGCGTAGAATCTTGAAATATGATGATTTTTGTGTAATGAGAGGGACTGACGGGCAACACGGGGCAGGCGAAGCATTTTGTTAAACTATTTGGAATGGTTTGACGGAACGAGAACAATTCGGGTTTTTATTTCTCGAAGATTCTAAGGAGATCGCACTCGGCTCGCAATGTGATCTTCTTTCCAGTGCCGGTTATAGGTTATATTAATACCAAAGTATAGATTATATAATAACCTAACAGCCGACTCTAGTTTTTAACTCGCAACTCTCTCGTGCTAGGTTATTATTCGTAGTATATTATTGAAATATTTTATTTAAGTATTATACGAAATACTGGCCAAATAATTGGCTTTTAATTTTTTTTAAGTAAATTTCAGAAGTTATAATTTAACTGGTGATATCAATTTTCAATATTTGGCAGAAATTAACTGCCACAAAATTTAATTTCGTGTATTGCTTATCTCTGCACTTAAGACGAAACTTAAATATTTGTAGTAAAAAGGACTAAAAGTTTTTCGCCGCTGCGGGAATCGAACCAACATCTTCCATATTCGCGGCAAGACGCTTCAACCAGTGAACGTTAGATAGCCACACCGACGAAAATCTGAACGTCTTTTATCTTTGTTGTTTTTTTGCATTTCAAGAAGTGCTTTGCATCTATTGTAATATTATATAAATCATACAAATTCCACTGGATCTATCATCTACTCCTTACTACCATCGAACTCATAAGCTAATTGTCTTGCGATCGATTACCGCCTTATATCTCATATATATATAAAAAATACGAAACTTTTTTTGCTTTTTAAATTGCTTACTTTGTAGAATCTTGTGTTCTCAATGATCAATTCTCGTCAGTTAATTGATTTTGTAAATTTATTGTTTGTGTGATTTAATTGTTCCTGGTCAATTATTGTTCGAGCTTAGAACGTCTCATGACTAAATCAAGATTTCAACCTTATTAATTCCTCTCGAGATTTTCCACTATCGAAAGCAGTCTGATCCGAGGTTTGAACCTCGCTCTGGGGGGCCGTTGGATCGTGTCGTGGCCCTGTAAGTCGAATTGTCCATCTTTCGGAACAGATGATGTAATCGTGTCATCGTCGTACATCAGCTAAATTGTTTCTCCCGAGCCCACAAGTCGTTTACCCATGGATCTCTTCCAACGAAGCTGAAAAGAATTTGTTTAACAATTTTTTCTGTTAAGTTTAGTCGCTACTAGCACCGCCACATTTGTTGGCTTCATCGGAAGAAGTCCAAGTAAACAACACATGTGCTTAGGAGAGAACATCGAAGCTGGTGCACGATAAAGGCACAACGACGCCCTCTGCTCCATGGCAACTTCGCGACCCCTTTGGAATGTAACTGATTGTAATTGAACAGTAAAAATAATCTGTTACAGGCTGGTGACAGCTAGTTGAACGTCATTTTTTGACAGTTTTAGCTTTTGATAGGCAATATTACACAGAGTATGAATAGATAAAAATTATTCTTCCTTTTGGTTGCTCGTTGGGTGCACGTTTTCTTGTACCGAAATAAACATGCGATAATTTTTCGAGTTAACTCGGATAACCCTTGTAATTATTGTTCATAAGTTTCACTAGGAGACTTTAAAGAGGTTCTTACTCAAATAAATCTATCAGTTATTTAGAATATTACATAATGGATAGATCTTGGTAAGCTCATTTTTGCGTTATTAAAACTTCCTTTCGTACTGTTTGTTTTAAATATTGGTCCGCGATTTCTATTCACATTAATAAGAAAAAAATATTTCATTTCATATTATGCTGATTTGAATGTAATTATAAGAAGGATTGTAATAATCCATATATGAATTTAATAATGTGTTTTTAAATACATCTTTAACCATTTCCCTAAACCTCTTTAGAGAAATGGTTAAAATTGTATTTAACTATATAACAGCCAAAGAATGTATAATTCTTTATATACTTATACATGTATACTTTTCGTAGTAGTTGCAACATGAAAGGACTTTTGGTTGGCATTGGAAATCCACTACTGGATATCTCTGCTATTGTCGATGAAGAACTACTAAGGAAGTATGATTTGAAACCTGACAATGCTATTATGGCAGAGCCGAAACACATGCCTCTGTACAAGGAACTGATGGAGAAGTATGATTCTTTTATATATATAAAAATATTTTTGTTGCTGCATGTTCAAGTTATTATTAGGATAATAAGATTTTTTTGCCAGAAAAAGGATATATTTTTTGATTCTTCTTATTAAATCAATAATTCAATATTTAAGACATTATATATAATTAAAAATCAATAATTTTTAATTATATATATGTCTTAAATATTTCCACAGTTGTAAATTTACCAGTTACTAAGTAGTGATGGTAGAACAACAAAATTCACAGACATTTTATAGAATTTTTTATTGCCATGATTTTACTATTTTTTGTTAAGCCTTTGTATTTGTTAATGTACAATAATTGTAGCACACTTTTGTTTTGATAACTGCTGCAATTGCTAAATCTGATATGCTTATTATATTGGCCATTGTAAATTTACTTCGGGCCTTGCAGATTACCACACTTAATTTGATGCACTGTATGTGAAGAATTATTTAAATAGACTTTACTCTATTTATATTTACATTACTCTTGTTATTTTATACCCTGGATGCATTTAGCAAACAAATTGTCTTTAAAATATTCTACACCGGGCTTATATTAAATTGATTTGATAAAGTGCAAGATATGCATTGATGCATGATATGCAAGATTGCATGCAAATGATGGTATCGAAACTCCCATGTGAAAATAATTTTTTATCAGAATTAGTACAGTATCCACCGTTTCTCAACAATATGAGCACTTATTTAATAGAACTGATTCCCAAGTCTTTGATTAATTTGGTGCAGGAACTGAATAGCTGGTTTTGTAGATTCAAGGTTTATTCGATTCTTCCATGTAAATGTATTTTTATTTAATTTAAAACTGGCCAGCACTTGACTGCCATCCTACTTGGTGGTAATTAGCGATGATGGTAAGCGCGCTAGCTCAGGAAAAACCTATTCTCTCTTGCCTTGAAGATGCCTACATTGTATTCATGTCTTAATGTTTGTAATGTGATGCAAAGAGTAATACTTTCAGTTACAATGCGGAGTTCATAGCCGGCGGCAGTGTCCAAAATTCACTACGTGTCGCCCAATGGATATTGAAACAACCAAACGTATGCACTTACTTCGGCTGCGTGGGACACGATGAATATGCTCAGATACTGAAGGAGAGAGCTGAGTGAGTTTCTCTATTCAATTTGCTAAACTATTTTATCATATTTATTTTTTGTAAAATCCAAATTTATTCATATTTTTTCTATTTTAGTAAACATAAGCTTCCCGAAAATGGTTCTAGGTAAAAGCTCGTCAATTTCTTTTAATTTTTTGTTACAAAAGAGCAGGTGGTTTGCACGTTTTAAATCAACTATCGCCGCCCCTTTTCATCTACCAGGATTGTACATGCCTACCACTAAAAGGATGAGCCTCCTTTACCTCAGTTATCAGACGTAACGCAAAACTATAATAAATTTAAGCTAACACGTTATTTTAAGTAAACTATAATATACGCAATTTAAGTAAAATTGCGTGTATAATCTCTTAATCATTATATCAGCCTGTTTAAGTCCACTGCTGGACATATGCCTCCCCAGCAGACTGTAACGAAGCACGTCGACTTCTCGCACATTATAGTTGTAAATAGCATATATGTATACGATACTAGCGACCCGCCCCGGCTTCGCACGGGTGCAATGTATTATATATATATATAATCTTCCTCTTGAATCACTCTATCTAGTAAAAAAAACCGCATCAAGATCCGTAGTGTAATTTTAAAGATCTAAGCATAAGTGATTTTCCCGTGTGTCCTAAATTGTAAAAATAATGCCGTTTTCACAACGATATCAAAGAAAGCAACTGAATATTTTGTCACATATGTTTGGCGATAAATGGCTTTTCTATTAGTAAAATCTTAATTAATACGAAATACATATTATAATCTAGACGCCAGTGTGTCCCCCTGTCCGACAAAACGCTCTCTGTTATCTCAGGCGATAAATGTACAACCAATACTGCGCTATCAAACTAAAGATATCATGTCTTATGTTGTAAAAGCAGATATGTCAACCATCAACCTCCTATATCTATATAGATAATTATCAGTTGTTAAATGAAATTGTTTGACGGCTTGTGTCGCGTCCAATTAACGCGCCAAACGGGTTCACGAACGGTCACACTTGTTTTAAATATCTTTATCAAATATTCGTTACACATAATATATTATGATATATTATGCCTAACAACTCACGGTGTATTACTTCGCCACCGACTACGTATAGTAAATTGGTACATTAAGTTGCAATTGTTATATTTAACTAGCTGCCCGGACAGAGTTCGTTCTTTTTTTTTATAGTATTTAAACCTTCCGTGGGCCTTAAGGAACATATAAAAAAATAAATTAGCCGAATTGGTCCAGCACTTCTTGAGTTATGCGCTTACCAACATTCATTTTTATTTATTAAGAAGATAACATCAATAATATACTATAAAATAAAATAAAGATAATAAATAATCTATAGTTATACAATAAACCTGAAGAGTTTGATCGAACGCGCTAATCTCTAGAACTACTAGTATTTGGAAAGATCTTTTTGCATTTGATACTTCCATCTTGAGTCTATTCGCCATCTTTCATTTAAAAAAATGGTTTTATGAAAAAATAAAGTTGATATTCACTTCTCAAATTATCGTTAATAGCGGCAAATACATGCTTTAAAGTGGCGTTTGAAACATTGAATTCGATGAAAAACTATGAAAGTTATGGCTTTCCGACAAAAACACCTTAAAGAAATGATATTATATATAGATAATAATATTTTAATGTCTGACTTTCGCGTTTTGAAGTTGGGTTCCTCGAATGCATTTGAAGGCGTACTCTGTTTTCTGAGCTACCAGCACCAATTCATATCAAATAGCAACGACTAATTGGAAATGTTGTTAAAATTTCAACCCGTTCCACACTTGACTAAGACAGTGAATCAAACGGTTCGAAATAGCGTCGCATAAGTAGTGCCTAACATCGTAAATATTTATAATGCATGCGACGCTGTGATGTGAATTGCAAATGTAGTCAAGTCTAAAACGGGAGAATTGATAAGGAGACGCCTTGTCGTGTCATGGATGTGGTGATCTCCGGCGATAAGATGTTCACTTATCTCTTGCACGTGGGAAGTGAGAACGGCATTTTTTGTCGCGTTAATGCGATGTCTACTTACGTTACTATCTCTTTTTAGGGTTCCGTATCCAAAGGGTAAAACGGGACCCTATTAATAATCTGTTGTCTGTCTGTCCGCCTGTAACCGGGCTGTATTTCATGAACCGTGATAGTTGGACATTTGAAATCTTCACAGATGATGTATTTCTGTTGCTGCTATAACAACAAATACTAGTAAACAGATTAAAAAAATATTTAACCGGGGCTCCCATACAACTGAAATGGTTTTTTTTGCCATTTTTATAGATGGTCATTTAGAATGGTACGGAACCCTTCGTGCGCGAGTCCGACTCGCACTTGGCCGGTTTTTTTATTCTCGGCGAAAATTAACACGTCAACTGTCGTTTTTGGATCGATATTAAATCTCTTATGATGCAGACGGAGGCAAAAGTGTTTTTACTAGATTATCTTTTGGGTGTGGGAGGGATTACTCGTGTAGTTTAATTCGACCCGTATGACATCATATGTTAATCGGGTATTAGATCGGGTAATAGATACTACTGTGTACCGTTTACATCTTTACTTCGCATGTTTACTTACCATAAGTTTTTTTTATGGTAAAAATTGTCAATCGAGCAGGCAAACACACAGCCCATAGTCATCTAAGACACTTGAAGGTTTACAGATGCGTTGACAACGTTTTTAAAAGTGAGCGCCTGTTACCTCACTCGCCATATCTCTTCACGGGGTAATACAGAAATAGCTACCACTTGCTATATTCCTTTCAAGGAGCCTTTTTAGCAAGTTTTCCCCCATGCAACACAAACGTGTGCAGCGGGTGGTCGATCGTAAAACGGGCGCACAGATGACAAAACTAACCCAAGTCAACGAGACGGTTTTTTTTAAATTTCATCGAACACCTGCCTATCGATGTCTGCTTCTGAACGGCGTAATATGAAACCGGTTTATTGAAAAAACGAAAACGAGAAATTCTCTATTCGTTTGAAACTTTTAACTTTATCATTTAAAACTTTCGTACTTCATAAACGAATAGAAATAATGATTTCTATTCGTTTATGAATGAATGAATGAATGAAGTACGAAAGTTTCAAGTTGTAATCACTACTTTAATAACTTAACCTAGCAAGTTGAAATCTATACCAGATACTGAGGTTTATAGGTATAAAAAAAGAACCCTTAATTTTACCTTTTTTTAGTTTTCAATTTTTTTTTTAAATCTTTGTACTTATAAGTTTTCGCGAAAATGTTTTTATCGTGTTGACTCAAGACCTTGATTTTTATACACCTAACTGAGACTATAAACCTCAGTATCTGGTATATATTTATATATTTCAACTTGCTAGGTCCACCCGTTCCTGAGAAAATCGGTGTTGTTACACGGACAGACCTTTTTTTACCTTTTAAGGAATCCTAATGGAATGCCCTGATACCCTCTTTACAGAGGAGGCCTTTGCCCGGCAGTGGGACATTTATAGGATGTTACATTTCGAAAATATGCAGGTTTCCTCACGCTGTTTTCCTAGTAGTAGGTGCCATATATCATCGTATCGATAAAGCTTTGGCCGCGAACAATTCGCAAGACGCTTCAGTTTATTGGCAATCATTCGCGTTTAAAGTACGAAGTCCAATATTGGTACATGTGTTAGTGATTGACTTTGACGTTGGAATTAATCGGTCTGACGTAAATGGTACTATTGTTTTAATCTCCATCGCCATGACCTTAAAACCGCATACTATCTAGGTTAATATTTTTATTTCGAATGCTTTCATTAATTTCAATTATAAAAAAATTGTGTACCGTATTACGAGTTTTCGATTAGCAATTAAATTCATTAAATAAGGAGGAGGATAATTAGGTTACTATCGTGAGTACTTAATAATACGACTCACTTTTAAATTAAATTAATTTGATGATATTTAATTAACTTATGTCTGAAGAGTCCGTACTATTTATTGATAAAGTAATTTATGATAGAAAATGCCTTTAATTAAGCACCTTTACATAAGCCCCTGAATAGATGTAACTAAATTTGATCAATTACACTACTAATTATTACTTTAAATAAAAAAAAACATTTAATTCAATGCGAAGCACATAAAAAATCAACGTGAATTCTCCAGCAATTAACAATGATGATTTATAAATGCGCGTCTGGTTTGACGTGCGGACTCCCATTCGTGTAGCCGTCTCGGCAATAACTTTGGGAGTACTGGGCTTAGATTTGACTGTTTTTGGTCCGTTCCGACTCAATATTATTTAGACTAGTCTAGGAACTTTGTTAGTAACAATGTAATAATAATAAACAGGTAATAATAATAATATACTAATATAGGCAATAATCGACATAGCTCAGAAGATTAGCAAGCTGAAGTGGCGATGGGCCGGCCTTAATATAGCTCTTAGAACCAATGGGGAAAAACGGTTCATGAGAGGCAGCCTCGTACTGCCCATCGCAGTGTAGGACGACCCGCCAATGAGACGGAATGGCGAACTGTGCAAATGCGCAGGAAGTCGATGGATGCAGGTGACTCAGGATCATGCTTCGTTGCAGACTGCGGGAAAGACATGTTTAGTAGGACTGAGACAGGCTGAAAGGGTCTTGAGTCACTAACCGCCCCGTCAGGGCGGACGGGGTGCGTGTCCATTACCAGGTGACGGACGAGGCGCCGACGGGCACGTGCGCCGTGCTGGTGACGGGCACGCACCGCTCGCTCTGCGCTAATCTAGCGGCGGCGCAGCGCTTCACGCCCGACCACCTCGCCACGGAGGCGTGCCGCGAGAGCATACAGTCGGCCCGCTTCATCTACGCGTCGGTAAGCGCGAGCGAGCGGGACGGCGCGATTTGCGGAGAGCACGACCTCCGCTCGAGAGCGACAGAGACAGCGAGCGCGATGTTCGCGGCAGAGGACTGGCTATACATATTTTTTTATGTGAGAAGGTGCAAAACTAGCTGGCGCTTAACTGATGGTAAATGACAGCCGCCGCACATGGTCATTTGCAACACCCGTAAGGTTGCATATGCGTTGCCACCTTTTAACAAAAGTGAGCGCCGGCTACTTCAATCACCAGACGAAACGCAGAAGTGCAACACTACTCTACGCCGGTCTTCTGTGAAGTCGTGGTACTCACCCGGACTGAACTGCCAATTAGGGCTACAGAGTAGACTGTTGGGTGGCCCTACCGCAGATATGGAAGAACAGAATATCCATTCTTAAGTCGTCAGTCCATTGTGCTGCAGGCCGTAACACACCACGTTTGCCTAATCATAGTGTCACAGAAATTAAAGACACGTTTGTATTTAAGGGCTTCTTCGTGGCCGTCTCGCCGGAGTCGATAATGCAGCTAGCGGAGCACGCGCACACGAAGAACCTAACATTCATCATGAACCTGAGCGCGCCATTCGTGTCCCAATTCTACAAGGAACCTCTGGAGAAGATGATACCATATGTCGACGTTCTCTTCGGCAATGAAACCGTGAGTGTAACTTGCGATTTGATTCTTCCGATGTTAGGAGATAACCACCGTAAAAATTATTTCTTTCGTAGGTTTTGATTTAAATTGTCATTGTTGGTGGTTAATCTTTCCCGCGAAATATTTCGAATTAAATATTTCATAACGACATCTAAAAATTACAACCACAATATTAAACCACATTCAACGCCAAATTGTTTTTTTTTTTTCAAAATCCCGGTCGACAATACAAAAAAGCATGATTATAATCCTTTGTATTGGCTGGACGGCTCATAGCAGTTGCGGTAAATGAAAAAAAAAAAGCAATCCGTAAAACACGCCCCGAAACGTTGCAGGAGGCGGAGGCGTTCGCGAAGGCGTTCAACCTGAGCGGCGGCAGCCCCAAGGAGATCGCCCAGAGCATCGCCGCCATGCCCAAGCTGAACGGCGCCAAGCGGAGGGTGGTGGTGATAACTCAGGGCAGCGACCCAGTCGTCCTAGTCGAGGGGGACTCCGTGACCCTGGTGCCGGTGACGAAGCTGGCCAAGGAGCAGATAGTGGACACTAACGGCGCCGGGGACGCCTTCACGGGCGGCTTCCTCAGCCAAATGGTGCTGGGGAAGAGCTACGAGGCGTGCGTAAAGTGCGGCATATACGCCGCCTGCCACATCATCCAGCACTCAGGCTGCACCTTCGACGGGCAGAGCGCCTACGAGTGCTAGGACCGCCAGCGCTGTTCAGTTTAATGACAATAAACAAACTTAGAGTGATCCCCGTCTAGACTGAAATTGAAGTAAGTAAGGTATACTTACATACTATATACTACCACACAAATGAAGCTGTTTCAACATAATTTATTGTGAAACTCAACATATATTTAACAAGAACAATCCAACTGACTTACATTATTGTCACTTAAATATTGTCTCATGCGATTTATTCTTGTACTGAAGAAAGTCAAGAAAGTCTTAGCAGGTTACAAATATACATTTATGTTTAACTGGCAACTGTCACTGTTGGACACAAACAAACTGATGTTTAAATCAAAACCAATGGATCCATTATCTCAGAGATGTTTCATTGATAAGTGGTTGTTGTTTAGTGTAATAACAGCTGTTTCTAATGAAATAAAATTTAACAATTGCCAATTCCCATTATGTACTATGTATCCACTTATTACACAAATATATATATTTAATTTGGTCAAAATAAAATATATATGTATGTATATATGGTTGTTCACATTAAATTTAAACAGCATTCACATTTTATTAGGGTTTTTAGAAGAACTGACTGAGCATACAGTAGTTAGTTGATGAATAGAATCAAATTTATATTATCATATAACTTAGTCTATACTACTGTTATGATAACAGATTTAGGCTATTTGTTTCCAATACTAAGCATGCCTCCAATATTAAAATCTGTTATTTTATATTTTTTATAGATATTATGATAGGATCGAATAATTAATGATTGTTAGTATTATACATAGATCTGACTCGGCGTGTTTTGTTTTAAGTAGGAATAGTGGTATTGCAAAACACATGAGCTTAATTACTATACTTATTTCATTTGTCAAATTTTTATGTTCCCTAAAAGGTGTGAAAACTATTTTAAGACTTAGCACTGCTGTACATTAAAACCGTAGCATTTCATTTTCATCTGACCCAAAAGAAAAAAATGTGGTTCTCAATACGGTTATATTATTTTTATGTTTCCTATACCTCATAACTTTCTCATTTATAAACCAATTTTCAAAATAACTTTTTTGTTTGAAGGGAGATATGTTCTAAGGCGACCCATTTTATTTTCTTTAGAAATGTACCTTGTATTTTAGAGATACACCAGGAAAACTCCTCACAAACAAATAGCAAATGTATAGCACCTGAGATATTAGGTGCTGGAATTGTTTTGCATGAGTTAAAATGTTATAAACTGTTCGAACCAGCATGTACCATGCATTTAGACCCTGGGGAAAAAATAATTTACCCATTTTTATACTAGCAGCATTAATAGCTATTTACAAATGTAACAATAGTTGGAATGTTGTGTGTCGGGATTTGTGAATAATTCCATAGAATTAAATGTGTCAAAATTATATAATGATATTTTTTTGTTTGCAGTCTATTAATGTTGTTTTGTTATGTTCATGTTGAATTTGAAACACGACTAAATTTAAACTGTTGCTCATAAAACAATAAAAATTTATAAAAGCAAAGCATTGCTAATTCTTATGCTAAGTTTTATAGTAATTAATAATATTTAGTTCCAAGCAATACTTGAATGAAATTGTAATAAAGGTTGTGTTGGTGTTTTAAAACACTAATGAAACAAATATGTTTTAACTAATTTGTTTATTTGTAACCAGTACAGTATACATATAGTTATATGAGTAGATAGATATAAAAGCAAAGATAATATTGTTAAAAATTAACTATTATAATCTTTTAAATGTCAAATCAATGGAAACTTAACCATAAACAAACTTAACAAAGTCTTAGGTTCATTCATATATGTTATTTTTAAAAATGCTATTATGGACAGGAACATGTTCTTTACATCTGATATTTATAGATAATACAATAATGGGCAATGTGAATTTCCCAATTGGGTACATTTTGTTCATCACCCAAAAGAGGCATACACCTGTAAAGTTCAATCACATTAAACTCATAGAACTTCCTTTGACTTCTGGTAAAGTAACCATGTCTTAAATAGGTAACATTGAAGGCACAATTAGGAAATTTTTCTTTAAACTTTGATATTCTCTCAGCATTTTTATGAGATTTGAAAACCCTGTAATAGAAAATTGTGTCATGCAGAACTTCCACACTCCACTTACCAAAACTTAGTTCCAATTTGTTCATATAACAACAATGTCGTGTTTGTACTTATGTTTGTATTTGTTGTGAATAAATATTTTTTATCAAAAAGTTGCGTTTTTATCGTGAACACAGTTTTTAGTTAGCAACTTACTACAAAAATAATTACTATTACTAATTGAAGTTTTGCATTATTAAAACTTAGTATTATTAAAAATATTATATATTTTTTTATTATTTACTTGTTAAATAATTAAAATATTTACCCTTCACGTGCTTAACATTATGTTCCTTTATATTAGGAAGTACCCTCGAAATATACTTTAACTTTATAAGTAAACGAATTCTCGATTATCACTTTTCTTTGAGTATTTAAACATTCTGATAACTTTAAATATTACATATTGTGTATTTACTACAAAAACTTGAAAATCTTATTTATACTCACCGCATTTTAACTTTTACGAATAAAATCTTGGGTAGTTTCTTACTATTGTTTTTAATTCAAGACAGCATATACTTTAAAATTCTTATAATTTGCATTCAATGTCACAATAAATCTCTAATATCTTTAGATGATAACTAAACTCTCGTTAATTAATAAATAAACAATCTAAAATTTAGCTTATGTTGCGCAAATTGTTTGAACAAAACCGTGTATTCAATCTATGTTTGCCACCTAGAAAAACTATTTAACAATAATCGATTATACGACAAAATATAAGTTTTTTTATAGATGTAAGAATAGATTAAGAAATATAATTAGATTAGGATATAATTATCTAACTAGCAAAACGTCTGTATTTTTAAGGCAACTACAAACGAGTAGGTGGTTTACTGAATGCCACCTAGGTGAATATCTCTATTCTCCACCCATAAATACCCAAAACATTCGTGGAGGAACAGTTGCATTCGCAATCAGGTGAGATGCCAAGAAGAATGGCCCTGGTCCCTCCATAAAAACACATACTGAAACTTCTATTATTTTATCAGTTTTTGCCGCTATTATGTGTGATTTAGCACGATTGAGTAGATCCGTTCGTAAATGTATCATGCCCTCATAAAAGAACGACGAGTAATGGAAATATTAAAGATACTTCTGCGATTCGGCTGGTGAACTTTATAGCCAGGGTCAACGTTCTTTAATGTTGGCATCGCATCTCTGCAACTCCTCTCGGCATTTAAAGTACAGGGGCGGTGGAAATTACTTAATATCCTCCCAGGCCCGAGACTTGCTCCCCTTGCGCTGGCAGGGTCGCGGAAGTGTGCGAAAGCGTTCCAGTGACCCTACCGATATGTGGTAATACCTACTAGGTGGATCATACATCGTGGGGTTTTTAGTCGGTGCGAGTCCGTCATAACCCGCTCTTACCCCGCGTGGACACGGGGTAAGAGCGGGTTGTGTTGCAAACCTACGGTCACGCAGCCAGGCCATGAATCTGACAAAGCACATCATTCGGCAAATTCGGTTAGGTCACTTCCAAGATGATTAAGTATATACACTTTATTCGGGTTTTCTCTTAACCCAATTCCGAATCTCCTAAAATCACCTGAGTAGTGAGCTAGAGCAAATTTCGATTCTAGAATAATATTCATAACGTACATTAAATATATAAAAATGTAGCCGCGATTCTAGACGGCTCTATAACTTAACTCATGCCTCCAGTAGAATGCACCAAAGGTTCATCGAAAGAGCTGAAAACCTCAACCAACACTATCGTTCAACGCCTAATCAAATTGTGTTAGGACCACGCAATGGTATTCACTGATGCACGAATGGGCAGGTCCGTCCGGGTAATTACCACGACCTCACGACCGGTGTAAATTAGTGCGAAATAAGACACTCTTAATTGTTCAACGTTTATTGCGAGACTACCACCGCCCGAAATCGTCTTACAATAGTTTTTCGAGTCTACCCTATATCTAAAGCTAAACATATGAGATACTAAACTATAAACAATATACCCCAAGTAGAAGTGTTAAACTTCTGCGTTTCGTCTGGTGAGTGAGGCTTCTGCAACCCTACGGGTGTTGCAAATGTCCATGGGCGGCGGTTATCACTTAACATCGGGTGAACCGCCAGCTCGTTTGCCGCTTTGTCACATAAAAATAATTTTTAACAAAAAAAAAACGACTTCAATCAGAAAATTAAAAACATTGTTAATACCTATAGGATTCGATGATGGCCCTCGATTTCTCTGGGATGCCATCATCAGATCCGGGTTTCTTTATCATGGTACCACCCTTGGGACATCTCCTTTCCGATAAAAAAAAGAAGCATAAAAATCGGCTCATAAATGACGAAGTTATCCGCGAACACACATAAAAAAAATAAAAATATATAGAATTGAGAAACCTCCTTTTTTGAAGTCGGTTAAAAAAGAAAAAAAAACTAACCTAAGCACGACCGTTACAAACCTGTGCTTCTGTCATCGAACCGGTCGAGAAATTGGACAACAGTAAGTCAGACCCACTGGAGTTTCCGCTAGATAAGACTATACCCACACGTAGTGCTATCATACAAAACCAATAAGTTCGTCCTTGCCTACTACATGTACATCAAAACGAACCTATCGTGAACACAAGGTAAACGTTTCAGGTTGAATTCCATCGACCCAGCATCCGATTAATATTGCAAGACCATTGGAGTCACGGTACGGAGTGGAGATAGAAGGCTGGAGAGTGACTTAGGCCTTGTTACCGCGGTATAATATCTCATTTCTATGGGAAGATCCATTAGGATGCGTACCTATTTGAAACACTCCATACTAAAAGTAGCAATGTATTGTTCCTTTTTTAATTTAGTCCAGAATCTATGGATTGATATAAATTTATAGTTAGAACTTTTAATATAATATATAAATATTGATATAAAATAATGTTTATCGTTGGAAGATTGAACGGAGCCGTAATATTTTTTACAGTTGAACAACATCTCAACATCATCTTATATTCATACCTTTTATCATACTACCAAAATTTTTACGTTGAAACGGTGCTGCGAATCGATACGTTAGTTGATATGAAGGCAAAATATTTGAAGAACCTCGGCTTGGAATGTCATCTCTAGTGGAACCTATCCCGAGGAAGAAGTAATAAGTTCGAAATTGCAATTTAATCACGAGACAACTACGTCGATCAATCGCTTGCGAAAACCAATTCATTTACGAGAATTAGAATTGTGCAGGCTGCAAATCGAGGACCTTGAATTCGGCAATGGCCAATAAATGTGCTGTTCCTGGTGTATGTTTGAGAGTGAATGAGGTGTGTGATGCGACATATAGCCTCGTCATACAGGGACGCCTAGTCGGACTTTTTAAAGATTTTTCCTTCTTTCTAACGTTATGTAGATTATTTTTACTTTTTGTATGAACTCAAAAGCCCTCAAGAGCCAGTGAAACATGGTAATATTTTCTTTCCTTATATCAAATAACAGAAGTTACAAGAGAATATTTATCACTGGAGTTGTCAGAAATGATAGCGTTTTGATCTAGTCTAAGTGATTTGTTGATAACTAATGTTTAATATTAGCTAATTTAGTAAAAATGACATTACGACCATAGATAGTACACCCCATCATTAATTATGATGTAATATCTAATTAAGAATGGCAATACATAATGTGACCGACAGGATATCAAAATTATTTTTTCATATAGCAAGGAACCTGATTGATAGCCATTTTGAAGAGCCTTTTGTTGGTGTTTTGTGAATGTTTTCAAGTAAATTTCGCGATATTTATGGATTATGAATGTTCTATTGGAACAAATAATGGATTATTAACATATATAAATTCTTAAATAGTTGTTATTATTGTGTTATATGTTTAGTGAAGCGCGTTGTGAAAAAAAGGAACCGGAAAGAAACCTATTGCATTCTGTTCTCTTTTTCTTGTTTGTGAAAATAAATACAGTTTAATAGCAGTGGAAGGTGTGAGTTTTTTGTTTAAGTGAAATTGTTGAGTAAGAAAACATTATTTACGTCGCGTGTGTTTGTTCTCTACGTAAATTTAGATTGCCACAAGATGGCCGCCGTCGTATGCTCGCTCCGCCAAAACCCGCTTGTGAGGCCCGATGTGTCATCGGCAAGCGATCGCTTTGCGGATATGCTGTAAATTAGCGTCTCGCGTCGCGGCTGTCAACCGCGGCAGCTTTCGGCGAGGTTCCATTCTATAAAATGGAATTTCGCTCGAGGCGCCAAAATACGATGGGTGTTGACACATCTCGAACAGCAATACCGTACCGTTATTCAGACGGCTGTAAGAAATAATTTATGTCGAAAATGACTGATCCGGACGAAGTGGGGAAAGAAGTGTGGAAGCGATGGATACTCGAGGCGATACATAAGATAAGGTCACAGAAACAGCGGCCAAGCGTGGAGCGAATATGTCATGCTATAAGACAGCATCACAATTATCATGAGGATGTTGTGTCTGAACGCCTAGAGCGTGCGGTGCGTGAGGGAACCGTGTTGAAAGTTTACAACAAAGGTCAGAGTTCCTATAAGGATCCAGGCGGGTTGCAAAGTAGAATTTTACGTATTGGACCTGATGTGGACGTGTCGCGAGCGGTGGCTAAGGCGGTTAGGGAGCTAGGCGAGAGGGACGGCTCGAGCTTGAAGAGTATAGAGAGATATTTGCGACAAGCATATCAATTGACTGTTGAGTCTGGGGCCGATGTGAGAACTGTGGTACGTGCTGCGGCCAAACGAGCCGTTGCACGAGGGCTTGTGACCCATCATGCAGGGAATTACAGAGCCACTGAGAGACCCTTGACTTCCACAGACCGCCCTCTCAAGCAGCGTTTGAAATCTGCACCAGACAGCCCAGAAAAGGTACTGTTATATTTTGATTTGTAAATAACAAAATAAACAATGTTTGTAAACAGAACTGATTTATTTTTGTGTTGGATACTGAATGGCAAGTTCAATTTCAAGGTTAATGACCTTAACAGCTATTAAAGGTTGCTTTAGTGAAAGCATTAAGACAGATTACACCAGGTTATTAACATAAAAAAAACATTGCTATGGTTAATTTATTTTAGCAATCAAAGAAACTATTGAATGTTATTAAATAATCATGCAAAATTTCTTCTGCTCCTTATACTAAAATATTAAAATATTCATTGTTATTTTTGATTTAAATGTTTATAACAAATGATTTAAGATGCTCTTGTCTTAAGGTGTCAGTATTTTACATTTTATTGTTTTCAATTGTAATGTATGAATAAATTTTATTCTATTTGATGATAATTATCTTAATTGATTGTTAAACAGTATATGCAAATAACAACCTAGAATAATTAGTGCCTTGTATAATTACTGACTTCAATATAATATTTATGATTATATAATGGAACCGTTTGGTCAATTTTTATGAGCAAAATTCAGTTTTGTGATGAATTATCAATTTATACAACTATTTTTAATGTTCTAATCAAAATAGACCATTATTAAATTTTTCTCTCAATTTAGACTATGCAGTTCAATTTTTTTTTGTTGTAGGTTTCATTCACAATATTTATTTAAATTTTTCGTTTTTATTACACAGAAATTATTATTTTAAACTATTTAATTTGTTAAGAAATTGCTTTCCCACATTATGCAATGTACAACAGTATATTGATATGATAACAATGCACTTGCATCATTTAATTGTATCAAAGTTCTTAAATTTTTTTATTTGGGGTTTTCTTTTAATACAAGGAATAAAAAAAATAGGCAAAGTAATAATGCTTGTTTATTTTCTTTATTTTATATTTATTTCTTATCTTACAGAAGCAAAACCAGGGAGGAGTGCCAGTTTGCACTGAGTGCCTTGGTACTGAAATACGGAATCGCCTTGGGGCAGCAGAGGATCTGATTTGTTGCTACCAGTGCAAATCCTATGCTCATCCAACCTGCCTTGATTTGCTGGAGCATGTCAGTTTACCTGTCTTAAAGGTATGATTCTAAATTAGTTATAATTTTTGTCTATTGTTTAGGTTAGTGTGGTATTATTTATCATATGGTAAGGTCCAAAACTTATTTTTACTAATTTAAAGCTACTTTAATCCTTAGCATAGACTTTAATGTTTTATTAAAATTACATGTTAAAGCGATAATAATATCAATAAATGTGAGTTAATCTAGAAGAATAGCAGTAAATTCAAGATTTTTTTTCAAATGTGTTTGGATAATGTAGTAGCATTACACTTATTGTAAAAATTCTACTACTACCATAATAATTTCTTGTATTTACGTGTATTTATAGAATGCGTAAATATTCTTAAATGAAACTATGTTTACTGAATTTATTGCATTTATTTTTGTACTTTAATTTCGCAATATTTCGTAACCTTTTCCGGGTTCATGGTCACAGGACGGACAGCCTGTCCCATATTTTTTCATCTGCAAATACCTTAAGTAATGTTCCTATTGCTTTGCAGTCGTGTTGATATAAACTTTCGTTTCAATTGATTTAGTCTATATGATTAAGACATAATGAGTAAAATTATTTTACATGCTGTAAATTGAGACTTATTACCCATCCATGTGCACACAAAATTGTATACAAGACAGTGATGTAACTGTGTTTTGTAGGTAGTTTACTATAATTAAAATTTATTCTATTGAATAGAGGCAAATACCTTGTTTTCGTATTTAACTTTTTATGACGTCAAAACACCGTTTGAACAGATCTAATTTTTTATATCTTCTTTATTGCAATTATCTTTAAAAAAAGTATTACAAAAGGCAAACATAACACCTTCTTGAATTCTCCCAGTAATCCCAGGGCGTGTTGATAAATTGTAGTAGGTGCAATTATTACATTAAATTATTTATATGTCTTACTATATAATATATAAGTAATTAATAATAAATACTATATAATATACACACACATCACTACATAGTATAAAACAAAGTATGTATGCTAAGACCTTTTAAACGGGTCTTGGTGCGTTTTTATTATTAGATTGAGTGATCAATTTTTATAGATATTGTGTGAATTGTCCAAAATATAGGTAATAATAAGCGTCAACTAAGTAGGAAAAAATTCAGCCATCTGCGAGATATTCTGGTGTATAATAAAAATTTCAGTGTTAATTCCCTTTGGCCGCGCGGGTGAACCCGCGGGTAACTGCTAGTAAAAAAAAAAAAAATAATTTTGAACAAAAAAAAAAACCGACATCAAACAGGAAACTAATAAAGCATTGTCAACGTCTTTAACATTTGGGATATCTCCTTTCCAACAAAAAAAGAATCATCAAAATCGGTTCATGAACGACGAAGTTATCACTGAATACACATAAAAAAAATATATACGGTCGAATTGAGAAACCTCCCCTTTTGTCGAAGTCGGTTAAAAAGACACGAGTATCGAAACGCGTTACATCGGAATAAAGTGAGTTCGCTATTGTTCGCAGAGCGTGCGCTGGGCGTGCGGCGAGTGCGCCAGCTGCGGCGCGTGCGGCGCGCGCGGTCGGTGGGCGGCGCGCTGCGGCGCGTGCGCCCGCCACGCGCACCCGCGCTGCCGCCCGCCGCCCTGCCGCTGCCGGGCGCCGCGCACCGGCGACGCCGACGACGCGCCCGCCCCCAGGTCCGACCGCGCCCCCTACCGCTGCCGCTGCCGCTTCGGCTGATGTCGACTGATAACCGCCGCCCGTGGACGTTTGCAATTGGATGTCGTTGCCGTATTCAAATGAAGTGGGCCAACGGCTACCTGACTCAACAGACGCAACGCAGAAGTGCAACACTTCTAATACACCCCGGTCCTCTGTAAGGTGCCCATTCGTGGAACAGTGAACACTGTTGCGTGGCCCTACCACAGTGAAAACATGTCCTAGATAAATAATATTTACAACTGTCACGTAAACATTTGAGATCTAGGTCTCTGTGTGGCATTTGAAGTGTATAAGCCGCGGTAGCTCTAATTTAATTTAATATACTTGAGCGACCTTAGTAAGCAACCCAATGCCTGGCACCTATGAAATTGTTAATTTTAAGCGCTGGCTTATCATGCATGTGCTCAGCGCTGAAGGAAAACGTCGTGAGGAGATATTACATGAAATCCGCCAATCCGCAGTGGGGCTGCGTGGTGGACTATGCCCTAATACCCTCTGTACTGAGTGAGGAGGCTTTTGCCCAGCAGTGGGACATGTATAGGCTGTTACTTTATATCTAAAATAAAAACAGTGAAAGAATGTTTAGAGCAATAAGAAGAAAATTTGTGCAATGTTTAAATATTGTAATAAAATGTGTTTGATAACGTATTTGTATTGAGAAAATGATGTTATGATAATGATTAAGATTTAATTAGTATTTATGTGAGCAGTGTCCTAACCTTTGTGTAATGTAAACTTAGACAACAAATAAATGATGAAATGATAGTACGGTACTCGTAACCCGCCTGTCGGTTCGCAGATCGCCGGCGAGCGGGACGCCGAAGAAGAGGAAGCAGAAGGCGGCTCCGCGACGCCCCGAGTCGGACGACGAGCCCTCGGACGGTAATGCATCGCCGGCGTACGCGCGCCTCCCGCCCGAACAGAGAATGTCGAAGGAGAAACAGAAGTTTTTCAGATTCTCCGCGTTCAATCTCGTCAAGCGACGCCGCTGCAGGGGCTCCTCGAGCGAATGGGAGGGCTGGGAGGGACGCTCGCGATGGGGCGGCGTCAGGGTAACGAGGGTGCAGCGGGTCGAGCTCAGGCTGGAGAGGCACTCGGCCGCCACCGGCACGCCCTCCGACGCGGACGACTCCTCCACCGACTCCGAGTCGAGCGGGCGCCCGGAGCCGCCCCTGCTGCGCGCCCTGCAGGCCTACGTGCCCCCCGCGCCGCCCGCGCCCCCGCCCCCGCCCCCGCCCCCGCCGCAGCCGCAGCCGCCGCGCGTGCCCACCATCTTTGAGCGCCTCGCCAGCGACACGGGCCCCGGCGGAGTTTGGGGCTTCGCCGCCGAAGCGCAGAAGGCTCGCGACCCGCCCCCGCCGGCGGCCAGCCCCCGAAGCCCGGGCGCGCCCGCGCCGGCCCCCGCGCCCGCACCTCCCCGCCCCGACCCGCCGCCCCAGTCGTCCGACACCGGCGCCGCGGACAGACGCCGGCGACGCAGCAGATGCGGCGACAGGCTGTTGACGACCCTCTTCGACGGGCTCTCGGAATTCTACTCGGTGCGGACGGCGTCCCGGTCCCAGTCGCGCCACAGGCCCGAGAGGTGCAAAGTGGCGGAGGACAGGCAGGTCCTGAAGGAGACGCGGAGCACGTTCAAACGCTACCAGGCGACGCTGAGGCGCGACGGGACGGAGAAAGGGCCGATGGCCAGCCCCGCGAAGGCGGGCGCCAGAGGGGAGAAAGAGGCGGAGAGAGAGAGGCCCGGTCCCGGCATGACCGCGTCGCAGCTGGTCAGGGGCGCGGCGGTGAGCAAAGAACGCATTTCGGCGGAGGAGGCCGATAAACTGTACAGAGGGCTCGCGATGGCGGCTCGGCAAGCCGGCGGAGATCGGCCGGCCACCAATCAGACGGGTAAGATCGGTTCGTGGGGTGCGGTGAAAGTGTCGTGGTGGATCTGACCGTCTCGCTCTGATTGATGGCCGGCGCTCCGCCGTCTCTCTCGCGCTCGTTCGCTTCCGTTTCTCTTCCGAATCTCTGTTCGGTCCCGGGTGAGTGAGGCCCGTATGTTCGGTTCGCAGTTCTTCAGTCGGACACCGAGCGCCGATGACAAACCATTTGTTATTCGGGTTTCGGCAGTATCCACACATGCACTTTCGCTCGCGCTTCTGTCCGCCGGAGCGATAATTGTACCTGCTTACGTCTTTTCCTTTGTGTAGGATGAACCGATTACGGTGAAGCCAATTCGTGGGTATGTAAAATATTCTACATGTATGTACATTAATTTTTTTGAATAATCATAAAATTAAGTTCACTAGATAGTAACTACATCATAAGTAATTATTATTACAAATTTTGTTTAGGTTAATCATATCAATAAATTACAAAGTTACATGCAATGTCTAAGAAATTTGAAATGCTTTTGCAGGTCTAAATTCGTACTTAAACAATCAAAGAAATTAAAAGGAACCAAATTATTTAGATGTATGGCACACCATAGTCTGGTTTATTCAGTTCAATCTGTACATAAAACCCTATTAAATGTTCAATATTGCTTTTCTAAGAATATCAATGTGAAAAGCAGTCTTCCTAACAGTGTGTTGTTTTAATTTCAGATGGCATGCGCCTACCGGCCGGCGTGACGGAGGCGGACGCAGAGTTGTTCGCTCAGGCTCGGGCGAACGCCGGTGGCGTGTCGGGGGCGGAGCCCGAGGCGGCGCCCATCACCCCGGGGACTGCGCCCCCGCCGCCCAGATGTCCATCCGCCATAGAGTTTGGCCAGTGGGAAATCGAGACTTGGTATTCAAGTCCCTTTCCGCAAGAGTATGCAAGGTGTGTTGTGTTGCAAATTGCCAATTTACTATATAACATTAAAAATCAACATAGAAATCCAATCCAATCAAAACATCATCATCCTTGGAAACAAACACTCAGATCTGCAACAATTATTTTGGAGTCTATCAAATTCTTTTCCACATGTGAAATCGAATCTATGATAACCGGCGCCCTATTATTTAGAAACACACACAATCATATATAAATAACAGATTGCCGTTTTTCAACCTACACTATCTTAGATTGTTTAAAGGAATATTGACTTGAACCGTGTATTGCTTACATTAGGACAATGATTAGAGTTAATAGTTCTTATTTATACATAGTGATGTTACGGACGTGTGAAGATTTCTGTTCTGCAACTCTTTGTGTTCTGTCGTAAATTGTGGTCAACTCGGCATTGCAGGCTGCCGAAGCTGTTCCTGTGCGAGTTCTGCCTGAAGTACGCGAAGAGCCGCGCGGTGCTGATGCGGCACCTGGACAAGTGCCTGTGGCGGCACCCGCCCGCCACCGAGATCTACCGGCGCGCCGACATCTCCGTCTTCGAGGTGGACGGCAACGCGAACAAGATCTACTGCCAGAACCTGTGCCTGCTCGCCAAGCTCTTCCTCGACCACAAGACCCTCTACTACGACGTGGAGCCCTTCCTCTTCTACGTGCTCACCAAGAACGACAGCAAGGGCTGCCACCTCGTCGGCTACTTTTCCAAGGAGAAGCACTGCCAGCAGAAGTACAACGTGTCCTGCATCATGACCATGCCGCAGTACCAGCGGCAGGGTTACGGGAGGTTCCTCATCCATTTTAGTGAGTGGTGGAATCTTCATTCATATGTTCATTATGTTTGCATAATATATTCTTTCTTTTTGAGAAAGCCAATGTGGACGTAATTTGATGGTCTTTTGTATTTTCAGGTTATCTGCTCTCAAAAGAAGAAGGCCAGCCTGGCACGCCGGAGAAACCGTTGTCGGATTTAGGACGGGTGTCGTATCATGCTTACTGGAAGTCCGTCATACTCGAATATCTGCATGACCACAGAGATAAGCCTTTCACATTCGAGGATATCGCATTTACGACGGGAATGCACATGAACGATATAGCCGTCACCTTTCAGTTGCTCGGCTTCGTGAGATACGTGCCCGACAACGACTCGACGAAATTGGGCATCTGCGTGGATTGGAACAGGGTAGACAATCACGCGAAGAAATTGAAGAGTAAACCGCGCCTCGAGATTGACCCGGAGTGCTTGCGATGGACACCGTTGCTAGCGCCCACAGTGAATCCTTTCAGATCGCCCGAGGAAGGTTCTGGAGACCAGGACACGGAAAACGACGAAGCGGAATTGAAAACAGAGAGTGAGGACACCGCCACTGAGTCTGAACTGGCCATCACCAAACTGGAGATCACGTCCAAGTCCGAAAAAGACTCCGACTTGCCAGTTGAAGTGACCTCCTCAGGAAGGCGGCGGACCCGCCCGCTTAAGTACAGCGAGACCACTTACCAGACCACGCCGAACGTCGCCGACGGCAATCGCAAGAGGAAACGGGATGCGAACAGGAAGATATCGGAAACTAACGTCGACGACGAGAGACCAGAGAGGCAGCAGCGTAGTAAAAGCGTTGCGCGCAGATCGTCTAGGGCCGCTCAGAACGAGGCTAACGACATCAGTGTGCTACACAGGAGCAGACGGCGGAGTGTCAAAGAGACCTCTTACGCGTCGGACAGCCAAGAGAGCCAGGAGAGCGTCGACGCGGAAATCAATAACACGCCCGTGGTTGCCACGATCAAAGCTAAATCGAAAAGAAAACTCGCCTGGAGGGGCCGACAGACGAAGAGGCAGAAAGTCAACAGGGCCAACATCGCGCGAGGCAGTTCGCCCGAGACCAAGAAGTCAAAGATCATCGCAACAAGCAATGAGGACGTCAACGATTATAAGACGGACGATTCCGCTTCGCAGCCAGAAACGGCGTTGGACACCATCGGGGAACAAATGCAGCAGACCATTGGCGATCAGACTGATAGCAAAGTCGAGGAAAAGGCTAAGAATTCTGAGGGTAGCTCCGAGGATTCGTCAGGGGAGGCTGATGATGAGATGGACGTTGAAGAGGGTGAAGACAGGCGAAGCGTGCCCAGTAAGCCGGCTACGCCGCGCCATCTAGAAGACAACAGCACAGACAATCATACCAGTGACATGGAGCTTGACAGCATTCACATGGACTCACCAAAGTCTATAGCCGAGAAAGATCAAGTTATAAACGAAACGTCTGCTGGCGAGAACCCCGAGCACGAAGATATCGCCGATGGCAAAGATAATAATCGAGTGACACCAGATGCCAGCATGGTCGTAGATGAGGCGGCACCCAAAGAAATCAACGGTGAACAGAAGGAAGAACCGACTAAACCCGATAACCGAAATGGGGAGATCCTTGCCCCGACGAAGCCCCCACACGACGACAAGGAAACCATAGTTATTTCTGAATCAGACGATAACAACAGTCAAAGTTGCCCGTTGCCTTCGCCCAAGCCTAATAATTTGGCACCCGTGGACCACCCTAATGAGGTTAAAACTAAAGAGGTGGAAAGCGCGAGTCCTGTAAAGAGTTTGCCGGTGGTGTCCACCGAAAACTCTCATATTGTGTTAGATGCGAAAGTTCAAGAGGACGCGCCGGCTATACGACCCCCCGTAGACCTCATCGTACCGAAGATACATCAGATAGAAACGATAGTTGTCGAAGGTGAATCGGATAATGCCACTTCTCCTTTAACGGGCGTTTCGCCTAAGAAGACTGACAGTACGGTGCACAATGAAATAAAACAAAAGAAGCCCGAGGAAGAAAGCAGAGAAATGAACCCCGAACAGAAGAAGTGCGAAATCAGAAAAGAAACTGTAATTCAACATCAAGTTACGGAGGAGATAAAACAACCAGAGAAAAAATCACCGAATAAAATCGAAACGATCATACAGAGTCTAGATCCGAACAGAGATATGACAAGCAATATTAAAAAGCCCGATCCGCCGAAATTAGATTCCTTTGCCGACATGGACATACGGAATAAAATTCAAAGTCCAAACACGAGTAAAGAAAGTGACCTTCCATACAGAAACGACACAAGTATGAGGAAGGATGAAATTGTAATTTCTAGAAGTATTATCGAAACAAGCATTCCGGCCTATCAAAACCCTGTCAGCAACTCAATGACGATACAACCGATTAATACTTATTTGCCTAATAGGACTGTCACAAAGGAATCCCAAGGAGTACAGACCGACAAGCTTCCACATAAGATAAATGAACAGCACCGCATCATAAACAGTATACCCGATGCGGCGGTAGTCAGCAAATGCACAACAAAGCTAGAAGTGCCGCATCCCATAACTTCGCCAGTCATAAACCCGGTCATCCCGAAAATTCCGAACGTGACCGACATAAGTTTCCTGCCACGATGCCAAAGCGCCAACGCAGCCGTCAACCTGGGCTTAGACCGAACTGACCTGGAACCTGGCTACACCAACAGCAACCCCATGCAGAACGCTCTCGGCCCTTCAATGAGCATCATCCACGCCAATTCGCAAGAAACGAAGACCGATCCCAGTCAGAAACCACGCGAGAAGAGCAAGCTGCGTGACGTAAGAGTTAACTCCGCGCACAGTAAACTCGAGAAGACCGATAAGAAGAACTCAAAAAACGAGACGCCTAGAAGCACGCCCGAACTAAAAATGTTTTTTCCGGAGCAGAGTGCCAACGCGCGAAAACCGGAGACATCCGTCCCAATAAACGTTATCAACACGGCGGCGGTGACCAGCAAGGTGGAACCCAAGCCACCCAACGAGACCCCGAAGAAACAAGATTTTTTTAAGAAGGAGAAATCCCATGCGGCGAAATGCGACTCAAAGAATGCGGCCAAGCACGAGAAGGGTTGTTCGGTCCAACTCAATTTGAAAGCCGACCAAAATGACCTGAATAAAATGTTGCCCAAGTTCAAATATGACAATGAGCTGGTCCCGAAAGCGGATTACGCCATGAACCAAATCCCGAATTATCACACTACTCACGCGCAGTACCAATGGTCCGCTTGGGATCCCAGGCTACAAGGCACCTGGGATCCCAACAGGTTTCTGGATATGAAAAACAACGACAAAAACTACCTGGACAAGTTTCAAGGGTTCAACCTGCCACATCTGGACCAGATGCAGAAGTCACCGCAAAAGCTGCCGAAGTACGATCAGAAGGATTTTCACAATCTCGCGTACGGGGCGTTGTCCAGCGGTATATACGGAACGACAGGCTTGCCGCATTTCAAGGAGGCAAAAGCGCCGACCTCGAAGGCGTCCGAATGCGCCCAGAAGAACGAGTGTAAGCCCAGTAAGCAGTCGAAGACCACGACCGCCTGCCAGACGCAGTGCGACTCCAAGAAGTCCCAGTCTCAAGGGCACAGCGCGGCCGAGGCCCAGTTGAAGCAGATGATGCAGCGGCAGGTGAACAAACAGCAGGAGGTAGTCACCAGCTGCGCGGAGTTCAGGCAACAGAGCCCCCAAGTGCTCACATCGCCCGGCTGCAAGACGCCGTTCAGCCAGAACGGGCCGTGCGGCCAGGAGAAGACGGAGATAGAGAAGAAGTCGCGGCAGCACTCCAAGAAGGAGGAGTCGCCGAAAGACGGAAGCAAGGAAGAGATGTGCGAAGCCGTCAGCCCCGCGTTGCAGTCGATGGGTGTCTACACGCCGGACTCTACTAGCAACTCTGTCCACTCGGTGCAGTACCCCGCCTGTGAGTTGGACGTGAGCCAGCTGGGCCTGGAGTCACCCACCAGCATCGGCTCCGACCTGGCTTCGCCGTGCTCCATGATGCACATGCATCCAGTCCCCAGCCCCCAGTACCCGCACTCGTCGATACACATACCGTCCATAATGACACAGACCAACCAGCCTGCTAAGCAGCAAAAGATCAACAATCGAAATAGGTGAGTTTTATGATATACTAGCTTTATACCAGTGACATAGTTTGTGTTGCTCATTATATTAATAATGTATTTTATCTGTCACTACAAGAAAACACATGTTTCTGAACATGTAGGGTTTATAAAAATAATTGTTTCTTAAAACCTTAACAATATTAAATTAAGATATCACAATCTTTTTAAGTTCTGATAAATAAATATAACTAAGTAGGATTCATTTAAATCTGTCCGTGATGTACGCATATTGGCAGACCACATTTTATAAAATAGATTTTAAGCTATATTAGTTAGTCCATTTTAATATTAGAATGCCAATTTACTTTAAGACTGAAGAAATCATCTAAAGAGTTATATATCTATACTCTTTTAGATTAATTAAAAAAAGACTATGTCAGATATGAAGGTACACATACGATGATTCTTAACAAGAATATAGAATACAAGCTGCTGCCCTTGACTATGTCTGTGTAGAATAGGCTGAAGGCGTAAAATTCAGACAGAAAGACAGATATACATAAAAATATGTACCTATATAAATTAAAGCCTCTGTGTTATTCTGATGTATAAGCTATATTATTGTAAAGTTTCATTAAAATCCATATTTGCGTGAAAAAGTAACAAACATCGGAGATAATCGATCATGTAAACATGTTGTATACCACAAAAACGTAACTTAACGTTACTTGACTTGGTGACTTTTGCAGGAGCGGTGCGCAGAGTGCGGGCGGCGGTGGTGGGGGCGGCGGGGGCGCGGGGGCGGAGTCGAAGGCGCTGCGCGGAGCGGCAACGCCGCCGGCCCGCCACCGCGCAACGCCGCCGCACCAGCCGCACGGTCAGATTCCTCTTTTATGTGAGGAGGCAGCACGCGAGCTGATTTTAAGTGATACTGCTGCCCGCGGACATTTGCAACACCCGTGGCAATTCTACGGGTGCCACTCTATGCGTTGCCTAAAAGATGGCATTAAGTGGGCTCTGGTTACCTCTCTTACCAGGCAAATGACCTGCCCTTTCGTACAACAGCAAATACTGTTGTGTTGCCCTACAGCGGTTAAAAAAAAATCTTTCTTAACATTTCCTATTCACTGGTTTTTTTTCCGTTTATACTTTTGACAAACCATTGTTACTATTTAATGTAACATCTTCACTCCGATACTGGCACATACATAAGTAGAAAGGATAATTATATGATAATATTTAATAAGTCCATAGGTGTAATATATTGGCAATTAGATAATAGATTTCCAATTTAGAGATGAATAAAGTTTACTTGTTTGTAGGTACTTCATAACACTTTTTTGCACAGATTTATGTGATGAGAAACTTAAAAAAGCAAAATGGATTTTTCGGTTTTTAATCAGACTGACGGATATGTCCTTGTAAAACATCATATTTTTTAGATTTATTCGTTTTAAATCTTGCATTCCTTCTAGATTTAAAAAAAAAATATTTCTAGATGTTTGACATTCTTTAAACTCGCAATCTTGACCCAGTAATAAAAATTCCCCATGTGTCCTATAAATCTTTGGATATGGATTTGTCGGTTTTCAACAAACCAAATGCATGTTGTAACCAAGTGTATGACCCAATCATGAAACAATTGAATTGATTTGTCGGTTTACATTCATATTAGTGTGTTTCGGGAAAGTTTTCAAAGACGCTTTAGTCGTTTATATATTATAGATTTGATACAAGATGCCTATACATACCTACTTAAACAGCCGATTGCCCTACTTAACACAAAAACTGTTACAATGTGATTTATCGGTTTTCGTCCCCATGCTCCTCAATTGAAGTCGGTCTCTGTGCACTGGTGCAGGCGGAGCGGTGATGCAGGGCGGCGGCGGCTACCAGGGCGGCTACCTGTCGTTCCAGCAGCAGCAGCAGTACCACGGCGGCTGGGCGCCCTCCTGCTCGCTGAGCAAGCTGCAGCAGATGGCCGAGGCGCCGCAGCACCACCCGCCGCACACGCCGCCCGCCCCCTCTGCTCCCCAGGTACAGCCTTACATGAAAAACTATCCGTTGCTGGGCTGACTCTGAAGTTGGAGACAACTCAACTCTCACATTAGTCACACACTCATACACTTCTGTTTTTTTCTAATTCTTATTTTTAAATTACTTTTAGCTTACTCACCCTGTGGTATAAGATTTTGTAATATTAATTTATTATTACCTGTAATGTAAAATACTTTAATTGCCTCCTCTGTACAGAGGGTATAGTTTAGCACATGACCTACACACTGGCCTACTAAAATGCCTTAAAAACAAAACAAATAATATTATGAAGCTTGGCCTGCAGATTATTTTAATAATATCCATAACAGTAACCATTAGCTCTCCAACAATGCATTACAACTAGGAACTTATTTCAAAAATACTAAAAAAATATCTAGTGGGAATAAAATCGCAAAGAAATATTGAAATAATATCTATTTTTCGTTTCGCATTTAAAAGATAATTGTTGTTTTAATGTTGATAATTATAAATCACAGGAAAAAAATTATAGATATTTTAAGTAATACTTTTTTTGACTTATTTTGAAAAAAGAACAAATTGGTCCACTTGTGAATAATGCATATGGGCTTTAAAATTATCGCAGTCACCCCTATCACCTAACGGGAAAACGTCGGAATTACCAGTAACCCCCTGAAAAACATCCAGAAACTGGCAAAAACACCATGTTCATACCACAATATTTTTCATTTGTTCAGTGATGTATGTAATGAATGCAAATGATTAAAATGTTCTTAGATATACATAGTTAGGGTGAAGTGAGCTGCGAATATGTTATCGGCAGGCGTATTATATATCCTTATATCACTCACGCTATACACAACTATACTCTGCACCAAACTATCACTTGTCAGATCAAATACTGCCTACTTCCTTATACCACACATAACTTCACTGCCTACTGTTCTACACTCTTATATAAAACTAAGGAGCTGATCATTGGTAATTTTGTTTAGATACAAATATACATTTAAATTATTTTAATTATAAGATAAATTTAAATTTTCAAAATTCCTTTTATTATTAATAGAAAACATTTCATGTACAAATCCACCAATCTGTGGTGTCTAATTGATGCTCTAATGCGTTCTGTACAGAGGTCTTTGCCAGGCTGTCGGATGCATATGTATATAGGCTATTACTTTACTCTACATGTACGTTTGTTTGTTTTTAGTATGGGCAGCAATCAGGGACTCCACCTGGTGGCCACTACCACGCCGCAGCCAAGTACTACACGCCAGCGCACAACCAGCTCGAGTCGCCTAGGAACGCAAGAAACACCACCAGTAAGCTACATTTTCATCATGCTCATTTTATTTTTTTATTTTCTCTTTATTTTTTTCTTTTTAAAAACATTGCCCTTACTTTAGGATAACTTTATCCTGTGTTGTAAGGACGTTTTACAAACATTATTTTCACGCGGACAAACACCCAGATGCGAAACATCTGTGGGTCGCACAATTAATTGTTCCGTGTGGGAATCGAACCCACAACCCCGGACGCCGAAGCCAATACCTTGGCCACTGCGCCACGGAGTCACCATAAATAAGATAGTATTTGTGTAAGTGCCAATTTACCTTTGTTTTATTTGAAAAAAAAAAAATGTGTTTAAAAAGTGTTTTAAATGGAGATGACTGATGAATAATTTACTATAATATTTAAATAACTCTAAATAATACTTCCAATTTGAACTGGCAGTGTAAAAATTGAGGAAGTATATGTATATGATTAGAAGTTTTACAATTTTTTTAACATGATGTCCATCTGCAAAGATATTCAAAGTGAATCTTATACAGAGGCTTTTTCAAGTGTATGCTTTTTTTTTTCATTAAATTCTAGACATAAATAATGTTATATAAAAATGATAAATATTTAAAATTACTCGTAATTAATTAAATATATTCATTTGAACTTATCTAAAAAGTGTGTGATTTATGGGCAACAACAAATTGTTTTCTAAGGAATGGAATGGTAATTTTTTGAAAAAGAAAAGTTTGTTTTTATTTCAATAAACGAGTCTGGACCTCCTGTGTTAATTTGGGCACCTTTAGAAAAGCCACCCTGTATATGTTGGTCATTCACTAGACCGGCAAGTAACTGAGACCGTTGCTATCCCTCAACAAGTGCTGGGGCATATCGTGGAGCGGTAGTGGTAACAAAAACTTATATATAACCATATCACCCGAACTCGCTTCACGCTTCTGCAGGCAACCTGAGTCCGATGCAGCACATGCAGATGGCGCCCGGCTCGCGGATGTCGCCGAACATCAACACGCACATAATCAGCCAGTACGGGCTGAACGGGTACCGGGTGCCGCCGCAGCAGCAGTTCAACAACCTGCAGATGATGAACGTGCAGCCGGCGGTGCCGGTGCAGTATCCGGCCGCGGACCCGCGCGCCCAGCAGCCGAACGTGTACGCCTACGCGGGCTACATCAACCCGCCGCCGCCGCTCGCCATGCAGACCCTCAATTCGACGATGCGCCGGTAGCCTCCGCCCAAGCCGCCGCCCGCCCAACGGTGCCGCATCACAGTGCGATGTTGAACGGAACCGTTTCGCGGACTGTGTCGCGTTCTAGTTTGACACTAAAACTGTCGGCCTTTCTCGGCGTATGTGCGGCAAAAAACCATTTATTCATCGACATAAGAAAAGTACATTACATTTATTGATTTGACTTTCCTGTAATTTACCGCCGTTTCGTGATGAGGTTCCTCTAACGTTTCTTTTTTGTCATTTTGATATTATACAACTGTTTTTTTTTTTCTTTTAGAAATAGTTCCACAAGGTTCCATCTATTTGTAGATTTGGTTACTAGTGCTAGATATTTGATCTTAGCTTGATAATACTCGTGTCAAAATTCTAACCCCCAGTAACCGAATCTACTGATAGATAGAATATGGAAAGCGGCCATAAATCGCTCGTTCTCAGTGCAAACGTCGGCAGTTCAAAGATCAAATTGAAACGCGACAAAATACGTAAAACGGTCCCGTTCAACTTGTACGGTATTTGTGTAAAAACATGAAATCAAAGTACAAAGCTTACCGATTAGATCGTACCGAATAATTCAACTCGTCCGTAGCGGCGTCCGAGTGACGGCGAGTTTAGTGTGTATGTGTATAGTGCAATAAGTTGAGACGACCCGACGGAACGTTGCGGAGCGCCCCGGTCGCTGAGCTGTGATATGGTCCGCCGTTCGGTTCCGACGGCGGGCCCCTGTGGCGTGTGCACGGAACTTGGACTGTATCATTCTTGATTTCCAAAGAAACATGTTGTAATTATTAAGCCACTTTCTTTTTGTTTTGTTTTGTATCTATGTCGACTCGAGTGCAATCCCCCTTGAATGTCCAAATTTGTACTTTTGATGTGATCTTACGTTCTAAACTTTCTCGCTCTGTGTATGTATATCCTGATTTCGACGTGACGCGCGAGTTACTCTTGTACATTTCTCTGTACAGTCGGCGTAGTTAATTATAATTTTTCACTATAAGTTTTTTGACGTTCGTCGGTTTTTCGAAGTGCCTCTTTGTCGTCCCATATGCTTAGTTCCCGTGTAAGATATTGTAAATGGACCGCTTCTACTTAACAAAGGCTGTATACATAGAGAAACACAACCGTAGCATAATTGTATAATAATAGGCGGTATGATGACGATTATTAATATTGTGAATGTGATAGTTGGCGGGGATCGTTTGGTGTTGCCCACCCGCCTGGACTGTCTACGCTCGCGTTGCCAGGCCTAAATGAAGGACGGTGTTTTTTTTTTTTATATTTTGTATCTTATTTTTACACTGATAGATTATAAATGTTTTACGTTACTGATAATTTCTCTTTTTCTTTTGTAAGCTTCACTTAAGGATTATGTTCGTGTTATCCCAGTTAATTTATTGCCAAATGTTATTAACACTAATTGCGTTGACCAGCTTCAAGGCGCCACGTGGCGGGTTGCGTCCGCAACATATATTATTTTGTAAGATCTGCTCCTCTAAGGTTATGAATGTTATTTGTTACTAATGTGTAGAATATAAAATATTGTAAATACTATAACAATAAGATACTTGTAGCAGGTGTTATTACACAAAATATAATTTTGTGAAAAAGTGTGTTTTTTCATTTAGTCAATTATAGTTCATCATTGTTTTTGTTATAAAAATAATTTAAATTAAATAAGTTTATCAGCTACGTTTTATTACTATTTACCGACGGTATAAACTAATAAAATTAACATTTTTTTATAAAAAGTAGTTTATCAGAGACCTAAAATAGTTTTGCTCAAGTTGTTTATGATCCACTAGTCTTTCCGCCGCACTTTGCTATTGTTAACCCTTATTTTGAATTAAGTTTGTTGACTGTCAAGTATTCTTATTATTATTAGTCTTATGGTTACTAATTTAATACAGTTCAGTTGTAATAGTTTGTTAGGAGTGTGGTTCCTAGTCTATGCCTTGGATTCTAAACGGATATAAGATAACTTCACAGCTACCTGCAATACATACACGATATGTATTGTAGAGTTGCAGGACCTTACAATCCTATAAAAATTAGGAATGTTGAGGACATAAAAGTCATAACAATAAAGTTAAAGGGGTTATGGGTAAAATATTAATAATAATATTAGTTAAAAGTTACACATCCCTGGACATTTTTTTAATATGAAAGAATAGCAACTTAAATATGTTAGTACAATAGAAAAGTAACTAAATAAAAAATGACCGTATGGGAGAATAAGGAAGTTTTATACACATTTCAATAAAACACTATTTAAAACAACAATTTACTATACAAAAAAAAAATCACAACAGTACCTTAAAATACGTAAGTAAAAAATTACATTACTCAATATTTTTAAAACCATTGTGATTTAGTTGTGGTTAAGTAAAACGCATTTAATAAATAAAAACATCCTATAACCTTGCTACATGAAATACCGTTTGATTTTATTGGAATAAAAAAGTATAATTTAATGAAATGACTTAAATAAACAGTTTCGAGACTATAATATCAATTAATTTTTAGTTATTCCTCAAGATAGTGCTAACAAATTTTGTAATGTCAATGCTGTAAAGTTTAGCTTGGTCACCTCCCACGATCATTCAACCATCAACTCATGTTTTACAGCACCAATCTTATATGTTCACTCTCTTTTGAAACATATATTTCCTGTCTTTTTTTCATTGACTATATGATGCAAATTATCACTCCTGTAATTTCTTACTAATTCCACAATACAATACCCTATTATTTAGTCACCTAACAGGTACATAAAGCATCATCAACTGAACTTTCAAAGCATATTGGTGATTGATATGAATGCAGATCAAATGTACTCATTGCTTAATTGCTACTGGATCACATCAATTATGTATAAAATATTTCATGACTGAGTATTCACTCTTCCGTGTTTGCATCAATCAGACTTTAATATACGAGTCGAACATCAATTTATAATTATATATCTTTGGCATTATCCAGTAAATATCACTCTCTCACCTTAAATACTCCTCAGCCCAGTGTAAAGCCTAGACATCACTTTTGATCGATTTCAACATTCAATCTACAGATAGATCTGGTTACTATCCATAGGTATTTGACATTAGCTCCAAAATACTTATGTATAAATATTATCTTCAGTAATCAAAACTATATGTAGATTGAATATTGAAACTGGCCATTAGCACACATTGTGAAATGGAAACAAAATTTCAGCAATGGATGTCTCATTGAACAAAGTTTGATTCTTACTTGTCTACTTTAATTTATCTAGTTTACTTACATATGTACAAATAAAAACGGAGACAGCAATATCACATACTTTTAGAGTAATATTATTGTTTTAAGTTATTCTATTCTATTATATTTTATACATTAAAATATTGTAGCAATGAAAATACAGATTATGACCAGTCATTTGGCAAATGCTTAAAGGACTAATACTAATTAAATAACATAGTAATGTAAATATTGAAGTGAAATATTGAATAAATAAATTCAAATGAAAAAACAAGTAGAGATAGAATGTCATGTTGTAGTCATTAACATTAAAACCATTGATATTTTCTTGGATAATTTGCAGATATTGCAATGATAATTGAAATGAATTTTAATATTCTGCACTATAAGACTCACTAACTGGTTGACCCTTCATTATAATTGGTTTAAAAACTATGTTTCGGAAATTTTACAAAGTAAAATGTGACATTTAAATGATACGTTCAAAATGATGCCATAAAACAATATAGTCCTTTAAATTACAAATCATGAAAAATGCTTCACTTCCTGCATCACTTCACTGAAAATTCTAATTTATCTATATTCTAAAACTGTGATTGAATAACTACAATTAAATGGACATCTGGAAAGTTATCGGTCTTATGCCGATAAAGGTTTGGTTAAGGGCATTTTAAGCAATATTAGTATTTCATTTGCTCATACAAACATTTTACATTGCAACTATCCATTAAAAATATATTTAGTAAAAAATAAATAATAACTTATGCAACAATCATTAGTATCACAACCATATTTAAATTTGTACATAAATGGGTAAGGGAATCGGCTCCGCTGGTCTTCTATCTAGCTGAACATTGGTCCTCATCAATCGGAGACTATTTTCGGTTACTTTTGTACATCCACGAACAAGTAAACCTTCCAAATTTTTACAATGCACAGCCAATGCTCTGGAACAGTTAAAAAAATGAAAACTATAATTAAATATTTGGTGATTTTATATAATTCTTCTGTGCATGTGTATGTAACTGAACTCCTAAGCGGACCGATTTTAATAAAATTTTTGGTCTCTTCGTGATGATTCAAGAACGGTTTAGTTCACAAGTCGGTTCATTACAACTTTTTTCATTTATAAGTTGTTGTCGGATTTAAGATGTGTGTACAGGACAATGTCTTTTAGGTCCGCTAGTATTAAGCATATAATTTTAACAAAGCAATAAACAATATTCACAAGTTAGCAATGCTAGAGATTTAATTTTTATGGATTTCTGAATAATTAATGACATGGGTCAAAGGAAAATAAGGAATTTTATGGTTAGCTTAGTTTTCACAAGTCAAATGAAGTTGCATTAGTGTGAATTGAGTTCTTTTTGTATGGCAATAAATATTGTAAATTACCTGATTCCTTTGTCAGTTATTTCACAACAGCCACCCAGGTTGAGATGCCTCAGTGCTGTACTATACTTTGAAATGGTGTACAGACATTTGTCTGTCACCTGCTTGTTCCCTTCCAAGTTCAGAGTCCTAAGTTCTCTGAATTTTTTTATGAAGATCAATATACAGTTTTCCGATAATGATAAACAGTATGCCAGATCAACATCTTCTAATTTACTTTGATGCAAAGCTAAAGCTTCCAAAGCACCTGTAGTCAGCCAAAAGCACCGTGCGAGTTTTAGTACACGTAGATTATTACAATGCAGTATAACAGGCTGTAAGCATTTAGCAGACAAATTCTTGCATTGACTGAGGTTCAAGAATATCAGGTCACGATTTCGAGACAACATTGGAATCAAATCATCGTCAGTAATTGAATTACATCGGCTCAAATTCAGTAGACTCAGACGTGTACAGTTCTTCGCGAATACCTGTAAAAATACATTCGAAACTTCCACGGGATGCACCTACTAACAAATCAAGTTCATTCTATACTTACGCTAAAAGTATGAGGCGAAAAGCCTTTGTTGTGAAGTTTAAGTGATTTTAGTTTAGCAAGATACATGTTTATTATTTGAAGGCATGTTTGAGAGACACAACGAAAATTAAAACATTCGCGAATTGTAAGATAAGGTAAGACTTTCGCCACTAATATATCTTCCCAGTATAAATCGAATATGTGAGTGTTTCTTTTCGCTTTGTTGCTCATTGCTTTGTGTTAAAATGTTTTAACTAGCCTTCATTTACTTTGCTAAGAAATGTAAACAAGTTTTAGTCAATGTACTAATTATTGTCAATAAGAATTTTAGATTGATGTTTCTGGTTAGTGTTTTTAATATTGGCAACAGCCGTTAATATTCTGCCAAGATAATTCCTTTTTGCAACCATTTTTAAAACAATTAATTGCTGATGATGATAATTTTATAAATGGTTAATATATATAAAAGTATTAATAATAGAATAATTTTATTCACATTATCGTAGGGTATAGTTTGGGTTAAATTTAAGTCTTTCCTGTGTGTCTACATGTTTCAAATTGTAGTTGTACAATAAAATTTCTAATAACTCAAAGCAATTGATATCAAATACAAAAATCTGATTAATATTTAATACGAAAAGACTACTAAACTTCCCTTTCGTGAAAATATAAATATATGCTTTGAGATTATATATTTGTAATATATTAGAGGGTAGAATCCCACGGCTTGCACTGCGTGCATCGACGGGCGGCCCCCGTCAGTTTAACAATAAACGCTATACTGTCAACTTGTGTGTCAATTATACCTCAGTGGCGACGACGGGTGAGAATTCTAAAATGGCGGCAAAAATTGGCGAGTTCGATATTGTGATCGGCAATTGGTCATCTTACTGCGAACGATTAGAAATGTATTTTTTAGTAAATGACACTAAAATGGAACTGAAAGTGCCGGTGTTAATTTCGTTGGTTGGGGAAAAGGCATATGAACTAATGGTGAATTTGTGCAGCCCGACTAAACCGAAAGATAAAGTGTACAAAGACTTAGTTAAAATAATGGGGAGCACTTACAGCCTAAGCCATCGGTATTAGCCGAACGTTATCGTTTTCGGCAGTGTCGTCAGAAAGCTGGAGAAAGTATCGCGGAATTTGTAGCGGAATTAAAAAAATGGCGCACTATTGTGATTTCGGAGCGAATCTCAACGAAAATATGCGGGACCAATTTATATGCGGCATATGCAAGGAGGTGGTTCGTCAAAGACTATTTTCGGAAGAAAAAATAGATTTTGGCAAAGCGGTGCTAGTGGCTACGTCCATAGAATCTGCGGAGCGGGATGCGCTGACCGTAGAGGAGGGGGCGGTAGTGAGTACAAGTGGCCGACGTGGCGCGCTCGGCAGCGGTGACCGCCACGACCTTGACGACGTCCATTACTTATCGAATGCAACTAACCGAATGCGATTGAGCGAGTGTTCTGCGTGCGGTGACTCACGCCATCGTTGGCAGGAATGCCGCTATAAATCGTTTGAGTGTAGCAAGTGTCGGAAACGGGGACACCTGAGGAGAATGTGCCCGGAAAGCTTAGGCAGCGAGCCGGTGAATAGTGGGGCAGGCGGAGCTTGGAAACGCGGAAGGAACAAAGTGAGTCGGGGCGGGGCTTAGGTGCGGTGCGGGATGACTAGCGAGCGGCCGATAGCTTACGCGTCTCGAACTCTGACCGACTCCGAAAAGAGCTATAGCCAAATACACAAAGAAGCATTAACTATAATATACGCGGTTAAGAAGTTCCATCAATATTTATTTGGTCGTAAATTCATTTTAAGAACCGATCATTTGCCTCTGGTTAGTATTTTTAGTCCCGACATCGGGATCCCTAGCATGACAGCTAATCGATTACAAAGATGGGCTGTGATTTTGTCAGCGTACAATTTTGATATCGAATACGTTAGCACGGACCGCAATACAGCCGATTGTTTGTCGAGAATGATTATGTCGTATAAAGAGGATAGTATACAGGAGGGTATAAACAGTGAGGGGGGTGAAGTACCGGAACAAACCTACTTACATTTTGCTTCGGAAGCTTTATTGTTAGATCACACGAAGTTGAAAATACTCACAATTAAAGACCCTATTCTCGGTCGGGTGTTAAGGTATGTGAGGGATGGCTGGCCCTCTGAACTTAATATAAAGGAATTGAAGCCGTTTGAATCAAGGAAAAGTGAACTTTATTCTGAACTAGGCTGTGTGATGTGGGGTCACCGGGTCGTCATTCCGAGTGAATGTAGAGCACAAGTTCTGAAGGAATTACATGACTCGCATTTAGGTATAGTCAAAACGAAACGTCTAGCACGCAGTTATGTGTGGTGGCCCGGTATTGACGAAGCGGTGGAGGCGGTATGCCGCTCCTGTGCAGTGTGCGCCGCCGTGGCCGATGCACCCCCGGCGCACACATTACGCCCTTGGCCCTGGCCGGGGCGTCCTTGGTCTAGGGTGCATATCGATTTTTTAGGACCTTTACTGGGGGTCACATATATGGTGGTAATAGATACATACATACTCGAAATACATACTCGAAATGGATAGAAATCTCTAAAATGTCTAATACGACGTCATCGAATGTTAATCGGAAGCTACGAGAAATATTTGCGCGTTTTGGACTACCCAGACAAATAGTTTCCGACAATGGACCTCCTTTCTCTAGTTCCGAATTCACAAAGTTTTTAGAAAATAATGGTATTGAAAATATTTTCTCAGCACCGTATCATCCCTCGTCTAACGAAGCTGCAGAAAATGCCGTAAAAACATGCAAAAGAGTTATTAAAAAAGCGTTGATATAAAGAAAAGATGTTGAAACGGCATTAAATAGGTTTCTTTTGCTTTATAGAACTACGAAACATTGCACAACGGGACAGAGTCCCGCACAGTTGTTACTCGGTCGCGATCTGCGAACACGCTTGGTTACACTCATACCGTCATGTGAGCAGCGAGTAGCGGCGGCGCAACGCGCACAGGCGCGGGCCGCGGGTGGCACGGTGCGCGGTTTTATTCCCGGCGACACCGTGTGGTATCGGAATTATAGACCGGGAGCTAAGTGGTTACAGGGAGAAATCCTTAAAAAACTAGGCGAGACGGATTATGAAGTCAGCGATAGGGATGGCACCGTTAGACATAGACATATCGATCAAATTAAAAAACGATCCGTTTCAACAATAACGCCTAGCACTAGCTTTTCTACGCAGCCACCAGTGGTTCTTGACCGGACAGCGGGGGAGTCTCGATGGCATCGGCCGCAGGAAACGCAGGGGCAACAAAGCCTTCCTCCCGAGGCTGCAGAAGGTGGGGTGCGGGGAGTACGCGATCGTAGGCCACCGATCCGCTTTGGAATAGATGAAATATTTTAGTAAAAGTTAAATTTTAATATTTGTTTGTTATTATTTTAATTAATTTGTTATTTGTATTATTTAATATGTAAGTAACTAGTATAAAATGTATTTAGATTTTAGGTAAAGTATTGTACTCGTAAATAAGGGGGGAGGTGTAATATATTAGAGGGTAGAATCCCACGGCTTGCACTGCGTGCATCGACGGGCGGCCCCCGTCAGTTTAACAATAAACGCTATACTGTCAACTTGTGTGTCAATTATACCTCAATATTAAGCAAGCTTGAAATGAGTAAAGTGAATAAAGAAATATGAGTAATCGTTTTGTTTGTGGGCTTGTACGACTTATGCCCGGCCCTTATATTCAACGAACGGCCGTTAGTTACATGGCTTTGTAACATTCATAACGATAAAAGGCGTGTTCGCCCGGTTCCTATATTAACAAAACGAGGCGTTTTCCTTACGAGACGTTGCATTACCTACGGAAAGTGAGTTACTAGCGTTCCTTTAACCTACAAGTCGTTATGAAAGTTACGAAGCTATGTAACTAACGGCCATTTGTTAAATATAGGATCCGGGTATTAGCCATTTCAACGCGGACGTAAAGTAGTTCTTCAAGAAGAAAAAGAATACCAGCGAAAAATGGAAGTATTATACTTCTACATTCTGTCTGGTGAGAGGGAAGCCGGGGCTCACTTTATTAAAAGGTGCAAGGTTATGGATCTGCAATCGTACGGGTGTTGCGAATGTCAATTGGCGGCGCCTATCACTTAACATCAGGTGAACTCCTAGCTCTTTTGCCACCTTCTGACATGAAAAAAAACATACTTTTCCGAAGTAGATAGCTGTTCCAAATCGAAATAAGAAATATACATTTCATTTATCGATAGTCATTTTTTAAATCTACCACCGTTTCGTAATTCCTCTAACGGAGAAGAAACAGGCGAAAGAAACTCCGTAGGTATCCTCTTTTTGTCACTTTTTATTCTCAACAAATACATAATAATAATAATAATATCGGAAACTGCCGTACTATAAGTACTCTACGGAGGCCGTGCTCGAAAATGACCGCGCCAGGCTCTATTGGGACCGGCCCATCATCACGGACAGGACGATTGTCGCGAACAAACCTGACATCGTGGTGATGGACCGGGCACAGTCGCGGGTATTTTTGGTCGACATTACCATTCCATATGACGAGAACCTCGTGAAAACCGAAACAGATAAGAAGACAAAGTATCTGGACCTGGCTCACGAGGTGACCGACATGTGGGGTGGTGTGCCGACCGAAATTATCCCAATAGTCGTGTCTGCGAATGGGTTAATCCCAGTCAGCCTCTCCAAACATCTGAGGCGACTGGGACTCCGGGACGGATCGCTCCAAGCTCAAATGCAGAAGGCGGTGCTCCTCGATACCGCCCGCATCGTCCGCCGGTTTCTCTCCCTATATCGCCCTAACCCTCGGCCGTTTGGTCTCCCCTGCCGAGGGCTTCCGTCTGGTTGGGTCCTATTTATATATGTATTATATACAACATTATATGTATATGTTTATTTTTATTCATAATATTTATTTTATACATATATGCAATATGTATCTATATTTTTATTTTTATTTATAAACCCAACCAGACGAGAAGACAAATGAATATCACCCCATAATAATAATAAAATATCTTTATTAACACGCTTGCGCGTTCTTATGAAACGTCGAAATTTTACAAGGAAATTAATATATAAATTAAGCAGTTTCTGTTGAGAAGAAACCGGCAAGAAACTCAACAGTTGCTCTTTTTTAAAAGGTCAGTTTACAATATAATGTTACAGCTATAATAGTCTTGTTTTAGCCTATGTGAGTATCAACAGTAGTAACCCCACACATTGGCGTCGTTAAGATATTCAGCAATAGTATAATATGCTTTAGCCATAAGTTTACTTTTAACTTTTCGTTTAAATTCATCAAGTTCATTTTTATACAGTACATAGTTTTTTTTAGAAACAGCTTAGGAGCGATCATCTCATTTATATTATAATGACCCTTTTTAAAAAGTTTTTCTTTAATAAATTTCTTAAACCTGTTAATAGATAGGCTTTGCACATTAACTGGGATTTTGTTGTAGAAGCGTATACCCCGTCCCATGAACGAGTTACTGACTCTATGGAGTCTAGTAACTGGCGTTACAACGTTTGTTTATGTGGGGGAAATGCCTACGCATATACCCTCGCGGGGACAAGAGCGAGTTATTTCGGACTCGCACCGACTAAAACCCCCACGACGTTCCACCTAGGCGCATATTGACTGGGCCACGAAAACGCTTTCGCACACTCTGCCAGCGCTGGCCTCCCGGGAAGCAATTCCCCTCTCCTCCAGGTAAGGCACGCTGGAACATTCAGCGCGCCTTCCTACTCGGCCTCTTGTTCACGGCCGACGAGCTCCTCCGAGTTCGCTGACCAGAGGCTATGGGAGTCAGGAGAGCCAGTGCCAATAAGTTAAGCCAGGTATAAACATACGCCTGCGATCTTTAAGCATTTTGTCGCTTTTGTGGGCAGTGGTTGCGATTGCGTTAGAGATTGCACGCTTGAATTGACCATGTATAAATTTAAAAATTATGCATACAGTTTTAGTAATAAGAGAAAGGGATGTCACTAAGCATAAGTAAAACATGCAACAAGATTTTAAGACTTTATTTTTTATAAATAAATGATGTGATAATGTTTATCAGCAGGATTATCAGATCCGATGAACGCGGACTTAAGCTTTCTATTTCTGCGCGAAATTTTAATTAAGTTGCTTAGTTGTGTTCAAGCGGCTTTAAGCGCGAATGGTTGGACAACCGTACGTTTTCCAGCTTCCCGCAGCCTCCTACCGATCGTAACTGGAGACATGACGCATAATCATAAACAGATGGTATGTAACGCTAAATACCGTCACATTCTAGATAATATTCCTACATCTACTCTTGCCGATATCTGAAAGTTATTTGGTACTTTTGGTATCAGTAAGTGGCATTTTCCAAACGTTCCTACCTCAATAAATTTAGATGATTTAAATCAACATTCTATCTCTATCACTTTATCGATAGATCATCTAACGATTTGTTAAACGATTTCTTATATAAATGGTTTTACGCGCCCTGATATTGATTCATTTAATTTTTCTCCAGTTTCTTCTGAAGAAATCCAAAAATATTTTCTTGCCATCTGGAAAATGCAGCTATAAAACAATGTGTTTTAATTCGTCGTTATGGCAACACCGAAAACAGCGTTAAGTTGTATCTCAAAAAATATTTTTTTAAATTAAAAAAATTGCTTTTACTTTTAGGATAACATGATCCTGTGTTGTAAGGACGTTTTACAAACGTAAATTTCACGTGGGCAAACACCCAGATTCGAAACAAATATCTGTGGGTCACACAAATAGTTGTCACGTGTGGGGATAGAACCCACGACCCCCGATGCCGAAGCCAATACTTTGGCAACTGCGCTAAGTCATCGTCATAAATAAATATGAATAAAATATAAAGTTAATGGTATCTGTTTTCGATAACTGTTTTATACAATAGTGCGTAATGTCGTGTATGCCGAATAAACTGATTTGAGTACGTCCATAAGGCATGCAAAGTTCAGTATCGTGATACCACCGGCACTGAGAGTTAGGGGCTTCTGCGCCGTCTGCAGCATCAACAATACGGTCTTCATGTTGCTGCTGTTGAAATTCTCCCATTTACAATCGTACACGGCGTTCTCAAACGCGACGCTGGCGTCCAGCAAACGCTGCCCGTTCAAACAGTCCATTGCCACTTGCATCATGGCGAAGGGTATCTCCAGATATGTATTTTCCAGGCCCGCCAACAGTTCCGCGATCAGAGCGACGACCAGTATCAAGAATTCGAGTGCCAACGCACCGCGGATGACGCCCTCAAGCTTGCGCAGCAAGTTAAGGTTCAACGTGTGACGTTTTACGATATCCTTCAAACGCCTCCGTATGAACTCATTCATAAAATCCATTTTATCATAGCTTACGCCGTGTTCTAAAATACTCTGACTGTTTTCACGATAGGACGTCTCCGCGTCGGTCCAAAGCAGTAAGAGTTCCTCGCTCAACGCTAACATGTGCGATTCCGTATAACCTGTGATGACAATCAAGAATGCGGTGATGTTTGCGGGAAGGTAACAACAGACGCATACGCCGGCCGCCATTATTGTGAATGCTATCTCGTAGTTTGGCGATTCGTACATCGGTTCGAGACCTGTTCAAGGGTAATAAACAGAAAATAAAAGTGAAAAGAAGAACATGTCGTTATTATCCAAAGTTTAAGTCTTACAAGTAATCTTAATAACAGTAATCAATACTTACAGATAAAAAAAAATATACTCCCCGAGCGGAGTGAAATATCTTTGATTTAAAACATTCTGAATATCTACTATGTCTAGAATTATATGAAATCCATTAACCGTAGATGATGTACATGTCCTCCATGAAATGTCTGCCTGGAAGTATTATGGGTTTCGCTATGTAGAGTACGCCGTTACCGATGATCACGGCCCAGAATATGAGAGCGCGCCTCTTCACTTGACGTAGGGACTTCGTGAGGTTCTTATGAAACCTGCTCCCCTGCTCGACGTCAGAATCGCACGTCAGATACCCTTGGACTAAATCCCTGATAGACTCTCTGCAAACGAAATGAAATCGTGTGAAATATTTAACTTGAAAGTGTATTTATTTTTATATATAATACATAGAAGACAGATCAGAATTAACAAAACTACGACAATTCCTTATTAATCGAAAATTCTGTAGTACCTATGTTGTAGATAACTTATTAATACATAAGATTAAATAAATAAATGTTTAGCACACTATTTGATTATAATTAAAAATTCAATAACTTAAAAAAAATGTTTTGTCATAAGCTTCATGCAGAAAAAACATAGCATCAAATGGGGAAGTAATGAGACATTTCAATTGACCAACGTGAAATAAAAATAATTCTACTTCTTTCCGCGAATAATGTAATTGGAGATTCACACTCATGGGTTGGCATCATACTTTCATCGGGTGACACGTCTTTTGTCTAGAAAATGTTAAAAAAATATGTACGTACATGTAAAAAAACATATAAGCCAACTTGCAGATCCCAATCTCACTGGCGATTCCCAGGGAGAACACTACTACGGCGGCAATAATGTCACCGGTTATTGGGGAGCGGACGAAGACGAACCACACCATAGAGAATAGGTACACGTAGAAGTAGCAAGAGGCCATAGTCAGGGTGAGAAAATAGAAGAAGATTGGGATACCTGTAAAAAAGGTGCTTTAGTTGAGGCAGTTGTCGCCTTCTATAAATATCGTCAACAATACGTTTCAATAGATTACTGGCGCTTCGTAGATTTGTGAATAGGTTTTTTTATAGCCAGAGTATAATAATTAGAACCATCAGTTTTATACCTCATATCTTTATAGATGAGAAATGGGATATTATGACTCTTGAGAGTCGCCAGCCCTTCAGAAAAAAAAACCCTTCGCTGATTTTGACTACTCATCTGCACTCATTCATTGCCATAGTTCTAACAACTGACAGTTGGAGGTTGTTTAAAAGACCTGTTTTTAAAGATTTTAGGACAAGGGTGTGTGGAAATGACTCTTGCTCTGCACTTGCAAGTCCCCTGGCTCCTGCTAAATTATACTAAAATAATTTTGTGTGTATACTTAAATACTTAAAAAAATATATACATATATGACCGCAGAGTTTCTTGCCGGTTCTTCTCTTGTAGGTCTAGTTTAGTGAACCGGTGGTAGTTTTTGACGTTCAATAAGAGCTTAAAATAAGCCTATGTTGAATAAAGAAATTTTGACTTTGACTTTAATTACCGATGTATTTATGACCATTTTTATTTTTAGTGCTAGCCTAGCTTCGTTATTATACCTCAGAACCAAGACCAGGCTAACTAAAGCGAAGGTAGTTTTGTCGACTGAGCAGGAGTGTCATCGTGATGGACTACTTTGCCAAGGACGCAAAAACTAATTTAACGTGTTAATGAATCTGTATAAAACCCTTAAAATTTACTAAATACTAGCGGACCCGATAGACGTTGTCCTGTAAACACGACTGGAATCCGAAAACAACTTATAAATGAAAGTAATTAAAAAAAATGTGGACTGAATCGTATCGAATCTAAACCATCCTCGAATCGCCCTGAAGACACACACAAAATTTCATTAAGATCGATCCAGCCGTTTAGGAGGAGTTCAGTGACACATACGTACCGAAGAATTATATTATAAATATAAGCTACTTTGTGACAAAACAAGCTTTGTCTGTTTGTATAATGCAACTTAATGAGAGCACAAACATTACGAAATGTTATTTTGTGACTGGTTAAAAAACTTATTAAATGTTAATTTGTGAAAGGAATGGGAGAAAATTTTGTAAACAATGCATTGTAAGTCTGTGTCCATTCGTCCGTCCATTGTAAATCAGCAGGATTTATTAGAGTATTAAAATGTAAAGTGTACGTACGTTTCTTATTGCGTTTATCGATGTTAAGTGTGAGGACCCTGAGTAAGACGGATACGTTCCACAGCATCGTGGGCAGGTCGCAGTATCCCAATCCGAACTTTTGCACCTTATTCCACATTCTCTGTCCTTATCTTTAACGGTTATCTGAAAGAGACAGCAAAAACGTATGGCAGTAAATTTCACGTGTATGAGGCGGAAAGAAAGCTTTGAACAAAAGCTTGGCTTTCTTATCGACTTTGGTAACAGTTTCGGCGTCGGGACGTGACGATCCCATCGCCCGCTGGTGGGATAATCTTGTGACAGAGATTATTCCACCAGTGCAGTCAGTCAACCCAACTAGTGGTAGTGCCATGCTGCGCACCTTCGGGTAGCAGCCGAATTGGGCCGGCACGCCCGGGGAAGAACCACTCTCTCACTAGAAACCGACGTCAAGTGGCAGCTATGCTGTCGCGTTTCGTTTGGTCTGTGAAAGTCCCGGACGCCCTCTCCCCATTCCTCCCCCATAATGTCTGCGCGAAATTTAAATTTTCTACCCCAGGAGGGTACCACCAGCATACAGCGCGGTGGAGAATCCCTCTCTGGACGTCCACGCGCAGGCCGTACAACGTCTGAGCGTGAATGCCCTGGTTGCCCTTCGTATTCTGGGGGGGGCAATTTTGCGCTCTCTACACCTGTTCGGGGCAAACGGAGCAGGCAACATAAGGCCACCTCTTCCTCGCATGCCGTGGACTTTTGCAACATAAGGGGGCTAAATTCCAACTTAAACGCCGTCCACTTCCATCTTGAGACGGCGAAGCCGGCCTTGCTCTTCCTTACCGAGACGCAGATATCTTCTCCAGCTGACACCTCATTCCTCTCCTACCCGGGGTACAAACTGGAACATTCCTTTGTGCCGCGGGCTGGGGTGTGCGTGTACGTCAGAGAGGATATATGCTCTCGTCGCCTCGATGCTCTTGAAGGACGGGACCTATCCATACTCTGGCTACGCGTAGACTGCGACGACCATCCGCGAATCCACGCGTGTCTGTATAGGTCCCATAGCGGTAATGCCGAAACTGACCGACTCTTTGAGCACATACAAATGGCTACAGATTCCGTGTTGCAGCAGATCCCATCCGCGGAGATCGTAATTCTCGGCGACTTTAACGCTCATCACGCCGAGTGGCTTAGATCTCGTACCACCGACCACGCGGGGAGATCTGCTCACGATTTCGCATTGACATATGATCTGACACAACTGGTTACCTCGCCAACGCGAATCCCAGATGTGGAGGATCATACCTTCCCTGTTGGACCTTCTGTTGACCTCTCATCCGGACGGATACTTGGTTTCCGTCGATCCTTCCCTCGGCTCGTCGGACCACTGTCTTGTCCGGAGCACAGTGCCAATAACGCGCTTAACGCGGCCTCACTTTGCGGGCTGCCGCCGCGTATGGCATTATAGGTCAGCAGATTGGGATGGGATGCGGTCATTCTTTGCGTCCTACCCATGGGGGCAGATTTGCTTCTCGCCGGATGATCCAGACGTCGTTGCTGACTCAGTGACTGATGTGGTGCTTCAAGGTATGGAACTCTTTATTCCGTTCTCTGCAGTGCCCATTGGTGGCAAGTCGCAGCCTTGGTTTGGTCGCTCCTGTAAGTTGGCATTACGCCGAAAGCGGGAATGCTACCAGGCTTGGGCTGACGCTTCGTCGTCTGCTCTCTGCCTCTAGGTCCTTCAAAAGTGTTATTGCTAAGGCGAAATCGGAACACATTGGCAGAATTGGCGAGAGATTGGCGCGTCTCCCAACGGGAACACGTGCGTTTTGGTCTCTCGCCAAAGCTGTCTTGGGAAATTTCTGTAAGCCTTCTTTTCCACCCCTGCACACGGAGGATGACTCGCTGGCCCATGCCGCGAAGGAGAAAGCCGATCTTCTGGGCTCTCTCTTCGCGTCCAACTCGACTTTGGATGACCGAGGAAAATTACCACCAACAATCCCGCGTTGCGATGCTACGATGCCGGAGGTTCAATTTCGGCAAAGTGCAGTTCGCATAGCACTCTTTTCCTTGGACATTCATAAGTCGAGTGGGCCCGATGGCATCCCTCCGATCGTGTTGAAGACATGTGCTCCAGAGTTGGCACCGGTTTTGACGCGTCTTTTTCCGGCTCTCCTATACTCTAGGCGTATTCCCGAAAACCTGGAAGGCCGCTTTAGTGCACCCGATCCCTAAGAAAGGCAACAGCTCGGATCCGTCCAACTACAGGCCTATAGCCATCACCTCCTTGCTCTCCAAGATAATGGAGACCATCATTAACTGCCAGCTCCTGCGGTACCTAGAGGAGCACCAGCTGATTAGCGACCGCCAGTACGGCTTTCGTCGAGGTCGCTCAGCCGGTGATCTTCTGGTTTACCTGACACACAGATGGGCAGAAGCAGTTGAGAGCAAGGGGGAGGCGCTTGCAGCCAGTCTGGACGTAGCGAAAGCCTTTGATCGGGTGTGGCACAAAGCACTTCTTTCGAAGCTGCCTTCCTATGGGCTTCCCGGGAAGTTATGCAACTGGATCACTAGCTTTTTGGCAGATCGGAGCATCTGTCCTGCTCTTTGTTTCTTCTGCATATCAATGATATATTGCAAATCAGCAGCGTTCATTGCTATGCGGATGATAGCACTGTGGATGTTTCGTACACAGGCCGTGCTAACATTTCTCGGGAAAACGTCTACGAGAGCCGGAACAAACTTGTGTCTGAAGTCGAAACTTTGTTAACAAAAGTCTCAGACTGGGGTCGACTAAATTTAGTCCAATTCAACCCCGATAAGACACAAGTTTGCGCGTTAACCGCTAAAAAGTCCCCATTTGTCGTGACTCCTCATTTTGAGAACACTCCCCTGTCTGTCACAGCTAGTATCGGAATACTTGGCGTCGAAATCTCGAGCAATGTCCAGTTCCGCGGTCAATTGGAAAGTAAGGCCAAATTGGCCTCAAAGAAGCTCGGTGTGCTCAGCAAGGCGAGACAGTACTTCACGTCGGCTCAACGCCTAAACCTTTATAAGGCGCAAATTCGGCCCCACATGGAGTACTGCTCTCACCTCTGGGCGGGAGCCCCCTGTTACCAGCTTCTTCCATTTGACCGCATCCAACGTAGGGCAGCTAGGGTTATCGACGATCAAGGTCTTTCCGATCAGCTTGATCCTTTGGCTATGCGTAGAGATGTTGGGTCACTCTGCATCTTCTACCGCATCTATCACGGGGAGTGTTCCGAGGAATTGTTTGGATTGATCCCAGCGGCTGAATTTCACCATCGGACATCGCGCCAAAACCAAAAATTTCATCCACACCACCTCGATGTCCAGCGTTCCACAACAGCGCGATTTCCAAGGCATTTCCTGCCTCGCACAACCACTCTGTGGAACCAGCTGCCGCCGGCGGTCTTTCCGAACCGTTACGACCTGGGAACCTTCAAGAAGAGAGCGTACTCATTCCTAAAAGGCCGGCAACGCATTTGTAAGCCCTCGGGTGTTGCAGATGTCCATGGGCGGCGGTGATCACTTACCATCAGGTGAGCCTCCTGTTCGTTTGCTGCTTTTTTCCTATAAAAAAAAAAAAAAAAGTTCTTTACTTAAGCAACATTTTCTGGTACTATGAAATGGTGGAATGAATTATACTATATTAGATAAGATTTAAAAAAAAATATGGTAATGGTATAAGGCACCTTCTTTAGTTTGATCAAACAAAGATCGCAACTTATTAAATAAAAGTAAGGCCTCACAATTATGTTTAAACTACATTTATTTATAATTAGGTAGAATTGTCGTTAGATTTATTTTGTCTTTTAATTTGGTAACATTTAACTACAAAAGATGGTTCAGGTCGCAGTGTATGTATATATATGTAAAATAGAATGATGTTAACAAACGCTTATCGAAACATTAATTTTTATATCCAAAAATCTAGTTAGTAATTACAACCGGCGATCAACATAAAGTCGACATAGCAAAATTTTGTAACTACTAGCACCGATTCCCCCGTAGCTTTTTATGTATATAAAACTATTTTAAATAATCTTATTGTTCATGAAACAGACTTGCAGTAATTTCGGTGACGTACAATTAATCGTATTAGATTTTTTTAGAGTTTGTCCACTGACTAGACCTGCTATTAATTGGCCAAAGCAGATATAACGCCTCTATTTAATTCCCTCTGAGGGAGTGTTTTTGTCCATTGCATTTTAATTTTAATTTTAGACCTAACGCTTTAGTCCATGTTAGTTATATTCAGTCTATATTGGATATTAATTAAATTAAATGCTAGCTGCATTTCCTCGCTGAACAGTGACGTGTGACCTATGAACGAGAAACGAATCAGCCACTAGTCGCGCGATAAGTCTAGGACGTAAACCTTTCAAAAGGCGCCTAAGGTTTCAGCGGCAATTGACACAAATAAATTATCTGAATAAATTATATTTGCGCCACCTACTTACTGCTTATCTGCCTATGATGCTGCGCACCCGGCCGTAGTATACTTTATTTGTGTTTAGTTCTTTTTTCTTATTTAAGTCTATAGTATATTATTAAGTTAGCTATTGGACTGAGCTCAATTTCCTCCCAAGCCCTGGGTGGATTGAGAAAGAATGCTAAATTGCTTAAACTTTTATGAATCCGTAAACTTTTATGGAACCAAGCGATAATTGATAAATATACAAAAAAAAACTTTAATGAACGGCGAATTTTGTTTAATTGTAGCGTACATTTACTTTAATTATTACTTAGACAGTATGGCCGATTTGATTGGCATTCCAGCAGCTTGATTGCCTTTAATTATATGCAGGAGTTTAGTTTTCGTTCGTCACTCACAATTTTATTAATGATTCTTTGCTTGATAAATGTTAAATCAAGGGTTAATTTGTAAATAAAAATATTGCCAATCGAATTGAAGCATTTATATTTTAGAGATAGCGGTTTCCTAGTTTTCCTCAAAGCGGAATAGGATAAACTTCCCGCAATAATTGGGTCGCATGTGTATATATGTGCTTTTGTCTTTAATTCTTCATGTGGTTCCAATCAGCTCCTGCCACAATGCTGGGTCGTCTCTCTTCACAGAAGACCGACATTTATTCATTCTTTTCATTTGAATTTTAT